AAATCACACTTTCGCACTTCTCGAGTTGACCCCCGTGCTAAAAACTTGCTAACCGTGATAAGTTCGTGCTAGTCTGTAGGGGTCCTGTCAAACTGCCTCAAAGAAAAAAAAAACAGTGTTAAATCCCAATATACCGGTAATAAACCTCAATCGGTGCTTTTGAAGCTAACCTATAGTACTCTTCTTATATTGAGTATTGACTTTCTCGAGTAATAGACCACTTCGGAGCTGACTTCGGACAATATTGATATACTCGTAGAGTCATCGCTCATTAAAGGTTAAATTCTCCACTGATAATCGATCTCACACATAGAGTACTAGGTAATCATCATGATAAACGGTTCGCTTACTTAACCTTACCCATTCAATTTTGTATGAAGATGATCGATCTCTGATGAATCGATGATGGACGATAGTGGATGAGCGTTAGAGATCAGACGAATGGTATAGAGTACCTAGTAGTCACTGGATAATATAACTGAACGAACTGAACCGCGATGAACTTACCGGCTATCAACCTCAATGTTAGCTAGACCATTTCGCTGTAGCGAAGCTACCTAGTCACAAGCCAACGATGAAAAGTCTGAAATAGGAGACGCTATGCCCAGCAATGCCATGCCGTAGATTGTGTCGTGAACCAAAAAAATCGAATAAAGATACAGCATTAATATCTATCAGGCGGAAGGTAGTTAGTTTGGCGGTGGATTAGAACATATGGTTGGTTGAAAGCTTTGGTCGTAAGCCAATCATGGTGGCGCCGAGGGAGCCGTAGCTACCGAATGATGGGGATTTACTAGAACTTTGCTAGAATTTCACTAGAAGAAGGCGTATTCCAGCCGCCGAGAGCCTATCGAGGGGGGAGGGGGGAGGTTCTTGGGCGTGCACTATCGATATTTCAATATTTGTCAGAATTGAGAGTGTTTAGTCTCGTAGACTAGAAAGTTTCTTGACGCAGTTGGAAAGTATAAAAAATTCACTTTACTTTACGTGGTTCTGTACAACTTGAGGATGATTTTTTTTTGGAAAATCTAAAGTTATCATGGGTGGGTGCAAAAGCTTGTGTGATACCAGAATGCTTCCCTCTGTATGGAGGAAAGCAGTTCATATACTTAGCCATGCATCTTTCCTGCAAGCAGCCGCCGTAGGGCAGATGAGGATCGTCGCCAAAGGGTCTTGATGTATGTATGTAATTTACGTATGTCGGGAATATGACGATTAGAAGGTTTTGAATGTGTGACATGAAGGTATAGCACGAATCGAATTATCAATACTGTAAAGGAAAATGTTAACTTGATAAATTTACAAAATGAATGCACAAATAATTTGCATTTGATCTAATCTATATTTCATAATGCTTAACGCATAATGTTCGTTTGAGAAGCTTTTCATATAGCATATAGTGGAATTGATGAGATGACAAGTAAGTATTGTTGCAAGTAGGAACGGATGCACTAGCTAACGGTTAGTAAGTAGTAAGTTAAGGTTATGGGGGTATGGGAGTCTGAGTATATTTCGTACGATACCGTGACAGTACGAAAGTACTTTGATAGTTCTCCTATTCGCCGCCAATTATTGACATATTTATAATAATGGGTGAACGATGACTGACGGTGACGATGATGGTGATGATGATATATTTAAAAATTCATATCAAATGCTTTTCTGATTATTGAATTATCTTTCCGATGATTTTGATATATACTACTACGATATCTTCTACTGATGTAATCTTATATCTCCGTAGCTTCATTTTCATTCAATTGTGGCTCTTTAATATTCAACGAGAGGAAAGATACCGGTAAGTGTTCCGCTCGGGGGAAAATGTCCGACGAGATTTGCAACATGTGATAACAAAAGCGTTTCCTCATCTGCTCTTGAGCAAGCAAGCGTAATATTGGATCTCGAACGAAGCGGAAAGCTTTGAAGTATCAACTATTCGCCGTGCCATACATAGTTCTAATAAGGCATTGATGAAGGGGATCCCGATCATAACCTTTAACCTACAACGTAATGGAGAAAGAGACATCAAAACGCTAAACCAATACTTCAGATCAATCTGCTCTCCATTACTCGAGTATACTATGAGTAAGCTCTTTATAACCTCTTCTCAACTATCAGCCAGGAAATCCTCCAATTTTCCTCTTCGGCATATGGTGCCTAATATAACATATCAAGTTCTACTTGGCGATATAGCATGAGAAACGGGAGGGAGGTACTGTACGCATGATGCAAAGAATGAACAATGACAGTGAACCGGATGAATGAATGAATGGTGAAGTATTTTATATAAACCTACTCGTAGATTACTCGATCATCAAATCTCTGTGTGCGTATGAATCCTATCCAAAGGATTCCCGATCTGTTGGTAACGACTTCATATCTCATCCTACTAGCAATCCCTATCCCAAATTATTCTTCCTCTTTTCCCCTCCCCTTCCTATTGGAATACGGCACAAACGACTCGGAAGAGATTAGAAACAACCACGAGTTCTACTTCCCCCATCAGTATCGGGTCATTTTCTCTCACCCTCCTTGTCCTTACTCATCAAAATCCGGCTTGTTATCTTCTTACTTCATCCTTACCCAAGAACCAACTGGGACTAACTAATAAGACCGGAACCTTCAATGGGAGACTCAAATTCAGAAATAATAAAGAAAAGATTATAGTCGTACCCATCTTCCATTCCCCCTCCCCCATAATGATAATGTATCCATCCCTTCATCTCATGATTCTCATCCCTTCATCCCTTCACCTCTTCACCCTTCCACCCCTCGGTATATAATCACCAATGGCACTGACATCCCGATACGTCCGTACTGTATAAATTTGAATAGATTTAGCAAATCCCAAAAATCTCCATCAATTCATCTATCGTACCGGTTTTCTTTCCTGTCACTCACGTCTGCCCCACCATCATTTCATTAAACTTTTATTTTTAATATACAAGTATCTCTTCCTCGTTTGTAACCCCAGTCTTCGTTTTGTTCCATTTCTTTTCATATATGACCACATGGCATCAGACATTCCTCGGCACAAGATATAATTCTTCCGTTAACTTTGTTTATCAATCGAGAGGTCAACTTAACCTGCTACCTGTCTATATGCCATTTCCCAAAATTCAGTTAGCTAAGTTGCCTACCTATCACAACTACTAGGTATGTATTCACTGTTATAATTACCACCATCATCAATCATTTACTACTACCAGTTACCCGCTACGCGCTACTGTACCCGTTACCAAATACTGAGTTCAGCAAAGATTCATCAAAAAAACCATATCAAAGAAAACTTCCCATGATATTATTTTTATATTTTATTCAAACCCTCCTCCCTTTATAGTATTTCAAATCACCCTAAACTATTAGAGGACTAAAACTAAAACCATTTAAATTTTCCACTTACAAGGATTCTTCATAAGTCAGGACCAGAATAAGATCACCTCCGCCAACCTAGATATCCCCTAGTCTAGTTTTAAAATCGACACGACCACGACCCAGGCGAACAAACTTGCTGCACGTCTCTTTTTTTCCCTTTCCCTTCCCTTTCTTTCCTTAATCCCTGCTCTCTACCCCCTATCCCCTGCTCCCTGTCTTGCGTTCGTTGCATTGCACACATTCCACGGAGCCAAAAAAAAAAGAAAAAAGAAGGAACGAGACGCGCTATAATCTCCAGGAAAACTTCTAAATAATATATCCCATACATATACATATCCATACCTATATCCCATCGAACATATACCTAGAATACATATCAACATCAACATCAACATCAACATATACAACCGAAACCCGTCCTACGTCCTACGATCCTACGATACAACTACAGTCATTACACCACACCATATTACTTCATGACGACGTACATTCAATCACGTATACCATTACCTCTGCTTCTTACTTTCACATCTACACTTACTTACATAACTTTGTTCCTATCTCATTTGGACTTTCTAATGTTCATCCCCCTCTACCGGTACTAACTTACCCTCTTGACTTTCGAGAAAACTATTCGAAGCATATTCAGATTACGGCTCCCCCTTCATCAATTCATCCGATTGCCTAAATCCCTTCAATACCCGCAATATTCTGACAAGCATCAATCACACCTACCTGAAAGTCAAATTGAACAAACTCGATCCACTACCATACAAACCATTCAAAGTACACCGAACGAACCTTCCTTGACCCTTAACCGACTACTCCGAACCCATAACAACTTGGATCTACCTTGGAAATACTTAATATTCCCAAGATACGCCAACACCTCATCTTGATTTTATATCTCCGTTGTCAATTTCACGGCCTTTACGACGAACCTGGTGCTTTGCTCTCAGGTCCCACCCCACCACGAACTTAGTCACCTAACACTCTTTTTTGGATACATCCCCAGATTCAAGAAATTTCACCTTGTACCTCCCCTCGGAAAACTCATCAAGCTTTTTCAACATTTCCCACGGGAGTTGCACATTACTACAGATTGTTCGGTGCATGCTGCAGCTCACCGTCCACGTCAGTTAGTCACGAACATTTTGCATCTGCAGTATTACCTCAGTATATGTCTCGTCCTTCTTGTCTCAGTCTGCTTCGGAAGTAGCGCAAACCATCTTACCAATTCTCAAGAATAGCGGCCCTCATTATTATTCCGACAACGCTCCTCGTGCATAATTCGGGACTGGAAGCTTTAAGAGTCTCATTTAAACTTCTTGAAGTCAGATCTTTTTTTTTCTTTCTTTTTTTTTGGAAAGTTCTGGGAATTTTCTTGAGCAGGTTAGTTCCAGCCAATGTTGACTATCATGGAAGGAGTATACTGAATGAAGCTATAGCATTGTCAGACGAATCGCAAATCGAATTCACGCACCCTCTCATTTTTCAAAAGGGTATCCCACTTGGGAATTAACCCGGCGCATCTTATATATACCCTCCAGGAGGAACTTTGCTATTATCAAACCGGCGTTGACCTTCTCAAGGAATCGTAATCTCACTAGGACACGGTCATTTCCATGCAATCTTCAACGAACCAATTCGATCATTCAAATATCTCGCTCGGTGAACGGCGAGGCAAATCAGACCTGGCTCGCTTTTCTCTTGATCTGAGTTGGGCCAGAGCGGTACCCGACGGAGCTCAGTCTTGGGCATACCCCTCTCCGCCCATGTCAGGGTCTCCACCACTTCCCCCTAGACACAACCTGGATTCCAGCGATCGTGGTCATGGAAGCTATGGGTCAACAGGAAATGTCTTCCGGGATGGGCGCGTTCCTCAACAAGGGCACTTTGATCAAATGAGAGGTGTACCTTTGAGGAATTATCAGCCAGAACCCCAACTTTCATATCCACAATACCAGATGGAAGATATGTCGGCGCAATATCAATACCAACAACCGCGAGCGCAAATGGCGCCTCATCAACACCCACACCCTCTTTATGCCACCCAACAGGTCGCACCATATCCAGCACCAGAACGACCGTCAATTGGAGAAGCCCCCGGCTATACTTCCCCAAAATCACAAAGAAAAACAAAAGGGCATGTGGCGTCTGCTTGTGTACCTTGCAAAAGAGCCCATCTTAGGCAAGTCTCGTTGGAATCATTTTGTATCTTGCGCTAATTTACCCTAGATGTGACGGTACGTTTCTACTTTCTTGATTGCGGCGCAAGTCTGTTTTGGTTTTAAATAAGAATATCATTCTCGCATTGAGATTGTGTGTGCATTTCTTCACTCACAAATGTATATCTATGTCCCAAAAGAAGCCAAGGGCAAAGAGAATTGCGCCCATTGCGATTGGCGGGGACATCATATCCTCAAGCGAGAACATCTTTTGTGAAGAAAATATTTGACAAGCAATTGAATTCGGCATGAGTGTTCCGATTGAAACCTTCGTTGAAGCTATGGCTTGTTCAGTGATACGCCCCGGTAGCTCACTAATAGTCTAGTGGCATCACCGGCGTTTCGATTGATGGGTTCAATTGCTGTGTTCGGCACTAGGTATCGGGAGCGCACAGACGAATGATTGAGAGCTTGTTCTAGTAATGATTATCTTTTCGGCGTTCTTTCCAATTCTGTATAGGATCGGATGTTGGTCGAGTTTCGCGGAGTACGGGGACTTCCAAGCATATGATGGAATGTTCCCGGTCCCAATTCTTTCATGTTGCAGCATGTACTAGGGTGTTGTACAACACCAAAGTCCACTTGTACTAGGCTTGGCTTAACATTTAACCAAAGCTTTGGGAACCATGACCACCCGGGGAAATGAAACTTCCAAATACGTCTCAGCCCGTCAAGTCCCCCACGATATCTTACATTCCGTTGAATCTTCAAAACACAAACCTCGGTGTTATTGCCTGCCCCGGGCCTTGACTCCAAAAGCCGAATACTGATCTCATCTATTTTTAGCTCAACGGCCATGCTCCCGATGTTTAAGCAACGGGAAAGAGGATACCTGTGTAGACGTTCAACACAAAAAGAGAGGTCGCCCAAGACTAAGGGACGAGCGCGATTCTCGGTACGAAAGCACTGGATCGAATTATCCGCCACCGGCAGACACGTTGAGAAGGCCGCTGTCGATGTTCTCCGCTGTAGACGTTTCGATAACAACTCCATATTCCGACGCCCAGAGAAATAGTGGGTATAGAGTATTGAAGTCACAAGGTGGAAATCCGATGAATCACTCAATGGTTCCAACCCCAATCCCAATCAACACTAACGTCTATGGGGAAGCAATGCCGACAAATCAGCGTATGACCCCCTATGAACCGGCCTGTGCATTTCTTACCATGGAAATGCAAATCGCCAAGACAACGCAGGCTTTTTCCGGAGTGGTTGGTGCACATTCAGTCGTGGGCAGGAAACTGCATGATATTGTGAGTGTAAGCGATCGTGATAAGATTTTTCGATTACAGAGGGGATTCGAAGATGAGCGTCGTAGTAGAGATCCAAGTTACCTCCCTCCAATCTTTTCCAAAGAAGAGGAAGATAGGGTTATTCAATCCTTGACATTTGCCACCAACGAAATAGGGCAATTAAGGACCGATCGCCCAGAAGTCTTTACCTTCCAGACACCGGATGGTCAACAAAGGGGCTTCCATGTTCAATTAGGCCTTGCGAAGAAGGACTCGATTTATTTTGTGCTCCTGATGGTTCATATCCCAACAACTCCACAACCATATCAACAATCATCTTCTTCACCATATTCGAGAGACTCGGTATCTCGTGATTCTACATATGGTTACCAAACACCCAGCCAGCTGACGTATGCCTCTCAAACTCCGGGGACCTCACCATTCATGTCAAACCCTTCCTTCGGCGGTGATATGTTGGCTTATCGAACTCCCGGGGCTCTAGGACAAAACGGTGGCATGTCGAATAGTGCCCCTACTTATCCACAGGCTCAAGCAAGACCCGAATATTCCCAGGCTCAAATGAACTATCAGGCACCAATGGGCGAAATACCATCAGCTCAGCCTCAAGCACAGCCGCAAGGCCAAACTCAAAGGTCGTCAGATCTTCAATTGCCTCCGATACGTGGACAAGCACCTGTGGCGGACGCTAGGGGGCAGAGTGATCGCAGTGGTCGGGTCGATATTGGCGGTCTTTTGCAAAATCCTGATCCTTCACGAAGAAGGAAATAATCAAGCAGGCGCAATTTTGGGGGCTTGAAGCCACGTACGCTCATCATTTAGTCTCTAAGAATCGGGGATAATCGGATATTGGGATTTTGTATGGCAGTCGCTGGGTGGGACGGGAGTAGTCACTTCACCGCTAGATCTCAATCCCGAGCAAGCCGCATGAAAACAAGCGGAATGGAATTTTCTTGATATTTCTTCCTCATTTCAATTCTTGTATCATACTTGTTGTATAATATTTTATTAGCGTATGATCGATTTTGTGGATTTGCTATGTTGTGTGGGATAACAATCTGTTTGTTTGTATGGAATACTCTGTTTGGGATTTCTTGTTTGCTATTATCACCAAGCAGGCGTTCAAGCTCTTTGGATTTTTGGATTTTATTGAATGAATGCATTCGTGTCATGTTTGGACATGGAGTTAAAGTTTTTTTTTGGTATTTTTTGGTATCTTTCTTCTTTCAATATGTGAGAAGGTGTGTACGATATTTATTGAATTGAACGGGAAATGGCATTGGCATTGGCATTGGCATATGTATGGGGTTGGATGGGGTGGTTGGGAGAAGGGGAAGGAGAAGGGGAAAGAAAGATTGGATTTTATATCATGATAATGGGATAGAAGTTGGAGGTTGGAGGGTGAGGAGGGAGGAGGGAGAGGAGGATGGAGAGCAGGAAAGAGATGAAGAACAAGAACAAGAACAAGAACAAGATGAAGATGGAGGAGATGAATTAGTAATACATACAGTAAAGAAAATGAAAAGATTTTCTACAGTTCGAGATGGGTTGAAAAGTTGAAAAGAAGGAATTGTTTTCTTTCAACAGTCAGTCAAGGATCCGTATCTGTGCATGATATGATGTGATTTAATGTGCATTTGATTTGATTTGATTTGATTTGATTTGATTTGATTTGATTTGATTTGATTTGATTTGATATGATTTGATATGATATGATATGATATGATATGATATGATATGCATCCAATGCCATATTGGGAGCGGGAGCGGAAGGGATAGAATCGACAATGTATATATATCGTACTTGCCGCCTGGTTGATTGGCATATCTACATACAATTACGTAGACTTTTTTAAGTGTTTTCCGGAAGGAGGGGGTTTGAGAAATACATAAGTTTGCACGGGGTGTTTTTGGTAAGATTTGATGTTTGGAGTTGAGGTTGAGGTTGAGGTTATGATTGAAGAGGTGTTTATGATGGGGAGTGGGAGTGGGAGTAGGTAAGAAAGAAGACTACTGTATTTATTGTATGGTATTGTATGGTATTCATATTGATTGAATCGATCTTGAAATCGGAGATGAGATATCTCCAATTTACCCCAATAGGAGCGGAGAATTGGGGGATTTTTACTAGTTTTTAGTGCTTTTAGAATTTAAGAATGGGTAGTGCTAGTGAGTGGGCAGTCAGTAGTGGGAAGTGGTTCACGCTTTCTTTTGGTTCTTTGGTTTCTTTTCTTTTCTATTTGTGTAGCGGCTTACACGGAGTATCTACCTGTCTGTGAATTTGCGAATATGTGAGTCTGCGGGTATGTGAGTTCGACAATAATGGGTTGTGAGATTTTGAGGTTGTGGAGGGGGTTGAGGATTGAGGTTTGGGGTTTGCTGCGATATATATAAGGTGTTGCGATAGTTTGTATTGTGATGTGATGTGATGGGGATGAGGTGGTGAGTAGTGAGTGGTAAAAATTGTATCATGACCATGAGTGGGTGATATGTCGTATATCGCAAGCTATGATTCCGAAAGGGGTCCTGGAAAATGGTAAGAAGAGAATGAATAGGTTGGGAGAATAGAAGAAATGAGATATGTTTGAGGGATTGCGATGTTATAGAGGTATTTAACCATTTGGATTCTTGATATTGACTCTAGGTATATATATATATATAAGTGTTGCGATACTGGTGAATATGGTCACGTGATATCGATGGCCATATAGGCCTCCCCGCTCTCGAAGTAGGAATAGCCTCAACCAACTTTTAATACAATACTTTTGACCATATGGTATAGCCATTTCACCCCCGAGGTGATACCAACAATAAGTCATCTTTTCGAAAGTGTTGCTTTTCGTTTTCGAGTATGTATGTACCTAGGTGGTTCGCTAGATGAAATGAGAGAATAGGAGTAAGTGACAAAGCTGGAAGATGTCCGTCCATCTATCTCTTGAATTTATATAGATAGATACCTAGCTTGCACTCAGTCGGAATGTGACGAGAATAGCACTAATCTTATTAATGCAGCCTTCTTGATTGGGGTCTCTCGCAGTCATGAATACGTTTAGCATCAAATCCAAAACATGGACCCCAGCAGAGATATATGACTGTGATGTGATATAGCTTAGTGTAGTAGCCACTAATACGTATACGTATACTCTAGACCTAAATCACCCAAAATTTCGTTACCTCACCCTGATACAGAAAGTTTCAAAAATTTGTGTTATTGGGGAGAGCGCCAGTTGATTAAAGCGAAATAAGATACGGTGGTGAATATTATATTTGAAGTATATTGATCTTTGGTGTGAATTTAGGCTCCTTGCTGATATTGTACTCGAGTTAGATTCTATGGCAAACTCGGAATAGACGAGAGAGGATATATTCGATTAGCTGAGTTGAAGAAAAGAATGTGAATCGACTTTTCTTATCACTATAGACTTTACAAGCGAAGTGGAGCGTACGAGTGAGGAGTAGGTTTGTTTGTCGGTATTGAATGTGGTGGATATGGTGGATATGGTGGATATGGTGGATGTGTTGGTGTTTCTTTGGTTTGCATAACCTATCTCTCGTTGTGTGTGGGTGTTGATAGTGATAGTGATTTCAATACCTGGGGATGAGAAGACAAGGGGGACTGAGACTAATTGAAATGCGGGGGATATGTATAAATGCTTACTCGAGTTATAATAAAACGGTTTATTATGAAACTAAAGATTAGCTACTTGGGTAGAGAGTGGAAGCTAGGGCAAGCTTCATTTTTCGATGTTCTAGACCTTAACCTTACTGTACAGAATCTATATCTTTACATCATTACATCTTTACATCTTTCATTTCGGCTTCATGCTCATAGAGTTTGAATATCAAAACATCAACAAAAGTTTGAATAATTGAATTGCGGAAAAGTAGGTCGTGCAAAAACTGGGGTTTGCAATGGAAAGACCGATGACGATGGGACTTTACGAGTAGTAGCGTTCCATGTTCCACGATGGCTTTTTTTTTCGAATGACAATATTGATACATATTTCAACAATCATTTCTGCACTCACTCTCAATCTTGTTTCCTTTTAACAAATCTCATTCATTAATACACTACACTGTCACTATTGAAGTTCTCAATCTTAAATGATTTGATCATTCCAATCAAAATGCCACTCAACGCTCGTTCCCCAATTATACTACACTACCTCCAGAATATCTTCTTGATTGCACTCTGCGCGGCATTCACTCCCCTTTTAACCTTTCTAGCCATTCTCTCCACCCTCATATCCCCCTTTACCGAACTCGCCCAGCACATCAACCACCGTCGAAAATGGCGCGCGAGATCTTCCTCCACCTTTCGTCCCCGCACCATCCTTGTCACGGGAGTCGGAATGAGCAAGGGACTCAGCATCGCGCGATCCTTCTACCGCGCCGGCCACCACGTCATTGGCGCGGATTTCGAACCCTACGGCATACCCGTGTGCGGACACTTCTCGAAATCCATTAGGTTTTATCGCTTGGGGAAACCGTGCGAGAAACAGGGAGCGGCGGGGTATGTCAAGGATATTGTGGAGATCATTAGGAAAGAGAAGGTGGAATTGTGGGTATCGTGTTCGGGAGTGGCATCTGCGATTGAGGATGGGGAGGCGGCGGAAAGGGTGGAGAGGGAAACGGACTGTGTGGTGGTGCAGTTTGGAGTCGGGTTGACGGAGACGTTGCATGAGAAATACTCGTTTGTTAAGCATACCATGAATTTGGGTTTAAATGTACCGCTCACATATAAGGTTAATTCGACAAAGGAAGCTTTGGCGATTTTACATCCGAAGAAGGGGGCAAGAGTCGATGCACAATTTATCATGAAGCCAGAAATGGTGGATGATAGTGTTCGAGCAGATATGACCCTACTCCCACTCCAATCATTTCCCGAGACGGAAGCTCATATCGAAAGACTCAGCCCCTCGAGTACCAGACCATTCGTGCTCCAACAATATATCGCAGGGAGAGAATACTGCACTCATAGTATTGTTCTCAAGGGGAAGATCCACGCATTTGTCGCCTGTCGTTCTTCGGACATGTTGATGCACTACAAAGCTCTCCCCCCATCATCGGCTCTCTCGCAAGCAATGCTTCACTACACCACTCTATACGTCCAGAAAACATCCTCTTCATCCCCCATCACCGGTCATTTCTCCCTTGATTTCCTCGTCAACGAACGGATTGCCGAGAATGCTGAGAGGGCTTTCAAGGTATCAAATGCAGAAATCGAGAAACTCCAGAAAGAACTTTTCCCCATTGAATGCAATCCCCGCGCACATACCGCCGTGGTCCTCCTCAACGACCAAGCGGAAAACATGGCAGAAGCATACGTGACGCTCCTACCCGACCACGACAATAACGAGGTCTTCAGTGGAGGACGTCTTGCAAGTGAACGCGAACCACTAGTACCTAGTAAAGACATGGTCAACACGGGCTATTATTGGATCGGCCATGATTTTGTGACGAAAGTCCTCCTCCCAATATTAGAAGTTCTCCGGTTAGAGAAAGGGATTGGGGGTTTGATTGGGGAGTGGATGGAATTTGTGAAACTTGTGATGCAATGGCAAGATGGCACATATGAGATTTGGGATCCTTGGCCAGCCTGGTGTTTGTATGTGTTGTTTCTGCCGGGATGCTTTTGGGTGAGTATTTGGAAGGGCAGGTGGTGGAGTAGGTGTAATGTTAGTACGGGGAAGCTTTTTGGGGTTTGAGTGGGAGGATCGGAGTGGGAAAATTGGGGTGGGACGAGCGGATGAGGGAGATGAAGAGTTTGTGAGGGGTTGTTCAAGTAAAGTAGGATTGCAGAGTTAGGGCTATGAACGTGTGGAGTGAGGTTTGGGGGCAATGACTGATGTTGGAATGGCTTCTGATTAGGGGCCAGGCCGGGCCGTAAATTGCGAGATTTGGGGGATACTGTAGAGTGGTGGGATTTGCGAGTTGTATAACATAGGTTCAGACCGTTGATTATTTATCGGAAGGCTCATCGGGATATGGCGAGCGTGACGCGGTTCATTCATAGCAGTCAGTATTACTATTAGTATTAGTAGCAGCAGTATTAGGTATTACCGAGTAGTAGCAGTAGTATTAGAATGTATACGAGTACAGAGAGAGATACAGTGCTGCCAAACTAGCATAACGAACGAAATATGAATATGAGTATGAGTATGAATATGAACGCCTTAATACTATCTATCTAAGGTAGGAGAGTAGATATGATAGAAGGGTAGAATCTATCGTAGGAAAATAGAATCTATAGTGAAAGAGTAAGATAAAATCTATAATAAAAGAATAGAATTAATAAAAAAAGGATAGAATTCATATAAGTAGTATAGAATCTAATCATTCAAGCATAGATTCTAAATAATATGAAAATAAAATGATTTCGATTTTCGATTTTCGTATATCTCACTAATTCCAACTCCAAATCTACTCTTAAATACTTACTTTACTTTATTTATACTCAAACTTATACAGTACTCAGCTATAGAATCTACCCCTTTTTCCTTTTTCAATATAGAATCTAAAAGGCATGAGAGTAAAATTCCCTATCCATTATAAGAGATGCAACAAAACTTTTCGTAGCACTAGTTCAACTAATTGATCAATCAACTATAGAATCTACCATTTTTCCACTATAGAATCTAAGTGGCATAAGAGTAAATTATTTTAATTTTCAGATATGCAACAAAACTTTTTGTTGGTTACGAGATCAATGGGTTTCCTTGTGAGAAATCAGGAACTCCTGACTGTCATCACATCAACTCGAGTATAGAATAAAAGAAGGATGATATTGAGAAAGAAATAAAGTTTATTAATAATAAATAGGAATCCCATCATACAAGTTTTTTAAAAAATAGTGGTGGATTTTAATTCTATATAATAAGATAAGTATGTACAAGATCTTTCCTTTTCGATATTTGATATTCGTACAGTAATACAGTACAAGGTATTTATTTCATCATCTTCGCATCATCTACTCGTAGATGCCGTTCGTTAGGTTGGGTTCTCATAGCCTAATCCTCGTTGCACCTTTGGTCTTTTCCCCCCTCGATACTGTGGACGTTCATCCTTTGCTTTTCGCTCTGCAGCTTTCCCTTCATCCTTTGCTCTTGGCTCTGTAGTATTCCCTTCTTCCTTTACTCTTGGCTCTGTAACCTTCCCTCCTTCCAATGACTCCGTACCCTTCCCTCCTTCCATTGACTGCTGGGACTTCTTCATACTTTTATCAAATTTTATCTTCAATTTTGCTTCCCTGTTATCCGCATTCACTCTAGCTTCAAGTGTCCGCTTATTCTTGAGCTTCTCTTCATGCGCTACGATTTCTTTCCATACCTCCTCCTGTCGTTGCGCATGCGCTTCGCACTCCTCTTTATCGTAAGCATGGAATACATCCGTGGTCCAGAAATCGGCTTTCCAATCCCATCTCCGAGCCCCCGTCCCATACTCCCTCAAAAAAGCCTTTACTCCGTCATCCGCTTTTACCATCTTCAACCTGTGTCCCCTTATCACTGGCAAGAGTTCGGGTCTTTGGGCTAGATGTCGTATTTTATTCGCTTCGGTCTTTCGTGACAAGATTATATAGGCTTTGACACTACCCACGCTCGACACATGCACATATCCTTTTATGGCTGTGCAATATCCCTTGAAGCCTTCTATCAATTCTTCGTTGGTGATTCCGATGGGTAATCTCTCGACACGAAGACAATTCTCGAGATTCTTCTTAATAACCCTGGGATCTAAATGTGTCGGTAGTCCATAAATACTTTCCGTTCGTGTCTTCAGCCTTGACTGGCGCACTTCTACCCTTGCTTTCCTCAATTCCTCCTTATCTGGATCGATGTCGAATGGAAGACCAGGGGTGTTTGCGACCTGTGCCAATCGGATGTTGTAATCACTATCTAGGTCTATGTGATTGAGCCAACCTTCATCATGATTGGTGCCACACTTCACACACGCGCGATGCTCCATACTGTTTTCAACACCACATACTTTAGAATTACATATCCAAACACTAGGTTGAGGAATAAGATCATTCTCGTATATTTGTGTGACCACTTCACCATCTTGAGGGTGACTAGTTGATTGATTATCAATTGTTGGGGAATCCCACGGATAGTCAGTCGCCTGGGAGTCCCTAAACAAATCACCCCTGGGCTTGAAAGTAAGATAATTTCTGTTGAGTAATGGATTTACGGGATCGACATCTATGGGATCGGAGGCACTTGCGTGGTATCTAATCCTTAGGCTATAATGAGGGGGTAAAGAGGCTTCTGGTTGGACAGAACTCGAGACTTTTGAAACATCCAAAATACTCTTGATCGCCGGGTCATTGGTAGGAGATAAAGAGACTTTTGGTTGAATAGGATTCCAGTCTTTTGAAGCATCCAAAATACTCTTGCTCGCCGGGTCATTGGTAGGAGATAAAGAGACTTTTGGTTGAATAGGATTCCAGTCTTTTGAAGCATCCAGAGTACTCTTGCTCGCCAGGTTATTGGTAGGAGATAGAGAGACTTTTGGTTGAACAGGATTTGAGACTTCTAAAACTTCAAGATCGCCCTTGGTCTCCGCAGTCGGAATGTTTGATCCACCCATAGTAGATTTCATTATTTCCGCCAACCTTCCTGTGATGGGAGTCATCAATTTCACAGGTATCTTCTGGGGTGGAGTCAATATTCTCTGTGACCGTTCCGGAAGGGTTGAATCTTGATACGTATGTCTATATGTAAATTTGGGTGGCAGTGATGGGACAGGAAGAGATAGTCGCTTGATCGTCATTTCCTCGAGAAGGCGTCCCATATCTGGTCCTATCTCTTGAAAATCTGGTATAGGTGGAGGAGTAACAGATTCATAAGATAAACACACAGCGGTCGCATAATCTCCATCATGACTTATGCTCATCGGTACTATCTGATCGTCTCCTCCTGTTGCAGATTTTATAAGTGTGATCGGCGCTCTTGATCTGAGTTTATCCAGAGATGGGTTATCAATCGTGATGTCGTGGAAACCCAATTCTCGTATGCTAAACGCTTTTTTTGCTGCTTCCTTCGCCGCATACCTGTATAGAGTAAAGTCAGCTTAGTCTATAGCCTGCTATTATAAATTCTGTCTAGACCCACCGACCAGCCAGGAACCTAGCGACTCCTTGCAGATTTACTTTCAACTGATTTAACGTTGATGCCTCTTCCTCTTTTGTTAATATCTTCGGATGTCCTTGCGTGGTATAAGGCGCCCATATCAAAGAACCCACAGGCTCACTATTCGCGCTTGTATTATTCGGAAGAGGTATTTCTTTCGCTGGAACAAGTCCAATCAGAGCCTCTAGGCTTTTCGCCCTCCATGTCTGTCGATTTTCTATCTTCTCTTGAATGAACTCCCTTCGTTCCATAAAATAAAGATATTCGATCAATGGTAATAATCGCGGTCGATACCACACTTGCTCTTGGGGAGTGAACACCCTGCGGATGAATCGATGCGCATATTTCGATTGGTGCTTCGTCAGGATATCGCTGATGCGACTGATTTGGCAGATGTCAGTGCCGACATTGACGGGCAACGGGAATGCTCGTTGCATGTTGTGTAGATGGCGTTCAAATAGGTGCTGTGTAAAGTTGCCTCATACTGGAGCTATAGATGTTGTTCTTCATCTATCATCTATCATTTGTCATCTGTCGTCTGGGGACACCAAAATTAAATAAGTTTTTTTTTATAATTATACAATCGTTGTGATAAGAAACTTTGAAGCTCGGACCCTTTTGCTCGATCATTCTAGTACAACAAGGGGACTAGTCATGATATGTATAACTAATGATATAATAACTCGAGTAGCACTTGAGTCTTAGATAACTCCAAGTTGCGAAAGGAAGGTAGTCAATCTTATGGATAAGGTTATGGTATGGTATGGTATGTATGGGTCTTCATCATATCAGATAGATATACCAGTCAAGGAAATCAGTAGAAATTAATAATGTGCTAACCCTGAGCCTAAAACTATGAATAGATATCGCATTATTGCATAACCTTCCGAGAAATGAAAAGAGAAACACAACCATGAGAGAAAAACATCCCTCAAATCCATGCATAAAACCTATTAACGCAAAGGGGTATCCGTGACGACACTGCGAACACCCATACTAATTGGAAATCCCCCTGCATGAAGTACCTTGTTTTCAAATATCAAATCGACTTTCCGATGTAAAGGTTGTCATGACCAAGGTATTGAAGTGAGTGGAAGTCATGAGAGGTCAGTCGCCGTTTCGACCAATTTAGTTGTTGTCCAAAAGAGGAGCTCTCTCTCGATCCTCAGAAGCAAGTGGTGATGAGTCTCTTCTGAATGAGATCTCTTTACCGAAGATTCCAGGGATGACAATGACCAATGTAGCAAGGAAGAGAGTGCCCATTATTGCAAAAGCAAATATCCATTGAAGAGCAAATACTTTAGTGAAGAATTGCCCGACTCCAATTGCTGCTGTGATAATACTAAGAGCAAAACCCATGGTATAATCCTAATGAATTGTAAGCATTTCTAGAATTCTTTATGGCCGAGACTTGAAGTTCGAATCAGGATGAAACGTACCTTGTAAACAGCAAGGAAGAATAGTCCATAGACTAGGATTCCCCAGATTGCAACATTTGCGACAATGCGTGCAGCAAGGTTATGAGCACCAACAGCAATAGCTCCATTCCAATACAAGGCTACGAATATCCAAGCAAGTGGACCAGATGTAGCCGGCATATGAATGAACCTTGGGGTTGTGCTATGACGGAAGTAGAGGGAGGAAAGATTGATGAAGTTGATGATCAACATAATTTCAGCCCATATGAAGTGGGATCGAACGAATAGCATGACGAATGCAAATTGGAAGAGATTGTTGACGATGAAATGACTTCCAACTGATGCTGCGGCGCTGACATGCTCGGCCTCGTCGCTGAAGAGGTGAAGAACATATCCTATTTGTAGAATGAAGAGGAATAGCCTATGCTTTCATGTAAGCTCTTAAGCTCTGGGATGCGGTAAGATATATAGGACCATACCAATAAAATGAAGCTATGAAGGCGTTCATAGCAAATGGTGTATGGTGTATCTTGTTCTGTTCCCAAATAGTATGGCGCCAAGAGTGTTTGTCATCTTGAGGTGCGTGAAAGTTGTAGTAGAAGGTGACCACTACCACCAACAACCAGGATATGATTGTACATATTTTATATGTCCAGATTGCTTGAATTGGGTGGGTATCTCGTCGCGCGAATGGGTTTGCTGTATTCCATAGAGTTAGCCTAGAAATAGACTGAAAGAGATTCCATGAGAGGAAGTACCTTGCGCAAATGAAGGACTCATTGTGAAGTTGTGGAAGTTGTATCTGAGGAAGTTTAAGAGTCAAGGAGGATATTGATTAGTGTTTGTTGATGGTCGTCGTCTTGATGAAGGAAGTAAAGCGTCTTGTTCGCGAAAGGGGGGCTGATGCTGGCTAAAAGTGAATTTCTCTTCAATGACCTTGAAACTGGCGTTTGAAAAGAGGGGAAGAGACTTGAGATAAACAGTCACGTACCAAGGAAGAGTTACGTACAGAAACAAAGCAAATGTAAAGAAAGGGTCTCACGAATATTGGTAAGATTGAAAGAGGAGAAAATCACTGTCGCTTGAGCTTTAGCATCAATGACAAGAATATAAATTGATTTTGATTTTGATGTTTATTCACAAGGGAAGAAACTTATCTGGGTGGATAGTATATAAATAAAGTTAAGGAATCCAAATAAACTAGGTAATCAAGCTTCTAAAGTAAGCAAAACCGATCTGGGGATTTGGAAGTGACGTACGCTTAGCCAAAAGCTAAAAGAATGTGGAATGTGGCAGGATCCTCTATTGGACCCTTGAAACTATATTAGGTGTGTATAGATATATACCCCGCATCCATCAAACTCAAGCGAACCTATCATTCAATCATTCAATCATTTCGAAACCTGAATTATCGTCTTCATACAAGGGATTGGATGGTCTAAAAGTTAAGTTGGTGGTTGGCTGAGGTTGAATGTCAATGTTTCCTCTAGTAGCGTGACAAAGTAAGTGCAACTTATACATCGTATGGAGCCCCTCCCATCAATACCATATATATTAAATCCCCTGACATACTAGAAGAATTGATTGAAAAATGGATTGTTCTGGGTTGATACAATAACAGCAAATTAGATGGATCCGGAGCCAATTATCCGACAGGTAGGTGGTCGGTAGTGATGAAGGGGGGAGGAGAGGGTAGAGATCATCGAAGTTGGCTTAGCAGGAGATTTTGATGCAGATTTCAAATAATCTTCGTGATCGTTGCATCTAGATTAGCAATACTTATGGAGGGAGAACTGTGAGATAGCTGGTATAGAAGAAGATTTCAATGTGTACTGTATACGCTCTTGGAGATCATCGCGCGCGAATTTACTTGGTTATTGAAAGGTTGGGGTCCAAGCTTGATTTAGGACTGTTTTGAGTGGTTTCGCTACTGCTGGAGGTTTGAGTAGAACACGGATATTGCATTGTGTCTTTTAACCTTGATGCAATCCTCTTCAACTTTCAATTTTATATCCCCAACTTGCAGGTGTTATTTCCTTCAACTTTGATTTAGGAGATATTCCTTCTGTACAAGAGTGAGTTAAAGTATGTCATTGAAACGACACGCACTTTCTGACTACTAACGGGATCCCAGATCATCCGATTAGTGGTGTAGCCTCGGTCAATACCATCTCTTGATCCAATAGCTTCATGATTTGTCTCCCTTTGTTTCTCCACAACCGAGATGGGACCTGTAAGACTTACATCCCTCCCACTCTCCACATCAGTGATCGTAATGGGTGGTAATGAGTGGGTGGTAGCCACGGAAGCCTGCGGGCTGAGTGGGATTAAAGTGTCCAAAACGGTATTTGGGTAGAGCGGGGTACTTGGGATTTGCGGCTTATAGTTATGTGTATGGGATGAAAATAGGGGGATAGTGGAAATGAATAGGTGTGGAGATGGGGGTAGAGGGGTATGCATGAGCATACATAGGAAACATGAATATATGAGAACAATATGAATAACTATTTAGTTTCCTAAAGAAATAGATGCGTGTTCTGTTACTAGTCCAATCATCCATTCGATTGTTATGTATCTGCTCGTTGATGTAAAACAGGGAGGACTTCGACAAATTCCGTAAAGAAATCGGTGAATATGCGGTTGTCAAACTTGACATTACAATTTTATTGATGTGGAGAGAGTGCTTGCCGTAGCCATTTAACGATAGGTTGGTTTATTATCTTTAAAACATACAGTGTGTTGAACATTGCTAGAAGCTGCCGCGATATAGTGAAGAGGGGAGAGGGCGCACTCCTTCAAAAGACTTTGTCCTCGCGTTGGTCCGCCGCTGATTGATCACTATCAGAAGCTGCCAGAATATAGTAGTGAAGATGCGTTGGCCCGCAAACAAATCTTCCGAGCAACCAGAGCATCATCACTGATCAGACAGGCGAAGAGGAAAAGGGAGAAGAAGGAGAGTTATGTGTATGTATTAGGATCGGCCAAACTTCACAAGAAGCTGATATTACAATCAACGAGTCAAGCCTTGCAGTCTGCCACTAATAAAGCTATCAATAAGGATGCAAAAAGCGTAAAAGGAGCCCCAATTGAATTCACAACTCGAGCTCTTCGATCCTTTCTTGATAGCTTTATCTATTGCGGACCGAAGGATTCGAATGGAAACTTTTGTGGTGGTTCATGTACTAAGTATGTGGCGAAAGAGTGTGGATGTGAGGGTTTCAAGGGTATGTAGAAAGAATAGATGGAGGAGAATCTCGCGAAAAGAGCCAACCCCTATTCGGCGGGCTGGAGAATTTTCGTTGTTTTACCGAAAACCTCTTACACATGTCTTACACCGAGCCCCTACCACTGGCAGAAAGAATACGTGTTTTTCCACCGAAAGCCTCATTGGTTTTATGGTTGGCTACTAGCCATTCATTTGAACTCTGGCTGGGCTGAAGTTGAATCATCAACTTTCATCATTCAACTTCTTGTAAACTTTCTTCTTCATCCAATCGCGAAACCAAGGCTTCAACTTCTCGATATCAGAGTTGAGATGTTCGTATACGTAGAGAGCTTCCCAGATGTTTTCAATAGGAAGGTCTTGCATCTCATCAATTATAGCCTTATGCAAAAGTCGGAACCAAAGCTTCAAGCTGAGAAATTGCCACACATTGCGAAAGGTCTTTACCGAATAGCTGAATGGATGGAAGATGTTCTATGACAAGTTTACCAAAGTGCAATTATGAAAAGTTATTGTTTTGCTGAGGAGGTTGAATCCTGTAGCTGAGATAATGCCTCTAGCTTTGAGTAACCCTTCAATTTATGTTTTGGCGAGTTCGTCCAAAAATAAAAAATAACGTTGGACCCAGCGGTGCCGAGAGTGCCATGAATGGGTGGGGAGATATCGCATTCACGGAATTGATGTTGGCCATGTTGCTTGATGGTTCGTTTGTTGGTTTGGTGGAATGGTTTTCCACTGGAATTGCCCTTTGTAATTGTTATTGTTGAGCAAGAGGTTGACTTTGAATTTAAATTGGAAGTGTGAACAGGAGCTCGCAATGTTGCAAGTAATGGTGGAAGGGTAGGAGGTTGTGGGGGAGGGCGACAAATGTTCTTGTTGCTTCTTCGTATAATCCTCTTTTGACTTACATGCAGGTATTTCGAAGGCTGTTTGAATTTCCAGAGAACCATTAAAATTTCAAGCACTTTTCTTCGGCCTACGCCATCTATCCTCAGCACTCCTCCACTTCCGCCCGGACTATAGTCCGTCCATGATGGCTAATTGCTGGAGTCTGTTGACAGGGTATTTTCCCGCCATCTGCGCAGTCTTTTTTCAAAACTTTGTTCTCGCATTGGTCCACTGAATAATCACTCTGGCGCATGACGCCCAGATCCATATGCCGAGAGAATCCATTGCGGTGTGTCGGCCGTCAGGTCTTGCTTTGCAACTGGATAAGAGGTTGGAAACAGACAATGAGAATGGAGAGAGTGAAAGTGAAAGAGGGGACGAGAGTGGAAGCGATGGAAGAGACAACGGGAAGGACGGAAGGTCAAGACACAAGGCACATTGAGAGTCGTCTCTAACGTGTTGCACAGTTCTCGCATGATCCAAAACTACCTGATGTCCACTGGGACGATCCAAGACCATTTTTCGGATGGGTATAACAAGGAAAAGGGAGAAAAAAAGGGGAGGTTGAATCTTATGATGAGTAATTGAGTGGATTCGCGTATCTAACTTAGATTTTTGGTCATTTAGAATGTAACTCAGAAGCACAGTATCGAATCTTGGTGGCGGTAACCTTCACATGTACTCGAGTACTAGGTATGTTATGCGTCTACTGGAGTAGATTATGCAGGAGAGATGTGTTATTTTGAGGATGTTCAAACAATGAACCAAGAAGCGAATCAAGAAAAAACAAAGTGATCAATTAATGCATTATGATGGTATTTTTAAGCCATCCTCGCCGCCTATTTTGTATATAACATCACTTCCAACTCAACCAGTTCCAATACCTAGTATATATTTACCACACTTTTACCCACAACGTTCGATCATGGCACGATTCAATTCAATTGTATCTGATTGGTTCAGATTAATATACGATTACGGGGGGGAAACTGCGCATTGACACACACATCTAAAGCTTATCGGACGTGTCGGGCTCTCTTGATCCATATGACTCCTATTGTTGTTGATCGACACTCCCCCAGTTGTCTCCTTCCTTCCTTCTTCATAAGTCTCTCATCCTGATATCTGATATCTGTCGTTTGTTATCACCTTCAGAACTTCATCACAACAGTTCTCTCTCTAAACTTCTATCGAACGGATCTGTTAATCAGTTCAATTCCTTATCTCTAATCAAGATGGCAATCTATTCATCAATTCCGCCACCCTCACAACAGGCTTCTGGCTTAGCAGGTCCGGATATTGAGGCTTGGACTGTGTCTGCTTTAGAATCACTCAATGTTTCTCCTACTGCTCGTGGTACTGGTGTTATATTTTCCATTCCTCTCGAGATAGATGAACCTCTTGGAGATGTGGCACCATCGAGACCTGCCGCCTCCAAACCTCGCAAGGAGCTTCTAAAACGCGATAGTCAGAAACACAGAGAAACATTATTGAGGGGGAAGGAGGGTAGTCGCAGACGTCAGAGATGGGAGAATGGTAAGTGCAATTGATGAGCTGTGATATATAGAGATAATCAATTGCCACTCATCCGGCAACCCCCATCTCCAGCATCGTCGCATACATAGTCATGTAACGCGATACTTGATGTATTGAATCAAGAGCAAGTGACATTGATTGCTGATCAAAATTACATCCACAGATCACTTTCTACATGTTCCAAATGCCCAACCTCCACTCCCAAGTGATTGGGAAGTCCGCCCGACTTACCCAGTTCATCATGTACCGTACTACTTGGCCCCTTTGTGGGATGCAGGTATTCGTCATCGAGCCGAAGAAATCGCCGCCGAAAAGCAGTTGAATAATGCCAAAAGGGCTGGTATACATGAGGAGAAAGGTCGTGTTCCACAGGATTTAAGACAGAAACTTAAGAAGAGCAAGGGTGCTAAAAGTCTTCTGCAAGACTTGGAGGAGGAAGTGAGAAATTTCGTGCAAGAATTTGAGGGCAAGCAAAAGATCTTGGGACAAATGAAAGAAGACGAAATGGATAGTGAAGATGAGGAGATCGTGTTCATTGGAAGGAATGGCACGATGAGTGATGAGCAACGGAACTTGGTCGAGGAAGAGCTACAAAGAGAGAAACTAGTTTTCGATTCTTTGGCTGATGATTCTGGGGCAAGCTTCGGGTATGCTACTTCTGAACATTCGAGAGTTCCTACTGACAATTCACAGGCGCTGGCTCGTCCATTCCATTGCATCCTACTATGGTCTTACTTCTCGCTCTGTCACAGTTGGTGCTCGTCGTGAGGCCTACGTCGGTATAAAGGAGATGACTACTAGTGGCGAGATCACTCGTTCGCAATTAGACCTCCCCCGCCCGTTGTGGGGAATGATCTAATTGCGGAGGTTTGATATTTTGCCCTGGTAAACTCATTCTCATAACACTCCGCTCTGCTCTGGCTATCAGTGCCATATCACAAGCTTATTTTTCAGTTTTCCTATTTCTTGGTACAGTTAGCCTATACCTCACATCTCACTTAGTTCTGCATGGCTTTTAGATCAGTAGATGATTGATCTAGACTTTTCTAGAATACTTCAAATACTTATGGCATTCACATTCACATTCATGATATCTAATTTGCTACTCCGGACAACAAACCTTTCATTATTATTATCATTATTATCATTGTTATTACTGTATTGTATTACTATTGCCGATAAAACCTTCAGTCATAGCGGTAGGTACCTGTTTTACGCTATAAGGCTGTAAGGCTCTAAGGTCGGATCCACGAGTTTCAAGACAATGTCCGAGGTCTCCCTTCCACGACCCCCACAGTATTTGTTCGAATCCCTGTACCAATTCCGCGAATATATCTTTTGGGAGATTTTACAATTAAGATTCTATAAATTTACAACATAACTATAGATAAAGTTACCTGAGCATCTTTTTTCCCTCATTTCCCTACAAGATGCGCATATAAATTATTCCTTTCATTAATCGGACATCTTTAGATTTACAGTCATTATGAAACTCCGAACTACATCGGCGCGATCCTTCCGATACCTATCAACAAATTATAGAAGTACATACAAAAGTTCATGGCAGGGGATATGTATAAATTGCCATCAACCCAGCAGAGAAAGAGGGCGGAGATATATCTCTGCGATTACACTGGGAAAAAGAACTTCAGTCGCAAATCCGGCCACTGATTTGCCAATACAAGGACGTTTACTGGCCATTCCCGCCTCTTTCGTTGCGGGACAGAGAAGGACTTTGGCAACTGTTCAAAATGGTACATGATTTTCCAGGATAAGGTGAAACGTTTACTAGAACTACTACAGGTAACGCAGACAATCGAGGACCTATGAAAGAATACAATGCGCGCGTTGCTTCGGGACAACTAAGGGACGATGAGCACCAAAGAGGTCAGCAGCATACATCTACACTTCGTTCTCATAACAAAGTCTGACAAAATATGCTTCTAGGCATTATACAAAGTCTTCAACACCTTCACGATGAATTACGATATTACCATGCGCCTGCCATTGTCCACCCCACCCTCGAATCTCTGAAACCCCCACCAACCTCTATTTTTGGACGTATATTTGGAAATAAACCCAAAGAATCGGCGGTGAAGGACATTTCGGAAGATCTTCCGCGAGGTCTGTATCTGTATGGAGATGTGGGGAGTGGAAAGACTATGTTGATGGACATGTTTTATGAGACACTACCAAGTAGTGTGGCATCGAAAACAAGGATTCATTTCCATAATTTTATGCAGGATGTTCATAGGAGGTTACATCAGATGAAGATGGAGTATGGGAATGATATCGACGCCGTACCTTTTGTAGCAGCAGATATTGCGGCGAAAGGGAATGTTTTATGTTTTGATGAGTTTCAATGTACGGATGTGGCTGATGCTATGATCCTCAGAAGGTTTTTCTCCCTTCTCCTTTGGCAGAGTTCCTGTTCTTATACTAATCTTTCAAAGGCTCCTAGAATCTTTAATGTCTCATGGAGTCGTCCTTATCACAACCTCCAATCGTCACCCGGATGACCTCTACCGTAATGGTATTCAACGAGAATCCTTCATCCCCTGCATCAACCTCCTCAAGTCCCGTCTCCACGTGATAAACCTCGACAGTCCTACCGACTACCGAAAGATTCCCCGCCCTCCTTCCGGCGTCTACCATTCGCCCCTAGATGCCCATGCGCCTACCCATGCCGAAAAATGGTTCCGGTTCCTTGGCGACCCTGACCAATCTATCCCTCATTCAGAAACCCAACGTGTCTGGGGTCGCGAAATTCACGTTCCGAAAGTCAGTGGTAAAGCTGCCATGTTTTCATTCGATGAATTGATTGGGAGACCTACTAGTGCAGCCGATTACATTGAATTAATGAAAAGCTACGACGCATTTATCGTTACCAATGTCCCCGGGATGACACATCAACAGCGTGATCTCGCCCGCCGTTTCATCACATTCATTGATGCCGTCTATGAATCTCGCGCTAAACTGGTCCTCACAACCGCAGTTCCATTAACGCAACTCTTTCTTTCAAAAGCTGAAATTGAAGATAGTATGAAGAAAGATGTAGAGGATAAGAAAGGACAGAAAGAAGCTGGGAATGAGAAAGAAGAACTTAATGATGCGATGAGAATGATGATGGATGATTTGGGCCTAAATATGAATATGCTGAAAAGTAGTACCATTTTCAGTGGAGAAGAAGAGAGATTTGCGTTTGCGAGAGCGCTGAGTCGACTGAGTGAGATGGGGAGTCAACAGTGGGTAGAAAAGGGGATGGGGTTAGAGAAAGATGGGGGGAAAAGCGAGAAAGAGGGGTGGCAGAAGGTTAGAAGTAAGAGGATGGAGGATATTATGTAGGGGGTGGAGAAATTAGGGTCGCGCAGGAGTTGAGATCGCTTGAGATACCAATGGAGGATTTGTATAGCTGACGGAGGAGGGACAGTGACATAGACCTAGATCGAGGTTTGGTTGGAAAGAGGGAGATTTGAGTTTTTTTTTTTTGAATACCATTGCAGTATATTAAGCCATGATGGAAGGATAAGAATATATACCCATATACCCATATACTACTCATGTACATACTCGAGTACACATACACATATACATATACATATACACAAACTCACTCAAGCACATTTCTGTCCACCAAGTGAGATGAGATGGGATAGGGAATTTGAAGAATGGACCTTCGGCAAGGAAATTAGGCGAGCCCAGGAGATGGAAAGGAAGGTGAGTGAAATAGGGAGATGGTTGATAATACTATATATCTAAAAAGGCCTTGATACTTCTTTATTTTATCCGATGTATGTTTAGCTGAATGGGTCTTAACTCTCAATCTCAATCTCAATCTCATGCACTTTCTTTCTATCTAATATCTATCAGGAAGGGAATTAGTGCATACTACTTCATCCATCTCATTGGCTCAATTGTTTCCAGATCTGTGATAAGTCTGCAGAATATTGTTCGACGCCTATATATTCATTCATTTAAGCTCATTCATTTGATCATTGAGTTGATCAAATCACTTCTATTACATAATCGGCAAAGATATTTCATCTGGCGTCTACAGTAATCATTACATTCAAGCTGAATTTCATCCATTCGTCTCGGTCTTCATCCTCATCTCCACCTCCACCTCATATCTATCTCACTAATTCCCATCCCATAAATATTCCCAGCATCCGCGTGAACCACCGAATACGAGGGACACTGAACTACAACTCCGTCCTAATACCACCAACAATCAAATCTAACCAAGCCGCAAGTCTTCCCACATCATCAGCACTATATTCTCCCCAAAAGTCGTACTCACAACCACTCACCTATATCCCGCGCGCGCGACTTGTAATTCAACCACCGGCACACACCCCTCATAATACTCATCCCCCAACTCCCTACCCTGCAAAACCTCCGCTCCATCCGGCATAACCGTCTCACAAATAAAAGCATTCGAGTCCCTCGCCCAACCCAAAGCCGTCGTTAACGGATCACCGATATCCATACCGTAAAGCCACGATTGCGCTTGGTATTGATATATTCCGGTTTGAATCGCGGTTGTGAGGACGCGGGCCCAGGCTTGAGCATCGGTTATGGAATATCCTCCTACGAGTTTCTCCGGTATGCTGGTATCCCAGATGGAATGCAGGTTGGTGGGTTTACCGGTGAAGTTTACGTGGATGTTGTTACCTCCGATGTCGATGTTCTCGGCGTGGAGGGGTTGGTGGATGTCTCCGATAAACTGGAGTTATGATGAGTTTTAACGGGGGAATTGGGAGGTGAATGAATACGCACGTGAATAATAAACTATGTGTATTAGTTGTGTTCGAAATGGTTTGGATGTTCATACCTTTGCAGCAATATATTTATCATACTTCGCCACATTCGGATTCAGTAGTTGACTTGTCTGATCTATTGGTTAGCATCAAATCCCATCTCATTGCATCTGTCCATCCTCATATTCGAAGAGACCAGAGTCTGGTCATTGGTAAAATTTCCAAATTCCTAGCCAATCCACAGCATTTTCAGTATACACAGTGCCGAGAACCATCCGTATTCCCCAAGACTTCTCACTCACAAAATTTAGAATAGCTCCCACAACACAACCCTCCTCGCCACAATCCCTTGCAAACTTCACCCCACAAGCTGAAAAAGCGCCTCAACGTCAGTTTTTTCTTTCCATCTCAGCCCCCCATAAAGGAATTGTACTAACACCTAGGAACATCATCCAGCGCATCGATAAAATGCCACGGCGCCGTAGCCCTCCCCGCCTTCGTATACCTAAAGCTATCCGCCCACTACAACCCCAAATTATCAGTCACTGCTCGGTGCAAGAAACCTTCCTCTTCGTCCCCTGATCCCCTGAACCAGACCACATCCACATCCTTCTTTTACCCCCCCTTCCAAAACCGTGTCCAAAATCAAGCAGCACAAAACACAAAAACTAGCCTACTCACCGTCGCCACCCCTGCCAAATAACTCTCCGATCGATTTCCCAACAAACTCTGAAAGTAATCCTTCGTCCCATCGGCCACGAAATTGGTAGCTACATATGCGACTGTTTGATGACCCAGTGTTCCCCAGGCGGTGATTGTGGGAACCAATCCAAGACTTAGAAATGGGAGGACTGCGTTGTATTTCATGTTCAATCTCTCTCTCTCTCTCTCTCTCTCTCTTTTGAAGAGTTGATGTGATGGTAGGATAATAGATGAGGTTTGTTTCTTGTAATATTGTATTGTATTGTATGAGATCAGTGGTTGGTGGTCTTGTGATGTGACAGAATGATTGGTGGCTGGTGCACGTGGTGATTCTGTTCTTGTCTGTTGTCGTGGGTGGGGATTGAATAAATGGTTGATTGCGGAACTACCCAATTACATCCAAAGTCCGAGCTTCCGAGAGCCCAATATAATTACACTCGAGTATCGGTAGGTGTCTACTGGAAACTCACCGGGGGTCCAGCAGTGAGTTAGTTCTTAAGTCACTGGTAAACTGATATTTATTTTTCTCGGCTACCGATGAGCTTACTTTTTTCTCGCCGAACTTTTGTACAGTAGTAGGAATCAAGATGATAATTGTAATCAACTCTAAGATCATTTATCTTTCCCTATCACTGTATAGCTTTCGAAGTCAAATAAGAACCATACGAGGACAAGGTAGCAATATATCGAGTGAGTAGCAAATGCAGAAAAAACACCCTACTCTTACTCCCTATAAGAAGTTTCTTGTGCTCAAATTTTTATTCAACTTCGTCTATACATTATATCATCATTCATTTCGTCTTCTTTCTACCCTTTCATTCTCTCTCTTTCGTCTCAACATTATATTCCCTCGTCAAATTCATAGGTATTCCATCATCCTCGGGTATCATCATCGTCTTTTTGGTCAATTTCTTGCTGAAAGGTCACTTCTTCGGGTGCTGGATTCCTTTCGGAAGAACTTTCTTGTTCTTCTCCTTCTTCTTTGAGTGAGCTTTCGGAAGCTGTGGCTCTTTCCCCATACAATTCATCGCCGTACATTCCATCAGATTCTTTATTCACCATAGCAGCATTTTCATCCAATTCATCACCGTAAATTCCATTAGATTCTTCAGTCACCATAGCAGCATTTTCATCCAATCCGACACCGTCAACGTGGCCATTTACTCGTTCATATTCAGCAACCATAGCTGCAATAGTGTTTTTCCACTGTTCATCTCCCCCATGACATCTCCTCCAAAGAGAAGACCATTCCCCAGGCTTTGCAGGATCCTCGATTGTTTCTTGCTCAACATCCGGATGCGCAATCAATAAACAAGCTTTAACAGATTCTGCAATGGTCCCTTCCAACTTCACGGCGGGATTTTCTTGATCTAAATCTCCAATCCATGTGCGTAGCGTTTTCATACAACCTTTTTGATGCCCCGTCTCTGCTACCCTTTGAAACATATATGCATACATGTCGGCTGACTGTGGTTTGAACTGACGAAGTGGTAATCTCCAGATATCCCAGAAAGCTATCCAATGTCCATTTCTTGCATAAAGTTGCATCAATCGCATTCTAGATTCATCCGAAAAGGGAGGTAACGTCAGATTCATCATTAGAGTATGAATTCGACGCTGAATTGGTGACATGGCCTTTGTTGGTATCCCGAAAGATTCATTCATAGTTGCTTTTGGTCGAATGGTAAGGAGATCTTGATCCAAAATTCGTTCTGTTGCTTCTTGTATAGTCACGAACATTTCTTCTACAAAAACCTTGTGGCCTCGTCTGTACATTGTTTGAATGACCTTCAATGCGAGCCGGACATTAAGGCGTGGAGGAGCGTGGCTATTGTCTGAAATGCCTGGAGCGGGTTCAAGTAGGGTACGTATGATTTTGTGGTAATATTCATCAGATATATCACTGCCGTCAAATTTCTTTCCTTCAAATTTCCTCAGCAAATTGTTTAAATTCATGGTCTTGAACCAAGGGTGGCCGATATCTCGAGCATAGAAGAATAGCCAGAAGACATAATCCCATCTAAACGACGCGGAGTGATCAAATTCTCTGTCACCTTCCACAGCGTCTTTGAAGCATTTGAGGAAGGATGTATCCCCTGGGGAATAGCCTTTACCCAAATCGAATATCGCCTGATCTACTGAGACATTTTCAAGATACGTCTTCAGTTGCTGTAACAGAAAGTCTTGCCAATTCAGGTTTACGTTAGTAGCACTGAATTCGGATACATTGTGTTTTGCCTTTTCGAATTCACCAAGAGAAAGGTCGGAAAGTACGGATCGCTGAAGCTCTGTTAGTCTACTGTTTTCAAATTGTCCGTCTTGCTGTAGTGAGGGTAAGATACCGTTTGATTGTTGGTCCCTAGGAGCGTCTGATTTTCTTTGTACTGAAGTATGATATTGCCGAGTTTGTGGAAGTTGAAAGCCTCGACGTTTTGTGGTCGACCCCACTGCAGTATCTTGTGAAGGTTCGATAGTCAAGGTAGATATTAGTTCCCCAACCTCTGCATCTTCAACTTCAACTTCCGACTGGCCGGACCTTCGCAAAATCCCACCCCATAATTTCTCCAGGTCGATCTCTTCCCTCTTCTCTTCGGTAAGCATTTGAACGACAACCCTAACACCATCGGTCCGTCTCCCAAACCCCACGAATCCATCGCCCTCAGGGACAGCATTTGCATGCATATCTGGGCTCTCAACCACACCGATATCGACGCAGACCCAACCTGTTCTTATGCCATCATCACCATCATCGTCAGCCGTACTGCCTAAAAGCTTGGCTCTTCGCGATTTGCGTCTTAGCTTCAATTTCAGTTCATTCCTTCCCAATAATCCATCTGCGCTTGGGCGTAGTTTATATGTACTTCTCAACCATCGACATAATCGATCCGCGGAGACGTGTAAGTGTTTTTCACTTCGTGCGGTCCCAATAAGCATAATTAGATTTGCTCCTAGTGCAGGCGGAGGGTCAAGCTTTCGTAGGTCGAGTAGTGTAAGATCATCAAGACCTAAATCGACTGAGATCTGTTGTAGCATAGGTTGAAGAATCGGGGGTGGCAATCCTGGTAGATCCGGGATTCTTTGACGTTCGGAGAGAGTTCTTGGTGTCAATTGGGGAGTATCAACTTGTAGATACCATGGCATAGTAGAGACGGCATTCTCAACCTCCTCCCCATCTGCCTTATTCTCGTCCAAAAGCTCTCGATCTTCCATAATATTCTCATATCGAGAAGCCTCAATTTTGTCCTCATCCTCGTCTGCCTTGTTCTCATCTAGAACCTCTCGATCTTGTAGAGTATCCTCGTGGTGGGTTGCTTCGAATTGTTGACTTAACTGTGAATGAGATGAAAATCGGATTTGTTGCCTTTGAATTCTAGTTGGTTGAAATCTCCCAGCTACTGGAATAGTTCGGATTGGAAGGGATGTAACATGTCGTAATAAGGATAAACGACTTGATGCGCATCCAGTAGCTCTTATAGCTTTACTGACAACCATCTTGACTGATTGATGACGACGATAGGTATTGGATTCAATTGAATTGGACTAGAATTGTGAATATGAAGGATTGAGCATTCTAATCGCCCAATTGTCTAGGTAGACATTTTTTCTGGGGGGGGGGGGAATTTTCTACTCGTAGCGAGAGACCCCCGAGACCCCGCGGCTATGTATACGAGATATATATACCGGTACAGACGTCCTAGGATTTTCACAAATTTCTGCTATCGCCAAAGATACACCTAGTAGTCTTACCTGTGTACAGATTTCTCTATATCTATGGCTGTTGAATTATATTATAATAAGTACCGGTATATACTCGAGTAACTCATATGTTCAATTCAAGCCATGAAGTAACACCTAATCACGTGGAGATATCTACGAGGCTGGTGAGCAGCCTTGTAGTGGAGTCCGGTTAAATTACGGTTTCTCATGCTTGAATCCCTTATCGGAAGAGTAAGTACTACCGATAGAAGAGAAAAAAATAAAAATGTCAATGTTAATTTTGCCTTCAACTTCTTGACCAGTCAGTATACTCGAGTAGATTTCTAGACTTCAAGCTTCAAGACTCAAGACTGCAAGACTTCAAAACCTCAAAATTTGTACAATTATCACTTGCAAAGTTGTATTTATTATGAGCACATTCATTTCGTCCTTTTACGTTTGAAAAGTATACCTATCTCTCTACCAATTTCTTGTCTTAATCTCAATTTGATACTATCTCAGACCACGACTCCCCCCATACATCAAAATGCTTGTACGAGCTGCAGGGCGGAAAGCTCGTGGCAACCCAATTGTCGACAGACTTAAACGGCAACAAACATACTTTCCTTTCCTATATCCAACCATCAATTCGAATCAAGCTGCTGTCTTGTACCGGTATGTTCACGTCGACCCAGGGTCTCAAGCGACTGGCCTGCGAAAAAGGCGAAATTCAAGAGAAAACTCTACAAAACCTCCATCACGGTCATTAGCAACCGCAGTAGATCAGACATTCGAGGAACTTCCCTTCGAGGGATTTCAAAATCCACCATCGAATAATTTTGCATCGTTATCAATAAGCCTACCTCAACTTCAAAGTCCGATCATAATCCCAGATGATGGCGCTGGAGCTCCCCAAAGGCATCGACGCGGTAATTATGATGCAGTTGGTGGTACTAGTGATGAGGTTATAGCATTACTCGATGCTTGTCTGCAGGTCGGAAGGATCGAGCGTGCAAGTGTGATATTAAAACGCATAATACAAATGCCAGAGATCTCCGGGGAAACACTCTTAAAATTACATAACCGGTACCTACGAGCCGCAGTCCAGGAGATGATGATGAAACCTTCGGAGAAAGCAACACAATTCTTACATGAGTGGTTCGAACTCGAAGTACGAAATAAGAATCTTCCACAAGATGCATTGACTGTGGCATACATGCTGAAAGCTTCACTTCAATCTCCTCCGGGTCAGCGACGCGGTAGACTGGTAACAAGATATATGGATATGGTTCAAGGAGACGCTGGCTTAGAGGTTCTAGCATCCAATGTTCTGAATGCCGAAGAATTAAATATTATCAACCATATTTGTCCCACGTACAACTTGGCAGAGGGACTTGGAGACCTTGAGGATATCCTTGTCTCCGAGACATCCTCAACCGTAGCGGCCAATTCAGACGGAGTTCTACAGTACGCCGAAAAAATGAATGCACCTGTTCCTGAAGTTCGCCAAACCGAACAAAAAGGTCTCGGACTGAAGTCATTGAGGAAAACGTTGTCGCTCTTTTCGACTTTACCATCTGCAGGGTTTGACATGTCAAAAATGAGCGAGGAACAACATCGTGTTATCCAGACACAACTGGAAGAAGACGCTGTACAGGCTGCCATAGATCGTTGGAGAGACGAGAGCTCGAATCTGGTCAAAATGGGATTAAATACAGCACTACAATCAAAATCGTTGGGTGCGAGAATGTGGAAATGGCATGTAGTTCTGACAGAAGCCTTAAACGAAGAAATGAGAGCCATCGATGAGGCAGAGTCGAAGACGAATAGATCCGGAGCAGACATCAGTAGATGCGAATATGGGCCCTTTTTGCGCTACCTCCCTGCCGAAAAGCTCTCAGCGCTGACAATTATAGCCCATATGCATGCTTTAACATCGTCAGGAATTGACAAAGGACTCACTCTATCATTTGCTATCTTGCAAATTGCCAAAAGTGTAGAAGACGAGAGCATCTTTGAATCACTCCAGCAAAATAAGCACAAGCCCATTTGGCGCGACAGCATAGTCGAAAGAACGCGAATGCTCCGAATCCTCAAAAGTAAAGCCCGCGGCGCTAGTGTGGAGTCGGTAGATACCGACGAACCTACAGCGTACTCCCCCGAAGCTGCAATTTCTTCACATATTCGTGAAAGAGAATGGTCCATAGGGATCAAAGCCCGTGTTGGATCTTTCTTGTTAGAATCATTATTGAAGATTGCTAAAGTTCCAGTTACAATGCAACATCCTGACACTAATGAGATTGTTACTCAGATGCAACCAGCTTTTTCTCATGCGCAGCAATACAGGTTGGGTAAGAAGCTTGGTGTTATCAATGCCAACAAAGTCGTTGTCGAACAACTCAAACGCGAGCCTGTTCACAGTCTTCTTGCAAAACATCTTCCCATGCTTGTGAAGCCTGAGCCATGGGTTGGGTTCAATTCTGGTGGCTTTCTTAGACACCCTGGAAGAGTGATGCGCGTCAAGAACGGAGATAAAGATCAAAGAAATTACACAGATGCTGCTATTGATCAGGGGAATTTGGCAGTAGTCTTCAGAGGCCTTAACATACTGGGAGAGCAATCATGGAGAATCAACCAGCCAGTTTTTGATGTCATGCTAAGTGCCTGGAATTCTGGGGACGCAATTGCAAACCTTGCTCCCTTTAAACCAAAAATCGAATACCCCCCCGAGCCCGAAAAATCTTCCGATCCACTCGAACGCCGAAGGTGGATTACTGCGGTCAAGAAGGTAGAGAACGCCAAAGGAGGTTTCCATTCTCAACGTTGTTTCCAAAACTTTCAACTAGAAATTGCTAGGGCTTTACGCGATAAAACTTTCTACTTCCCACACAATGTGGACTTTCGTGGAAGGGCCTATCCTATTCCCCCATACCTCAACCATATGGGAGCAGACCATTGTCGAGGACTTATGATGTTCGGAGTTGGGAAGGAACTTGGCCCCTCTGGGTTAAAGTGGCTCAAGGTTCACCTCGCCAACGTTTACGGTTTTGACAAAGCAAGTCTCACAGAGAGAGAAGAATTCACGAGCAGAAATATCGACGAAATCTACGACTCGGCAACAAACCCGTTAGAAGGCAAAAAATGGTGGCTTAAGGCAGAAGATCCATGGCAATGTTTAGCAGCATGCATGGAATTTAAGAACGCGCTTGAATCTGGAGATCCAGCTACTTTCGTCTCATATCTACCCGTTCATCAGGATGGTACCTGTAATGGCCTTCAACATTACGCAGCCTTAGGCGGTGACGTATGGGGTGCCCAGCAAGTAAACCTCGAGCCTGGCGATCGCCCAGCAGATGTTTATACTGCAGTTGCAGATCTCGTAAAGGATAGCATCGCAAAAGATTTGCTTGCCGACCATCCCAAAGCCAAGATTCTGGATGGAAAAATAACTCGAAAAGTTGTCAAACAAACTGTTATGACTAATGTCTACGGCGTTACCTTTATAGGAGCTAAAGCACAGGTTCGTAAACAACTCGTGGCAGCTCATAAGGACTTGCCAGACAATGAAGAAGATAATCCTGGCACTCTAGCTTCGTACGTCGTCACCAAAATCTTCACCGCTCTCTCAACCATGTTTCGGGGGGCTCACGACATTCAATACTGGCTTGGAGATTGTGCTAGTCGAATCTCAAGTAGTTTAACACCTGAGCAAGTTGACCGCATGGTTGAATATAGCACTGTACAAGGGCAACAGTCTAAAAGTGACGTACCTACTTTGGACGAGTTATCTCAATTTAAGTCTAGTGTAATCTGGACGACACCGTTGAACATGCCAGTGGTTCAACCTTACCGAACCCACAAAACACGACAAGTCTACACGAACCTTCAAACTCTCAGCTTGTCTGAACCACATCGATCGGATCCTGTCAGCAGCCGTAAACAGCTCCAAGGGTTTCCACCCAATTTCATTCACTCTCTTGACGCAACACATATGCTTCTCTCAGCAGTGAAAAGTAATGAATCGAATTTATCATTTGCTGCCGTCCACGATTCGTTTTGGACACACGCAGCTGATGTTGATACAATGAATACCATCTTGAGAGATGCTTTTATCGAAATCCACAGTGACGATGTCATCGGACGTCTGGCAGCAGAAATGACTGCTCGGTACGAGAATTACATGCAACTTGTGAAAGTCAAGCCAGGATCGCTAGCATATAAAAAAATGGCTCAATATCGCAAGTCTCTCAAGCCTTCTGAGAGACAGAAAAATGTCGACCTGTTGAGGGAGGTCAAAAGGCTGCGTCTTCTTCGTTCATCCAACCCAGAAGAAGTAAAAGAAGGGAAGGACATGATTACAGCAGCCAGCATATACGAATTAATGTCGGAAGAAGTCGAGCTTGATCCGGATGTAGATGTCAAAACCGTGGGTTTAGGAAACATGGTCAACTCAAGGTCAGCTACAGAGCATGATAATATCAGCAGTTGGGATACTGGTGCCACAGAAGAAGCTTTGGAAGATGCTTTGGAGGGCAATCCATCGGTTGAATCGGAGGCTGCGGTTGCAGAAGAGGTAGAAGAGGCAGAAGAGACAGAAGAGACAGAAGTAGCAAAATCTGGTTTCGAGGGAGTCGTGAAGGCGAAGCGTGGGCGGGGGCTTCCTTCAAGAAAATATACCCTTTTGGTTTGGCTTCCATTGAAGTTCGCTCCCGTTCCGAAGAAGGTAAGCAAACTCCGAATTATAATGCTAGCTGAAAACTAATCGTAATACAGGGGGCTTTCGATGTGTCACGCCTTAAGCAAAGTCAATACTTCTTCTCTTAGTTGAGGTAACAATTGATATTTTTCTCGGTTCTTGGGGATTTTGGGTGTCAACCACATTCCGGTGAGGCGGACTGGCGGGACAGACATTTTTTTTGGATTGGATTCCTCGGTAAATCCTTGTATTTTAGCATAGCGAGGGGGTTACATTACAAAAGGCGTTGAAGAATTATGAAATGGCCGAAAATGAATGATTAAACTGTAAAATAAAAGGTCCTCCCTTCATTCAGAGAAATTATATAGAACACGCAAGATCACAAACGTATTATCAACAATTAATGAAGAAATCCGTAGGTTAGAAGTCTTAGTTAGGGCTGAGTGTTGTCCATATCCCGGTTTGATCGAGCTTTCGTATAATTCATACATACATTCCTCGCCTATCCGGGCTATAGTGCGAAACCCTGACCCTACTGCGAAAACCGATTACTACTAATGACTGGCATATGATACATGTAATTGAATTTTGCATTGTGATGAGGTTTTCACCTGCTCTGGTGAAATCGAAGATATACTTGATTGGAGATAGAGAAACTATACTTTTTTGGGAGTAAAAGGCTTCAAGTTGGAGAGTGGAAGAGTTGAAGAGTGGAAGAGTGGAAATTGGTAAGGAGTAAGTTGATGTTCTTGAAAAGGGGGTAAATTCCTGATTGAATCTTTAAAAACGATCCTAAAATAAATTTGGACTAGTTTGCTATTGAAATATCGATGGCGTGTTCTGAAGGATCTTAGTCTCATGTTACACGATGCGGTGAATGTGAGATTCACTTCGCGTAAGAATCGTCAACATCTTGTGACACAAATGACAAGATCGTACAAGATTTTCAGCTGATGACCCGGCTTGGGGTAAGAAAAGCCGGATAAGTAGGTAAGTTAGTTCTCTGTTGCGTATGTATGTTTCTCATGAATATGATGATCCATTCCGCAAATTAGCTAGGAATGATTCGTGGAAGGAACGAAGCTGATAGTATATATATCTATGATCTGCTCCGCAATATGGGGTTTGCAAGTCAAGACAAGACAATAAGTCTCAAGTAATTTCTACTAAATCCATACTCCAAAACAGAACCTTCATCATGAATCATCTTTATGTCTTCGGCATTCTTTTGTTGGGTGCAGTGTAAGCAATCTTTGAATTTCTTTTCAGATGCACAGATACTTATATTGCCTTTAGTCAAAGTGTCTACTGTCTCCCAGAAGCACTTCGTCATCGTTCGGATACTTGTGCTCCAAGCTTGATAACAACCACATATGTCAGTACCATCTCAACGGTCAAGACAGTTTCTCATTCATGCTTCACCCGCACAACTACCACCATTCAAAATTCGTTCCGTGAGTCCTTATTATTTACTCAAAAATTTCACTAGACTAACAATACAACAGCTTGCTCGGGAACAAAAACCTTCAACCGTGCCACTTGCCCGCCAGTTCCATTATGTATCATTCTCTCAACAACCACCATAACCGTCCCACCAAGTGACAGGTGCTGCAAAGCAACTCCAACAGTCACCGTCCCAGGTGCATGCGCAAAATGCCAGACGGGATGTGCCACGGAGCTCAGCACGGTAACTGTCACTGCAAGGCCGCTACCCTACAACCCAGGCGGTCCTCAATTGCCCCCGACCAAGAGACCAGGAGGTTCCATCATACCATGCACATCCACTCTGAGTCGATTGGATCAATTTGGCCTTGGACCTACGGAAACAATCTTTCCATCTACGGTGACGGCCACAAGTAGCGTGGACTGTGCGGGCTGCGAAGCTTTGAGTGTTGTGTTCTTTGGAGGTGTTGGTCCTGTAGTGATAGTCACAACCACGGTGGAAGCTTCTGTGCCAACCACTACCACGGCTTTTGTTTGCTCTGCAACACCGGCATAAGCCTTGGATAGCTGTAGAAAAGTCGGCGTTATTTTGGAGATTTGCTTTATGCTTGAGCTTAGGCTCACTTTCACATTCGTTTCGCAAACAATAAGAGAGGAGAAAGAGGATTGATCGTATGATTTGCAATGGAGTGAGTCAACTGACAATTACGTACCAATTACTCGTACGTACCGTTACTTTTACAATATAAGCTTCGGCCTCCCTGACTTGGCAATGCAATGCAATGTTTCTTGGAAGAATGATTTGTGTGGTATGATACTATAGTCAACTGGAATGTGGACTGTTTATTCCTGAGTCATGGCTTAATGAACTGAGAGGAAATCTTAAGCTACTGAGACCTGGAATATGAGAGCTCAACTTCTCAAGTAATACTGGTAATCGTCGACGTTGGCTCTCTCGACCCTTACGTGTTCGAGGAATAACACATGACAATGTAGAAACAACACTTGGTGAACTATGTTTATTTGCCCTAGAATAAGTGAAGATACTAATCGACAAGTATGCCTTGATTTGTATTGACGCCCGTAAACTAAAGAAAATTCGATATTGATGAGGGTGAGCGACGATAAATTAAATACGTCAAAGTTTTGGATCACGTGAATGACGGTTACGGCTCTCGCGCTAAGTGGATTGGCAAGGTCCCAAGATTTATTTCTCCCAACTCCAGCTTCCAGGCGCATCAGCGTTAAGACAACGCAAGACAAAATCAACAACCTCACGCGCCAAAATGCCTGTCGTCAAAGGTGGAGTTTGGACTAATATCGAAGATGAGATTCTTAAAGCAAGTGTTTCGAAATATGGGTTAAATCAATGGGCTCGAGTTTCCTCACTTCTGGCAAGAAAGACCCCGAAGCAATGCAAAGCAAGATGGGGTGAATGGCTGGATCCAGGTATTCGCAAAATCGAATGGAGCAAGGAAGAGGACGAAAAGTTATTACATCTGGCGAAATTGATGCCAACACAATGGCGAACTATTGCTCCTATTGTTGGAAGAACAGCAACCCAGTGCCTGGAAAGATATCAAAAATTACTCGATGAAGCGGAACAAAAAGAAGCCACAGAGTTTGGACTCGGTGGACCTGATGGTGGAGAGACAAAAGCACCATCTGCGGATGATGTACGACGATTGCGACCCGGTGAAGTCGACCCAGATCCAGAGTCGAAACCTGCCAGACCAGATACCGTTGATTTAGATGAGGACGAAAAGGAAATGTTGAGCGAAGCTCGTGCTCGTTTAGCAAATACACAGGGTAAAAAAGCGAAGAGAAAGGCTCGTGAACGCCAGTTGGAGGAGTCGAGGAGGTTGGCCGTATTACAGAAGCGCAGAGAGCTTAAAAATGCTGGCATTAATATCAAAGTCGTCAATCGAAAGAAGGGAATGATGGATTATAATGCCGACATACCTTTCGAAAAGGCGCCCGCTCCTGGATTTTACGATACTGGGGACGAGTCCATTCAGAATGAAAAGCAGAGAGCAGCTTTCGATCCACGAAAACAACAACTCGCAATCAAGCGCAAAGGGGAACAAAATGATAACCAGGACCCAAAACGACAGAAGAATGACAAAAACGCTCCATCGGCATCATATCAAGCAGCCATGAAAGCTGGACAGATGCAAAAGATTCGAGAGGCGGAACAAAGTAGTAAGAGACGGGCATTAGTATTACCGGCACCTCAGGTTGGTGAAGGGGAGCTTGAGGAAATTGTAAAGATGGGTATGATTGGGGAGAGGGCGAACATAATTGCGAGATCCAGCGAAAACGATGCAACGAGAGGACTTGTTAATACATATTCTACTATTAATAGTGGAGCACCAATTCGAACACCGCGAGCACCAGCACAAGAGGACCATATCGCCAACGAAATCAGAAATATCAAAGCCCTTACCGAGACACAATCATCCCTACTAGGAGGAGAAAATACGCCTTTACATGAAGGATCTGGCAGCACAGGATTTGATGGCGTTACTCCTCGAAGACAACAAATGGAAACGCCTAACCCTATGGCTACTCCTTTCCGGGTGAACGGTATTGGCGCAACTCCTGCTAGAGACGGCGTAGGAGCCACACCTATGCGAACTCCTCGAGATAGTTTCGCATTAAACGCAGATGGGGAAATGGAATTGGTTAGGAGAACACCTCAAGATCACAAATTGAGGGATATAACCCTTAAAAATTCATTGAAAGCTGGCCTTGCATCTTTACCAAAACCAAAGGATATCGAGTGGGAGTTAGAACTACCTGAAGAGCAACGAGAAAACTTTGGTGTTCAAGAGTTATCCGAGGAGGACGCAGAGCTCAGGGACAGGAAAGAACGCCAAATCCGAGAAGCTCAAGAACAATTAGAATTCAAGAGACGGACACAAGTCTTGCAAAAAGGGTTGCCTCGTCCATCGGTCATCGACGTCAACGCATTGATGAAAACTGTGATGAATATTGAAGACACAATTGAGGGCTCCATCGAAAGAGAAGCAGCTTTATTGATTGCGAATGATGCTGTCAAATATTCCACGGCTGGAGCTAAGATCAAGGGTACTCCAAAAACAATCGAGGTGTTTGAGGATGATGCTCTTTCACAAGCTAGATTGCAGCTGTTGATGGAAATTCCAAAGGATTTGGTCGAACAAGGCTCGGATGCTTTCCGAACGGCATGGGATGACGCTCATAAATCTTCGTTATTACCTGGATTGAGTGGATATGATTCCGATGATGAAATCGATGAGCATCAGATGCTTCTAGATGCTTTTGAAGTAAGTTTCAAGTTTTCAGCCATGTTTATACAACAACTAATCAAAAATCAGAATGTTCAAGAATCTATCTTCGCCGCCGCCGAAAAAGGAAACAAATCCGAAAAGAAGCTCGCCCTCCATCTAGGTGGTTATCAACAAAGAGCTAAATTGTTACGTCAAAAAATCGGTGAAGCAGCCGATGCCCTGTCGAAAGCTAGTTATTCTTTAGATGCGTTCAAAACATTACAGATATCAGAAGATGTAGCGATATCGAGGAGGTTAGAAGATTTGAGGGAGAGAGTGGGATTCGTTAGTAAGAGGGAAAGAGAAGCCCAGGAACTGTATAGGCAGAGGAAGGAGGAGTTGGTGGATTTGTCGGATGAAGTGAATGGATTTCATTGAGGACCAGAATGAGAATGAGAATGAACATAGGAAATTTGTATTATAGGGATAGGAATGGTGGGGGTCGAAATGAATAGCATGGGTATGGATGGGCATGAATGAATAATTTGTGCTTAGGAGAAACTTAAGCCGAGGAAAGCGAGCAAGACATAAATGCAATTATATGACTTCCCCATGTTTTGGATTGAATTGTATGAAGTCAATTTGTACGAAACTTGTAATAGTCCGAGTACGTGAGTGGGTGGTGTGGTGTGAATTTCTTAGGGCCTGTCTGTTTGTCTATCTATATTGTTTACCCGTATGTCTGCCTACCATACCTATCTACCACAATAAAGTGTTGGCCGTTGCATCTGAGCTCTGCTCTTCACATAGCCGCATACTTGTGTGTTGTTTGTGCAGGACCTCTTTCTGGTTTTCGTGTATCCATCATGCTGATGCCTCCATACCAATGCTAATGTTAATGCTCATGTTAATGCTCGCTCTGCTCCATTTCCTAATCAAAACCGATTCATCAATCAACGCACACACTCAAATTCAGACACCCATTCTCCATCTCCACCCTCAAGCTCATTTCCTCGCCCAAACCTCCCCATCTCATCTCAACCCACTAATCTAATCCCTTCAATGCACCCTCCATCCCCAAATTCTTCCCCAGCAAGCCCTCCGCCAAAAGCGTCTCCTCCAAACACGCCACCGTTCCCGCCAAAATGCCCGCCCCGATAATACTGCCATCGACGCAAGCTTCCAGCACCACTCGCTTACCTCCCTGATCTTGGCCAAATTCTCTGCGCATGATATCGTCGAGTTGGAATTGGCAATCGACGAGATAATCCTGGAAATGCGAGATACAGGAGCCGGTATATCCGACGAGGAGTTCGGTGACGTGGGGCGAGGTTTGGTGTGTTTTGGTTTGCTTTGACTTTGGTTTGTATGGCGAGGAAGCATCCTTGGGGCTGGATGATGAAGAGCGCCGCGACGATGAAGCAAAGGGGATTTCGTCGGCAGCGGCCAGTAGTCCTATGATGGCGGCTGCTACCATACCCGCGGCACGAACTTCGATTCTCTTTGCGATTTGCACGAGGGCGTGCGCTAATTCTGGAGTCCATTTCTTGCGTTTACCGGTCACTGGATCTTCAGGGAAAGGCATTGCGAGATCGAGAGGTTGACAAAGCAGATCACCTCTTCCTACTCGAGCCAGAACACTCGCATCGAGAGCATTGCGTTCGCGGAGAACGGTGGGGAGGGATTCGAGAGGGATTTGGAGTTGGGTGGTGAAATAGTCGAGGATGATGAGTCGGCCTAGTTCGCCGAGGTATTTGCCGCCGGTCATGTATTCGAAGGGCATGAAGCCCGGCGTGTCGCTGTTGGTGTCGAGGATGGTGTCCCATTTGGTGATGAAGTTGAGGGTGTGGAGGGGTGGTGCTGTGCCGTTGATGGACCATTCCGTGTTGATGATTATCTTGGTGTCTTTTTGACTGGGGTCGACTGGTGAGAGGGTAGGGGATGGATGTTTGGAGGAGTGAAGTTTGGAGAGGGAGAGGGGGATGGTGGCGTTGCAGCCGGTGCCGACGATTAAACCCATGGCGGCTTTTTGGTGAGGGGTATGTTGGTGTTGGTGAGCGAAGGAGATTAGGGTTGCGACAGCATCGTTTACTATGGCGGTGATCTTGATGCGGGGGAGATGGGACTTGGATGCAGTTGATGATTCGTAGCCTTTGAGGAGCTGCTGACCAAGGTTGAGGTTTGAGGTTATAGCAAATCCCTTACCCATGGACATCAGGATCGCTTCTGACAATGTGTCTTGACTGTCCACGTATTAGTGATCGTTCTCTGAATAATGATCAAGGAGATATCAAACATCATTGGAAAGCTCATTGTAACGCCCATGGGCAATTCGGAAGGTAGCTGCAAGCCCCATTTGTTGAATCCATCCTGGACAACTTCCGCGACACACTTGCCTACCCATGCGAAAAGTTCGTCTGCATTGTTGCACTTGTGGTATTCGCCAATTTGCCATGACTTCTCAAGTACTCTATTGACTTTACCTGGTAATGTCAATCCATTCTGAGTAGAAGAACCTAGTAGCTCAATAAATCCAGCTCTGAGATTTGATCCTCCGCTGGTTTATGTCAGTTCCGGGAATCCCTTCAGTCTGATGTACTGGGAACCTACATGTCAATAGCCAAATATCTAGGATCAAGTTAGTCCAATGTCCTCTATAGCATGATTCGTATCACCATTTTACACGAGACGAATGTACTGACCTTCCTTTTGCCTCTTTCTCGGGTCTTAACACCCCTTCGGAGACAGGCGTGCTCAAGAACTGGTTTTTGGACTCCTTCGCCAACTGCTTGAACGTTTCACAAAGACTCTTAGCTAATGCATGAATCTTTTCAATATCCACATCCAGAGGCTGAAGAAAGTGCTCTAGAGTGGGCGGATCTGTAGTCATGATGATTACGATAAGCGAGCTGACTCCAGCTGGCGAGATGAACGATGAGAAAGAAAGCTTGTTTTGAAGTATGTATATCTTCGTATTGTTGTGTAGAGTTTTGGTTTGAAAGTTTACCAACGATCAAAGTCGGGTTGTCTTGTCTGGTCTTGTAAAGGAACTTTTATATAGAGGGGGGTGGAGCTATATATGATAGTTGGTCTCGCTAGTGCACATTGAAGGAGGTGTATATGAAGTACTCAGTACAGCCCCGACTACAAATCTGTATGTCACAGTGAATGAGATGATCTTTATTGTGATATCAGTGGCTCACATTTCGAAGATGAGTTTCATTTCAAATGAATTCATTTCGGAAAGAAAGTGAATTTTCAGGTCAGATATATATGTATATCATGGTGAAAAAAAAAGGCACACAAGAGGTAGAAGAATGAGTGTAGGCAGGTATCTGCCATTAATACTTGCCAGTGCTTGTACTCCTATTTCATGAGTGGCCGCTTTAACCAAGGTCACCCGATCAGGTACTTGTGTTTGTAGGCGTGTGTGACTGATGTCACAATTTAGCCGCAGATATTCCGAACCTTTAAAGCTCACTCAAGCTCACTCAACTTCATCATTTTATCGGCACCCCATGGATTCATCAAAATGAAGGACTCCTTACTTACGATCAATACCAACATTGGATACCATAGTATGGATAACGAGAAAACAGAAAGAATGTTTACCGGACCACCTGCACGAAGAGCTAGACCTCTAGCTTTTGGATTCCTGACAGTTGCTTTGTTATATCTCCTATGGACTATGAATCTCCATCAGTTGCTCATGAGATGTGGCATGGAACCGCAATCTACGGGAATGAAGCCCACAGTCGATGTTATATCTGTATCCGATCACAAACCTATACCCTTGGAAGCTCATATAATGAGCAAATGTCCGGATGCGCAGGTGGGTTTAGCTATTCGCAGAGCTTATCGAACCTATCTGATCTGATGAATCTCAGGATTGTTTGAAGATGATGGTACTGCCCGCTATGCAGAAAGTATATGATAAAGTAAACTTTACGCTCTCCTTTATCGGCGCGTAAGTTGCACTTGCCCTATGAATCTCGATCGTGAAGCTCACAGGTATTGTTTTGCAGACCTACAGACAATGATGGAGTAGCTTGTAAACATGGCCCACAAGAATGCATGGGAAACATTCTCGAATTATGTTCTGCGAGCCTATATCCCGATCCAAAGATATACTTGGGGTTTACGATGTGCCTTACCAGAGATTATAAAGATATTCCGGAGAGAAGTTTGGTGGAGGATTGCGCGTTAGAGCATGGAATGGATTTCGACAAACTTAATGCTTGTACAGTTCAGGACGATGGAGGGTATGGTATGGGGATGTTAAGAGATAGTGTTAGGAGGAGTACTGAAGTATGTGTGAAGATGGAGTACCTTTTTATTTCAGAAAGCCCCATGCTAACCAACAATCACAGGCGGGTGTCACAAAATCTTGCACGGTCAGACTCAACGAGAAAATATTTTGTATACGTGATGGAGGGAAGTGGACGGACTGCCCAGGCGGGTCCGAAGTAAACGACCTTATCATTGCAGTTGAGTCTTTGTACCATCAGTCTTGATAGGTTCGAAGATATCCGTCCATAACTCACTCGCTTCTCCAACTGTGTAATTCAAGGACAATCTTTCCATCCCCGTCTCCTCATTCCCCTCCATTGTCTCCAATTGCTCGATTATACTCTCTAGTCCTATTGCTTTTCCAGTTGCCTGTGTTGCGCCCGCCTCCAATGCGACATGCACAATATGCACATGGAAGTGATAGTACGTCGGTTGATAATGCACATACAACTTCAACTGATCCTCCTCCAAACCTTCACATGATTTTACCGTAGCCTCTAAAAACCTTTGTCTCATGTGCCTCAACCATTTCACATGTTTCTTCTTCAGATCTCTCAAACTCCATATATCTCTCCTCTCTACCAATCCTAACAAATGGAGCCCTTCCATCGTCTTTCGGTCCCAATTCAGATCTGGCAATAACAAAAATCCCTCATCTCCATCTCGTCCCTGCGGAGTTCTAAATATAACATCTTCAACTTCCGTCTTGCCCTCTATTATATTGTATACCCAATTTAATCTACCTCCTTCTCGTTTGGCTTGCATGTACGGGCGTATTTTCTCATTATAAATCTGAGGGGTTTCAGTGACCATGCGAAATCCCTGCTTGCTGTATTTCTTGATATGCTGCTCTGTACATGGATATATGAGATTGATCTTGAGATCCGTAGGTTCGGTTGTTTGCGAAGGACCATTGTTGGCCAAATACCAATAGTAGATGTCGTTTGCGCCGAGGTTCTCAAGAGATTGGAGAGCAGTTGAGAAAGAGGACAAATAGGCCGTAGAGGTGGGAAATGGAGCGCGTTCGAGGATTAGGATGCATGGTTTGTTATTGATGTGACCGCAGAGAATGGAACGGAGTCCTGCTTGATCTGTATGGGAAAATAGTCAAAGAGGTGGGGTGTGCGAGGGAAGTGGATTGGATGGTGAAGATGTACCTTGATTGAGGAGACGATCAAATTTGAAATCTCGAATGAGAGATGTGGAAGCTGTTTCTGACATGGTTGGAGTGAGGATTGAAAGTTATTCAAGTAGAGGTTATCGGATCAGAAGGCTCTCCTAAACTACTCAGTACTCGAGTAGCCTACATTGCACATGTCACCACACCGCCTCTGTGGCAGAACATCATTCTGCCAAGAGGGCGGTGAAAACTTGCTTCAGAAAGTTTTGTTGCATATCTAAAAATTGATCAGTTTCCCAACGTTCCTATCCACCTCTTTTGGGACAAGTTTTTTGAAAAATGTAACGACTGGGAATAAGAATAATCTATGAGTGTTATTTCCGGATGCCAAAGTTAAGATATCAGTAAAACTCACCGCCTTTGGCAGAATGTCAAACATGGTTAAGCATTCACCCATATGCTAGAAGAGGAGACTTTAGCTGCTCAAAGAATCTTGCACAATAAGAATTAGTACATCGATTCTAAAGTATATAAATTTACGCAGACGAAAGCCTCGAAATTGCCAAGTATCAATGACCCGACCAATCTACGCTGTGGATACAGCTCGTATCCGGAACTCCAATTGCAACTGGCAGCATGCATCGTTATCAGCATGCAATGCCATGCATGGCCTCAACAATTTTGTGCTTTCTTCACTAACCATCATCGTTGCTTATTACATACTACATACTGTAGGTCTTGAGGAATAACGAATTGCAGGATTGCGATTTGCCTTTTAAGCTTCAACCAAACGAACAACGTCTTCTCCGACTCGTTACTCCTTTGCTTGGACTGCATAAGCGAGCGATGAGATCAAGAATCAAGATAACCTTCTTCAGACGACTTTACACCAGACCGCCACTTACCTAAAAAAAATGTCCGTATCGACGTTATAATTGTGCAAACAATCATTGGGGCTAGAATGTGGCCCTGTTCTTACCCCTGGTCCAGAATTGATTTCCTAGTAACTGCTCGTTACGAATCTTACAATCCACCACACCCCTCACTCAACATTAAGTTCGAACTCCGAGGCTCGCTTCTTGCTATTCCGAAACCACTACCACTATTCCGACTCGGAATTAAGGGCTTGTTGCCGAATCCAATCACATGATGAGCATTACAGTGGGAATTGGCTGACCGCCTTCCCTTATCGACTGTGCCGGATATCCGTCTTGGTGGAAAAAATCCAGCTAGCAACTGCAAACCCGGATGAATGCTGCCAGACCCAGATGAAGAAAGGCTTGTTGGCGGAAAACGCAAGCAAATATGCAAGATTGGAGAACGGTTAACCGGCATCTTCTTAGATCCTATAACTGTGCATATCTCCAATCTCCATCAGCATGAAGGAAGCGGGGGCAAGAGAGGTAAGAAAGTATGTTTTATTATTATTATTAAGACTAAGTTTTCCTCCAACTTGTTTTCCTGCCAACCTCTGATAATACTATATTCGTCGTTCATTCAAAGTTTCATCTGAAGCTCTTTAATGCAACCTTCTCTCCTCGTTTCCGGTTGGTCATATCCTTTCATTCCTACTTTTTGATTCTTCTACTTCTTCTTCTTCGCCACAACCTATTGTTGGAGGCATCATATCAGATAGTTGTTGCCAGCGACAACGATAATATTAAAGGGCGCCTCACCTTATAATGGCATATCCCATATCGAGGCAAGAGACTCGAAAGTCAGGCGCATCAAGACCTGGTTCGTCACCCGGGCTAAATCGATGTTTATCTGGAAATCACCTCGATGATACCTCATATTACACTGGACATCCTGGCACATCTCAGGAGGCAACAGACCAAGACATCGAACACAATCCCATAGTCGCCGAAGAGAAAATCGGACAGGACGACGTCAATTCGGAGGATTTAGATACCGATGGTGATTCAAGCATATCACCAGAAGTCATAGATGGAGTTGAGGTTGAGAGAGATATCGAAGCTGGGCCAAAACTGGGGCGTGAAAAGAGCTCGAAAAGTGTGAGGGATTTAAATTTGGTTGCTTGGGAAGGACCGGACGATCCAGAGAACCCTAAGAATTGGAAGAATGGACGTAAATGGGCTGCCACATTGGTTGTATCCAGCTTCACATTTATAAGCCCGGTTTCAAGCAGCATGGTGGCACCGGCTCTAGTTGCGATCAGTGCGGATTTACATATTGTGAATTCCATAGAGCAAAGTTTGGTATTATCCATTTTCGTTCTGGCTTATGCGATTGGTAACTACATTCCATTGTCCCATCTATTGGCAGACGTTAACACTAAAATAGGTCCATTGTTTCTCGGACCCCTAAGTGAAATGTTTGGAAGAGTCGTTGTATTGCAAATAAGCAATCTCGTATACTTATTTTTCAATCTTGGGTGTGGTTTGGCGCAAACCAAAGGACAACTGATTGCTTTCAGATTTCTTGCCGGTCTAGGTGGCTCTGCACCTTTGGCTCTTGGAGGTGGAGTGCTTAGTGATTTATTCAATGCTGAAGAGCGTGGTAAAGCCATTTCTATATACTCTCTCGCCCCTCTACTCGGACCAGCCATTGGACCAATCGCAGGCGGTTTTATAGTCGAAAATACAACCTGGAGATGGGCTTTTCATGCCACGACTATAGCAGACGCACTCATTCAACTCGTAGGATTATTCTTCCTCCAAGAAACATTTGCACCTGTTTTACTCGGACGTAAGAAGAACAAGCTTATCAAGGAGACCGGTAATCAGGCTCTTCACACAGAATGGGATGTCCCAGACCGAACTATTGCAAAGGCCCTCAAGATTTCCCTGACGAGACCATTTAAACTCCTAGGTACACAGGTCATCATCCAAGTCTTGGCATTGTATATGGCCTACCTCTATGGTATAATGTATCTCGTACTCTCTACATTTCCAGGACTATGGGAGGGCACATATCATGAAACTGTAGGGATAGGCGGGCTCAACTATCTCTCGTTAGGCATTGGATTCTTTCTGGGTACACAAATTTGCGCCCCTTGCCAAGATAGGATTTACCGAGCCTTAAAAGCACGTAACAATGGAGTCGGAAAGCCCGAATTCCGAGTCCCTCTGATGATTCCTGGTGCTTTACTCGTGCCGATCGGTCTCTTCTGGTATGGATGGTCGGCTCAGGCTCAATCGCATTGGATTATGCCAAACATCGGAGCGGCAATCTTTGCAGCAGGAACCATCATCGGTTTTCAGTGCATCCAAACGTATATTGTCGACTCCTACACCAAATATGCTGCAAGTGCTGTAGGTGCAGCGACCGTTATGAGAAGTTTGGCGGGTTTTGGATTTCCATTGTTCGCGCCATACTTGTACGCAGCGTTAGATTATGGGTGGGGCAATAGTTTGCTTGGATTCATTGCGATTGGGTTGGGATGGCCGGCCCCCATATTGTTATGGTTGTATGGCGAAAAACTTCGCGCGAGGAGTACATTTGCAGCTGGATAAGACTGATGCGAAAGTATACGATTGGTGGTGTGATGAGGATGCGTTTTGGCTCGTGGATCCCTCGTACGTTGAATGCGATGGTGCGATATTGGACGATAAATGACACGCATGGCCATATGGAGTTCCTGGATGTTTTATTTTCAAGGTCAATTGGCGTAAGAATACCCCTTTTGCGGATCCAAATAATGAATGCATAGAAATAGTAATACGATGGAGTTTTGATCTAGATAATAATATCGCGTTTTACCGTACCTTGTGCTTGAATGTCCAAATAGTGTTCTGACACAGCCCATGTGGGACTCTCTGTCCTAACCGTTATAACTGTATCTCTTGGTCATCATTGTCATGAAGATCGACTCTTGCTAGGTTTTAAGTCTGATTTCCACGGCAGTGAAGAAGATGATTTTCAGTCTAAATATTCGTCTGTGAGCTGTAAATGAAAAAGGCTAGCATCGGCCCAGGCACCGCTTCGATATGACACCGTCGACTGAATAGCATTCAGAGAATACCATTCTTGCGCGATCTCTTCAAGGTCCAGATAAGTGTTCGAAAACATAGAAGGAATCGCGGTTCGTTTCCGTGTCAGCAGTAGACAAAGAATGTCTCTCTCTCGCCAACGCTTGGATCTTCTCCTGATGATGAAATCTTGGGAACTCCGTAGCTATCCGTAGTGAAAACCATTTCGATGTCTAGAATGATATCAAATGATGGAATATTCGACATCCTTAACTCCTAGCTTTCGGAGCAAACTGAGCAATGTGATACTACCACTCTAATAACGCCTCACTTTGAGTGAGTAATACCCCATCTTTCAATGACTTGAACGTGCTTCGACAAGGGAGTCTGGTTGCCAAGAATCTCACTCCTTCGAGCTTCAAGTATCGATAGGTTGACCCCGGTTGCAGAAGAGAGCAAGATTACATGATGTATTGACAATGGTGAAATAGATTCCAGATACTAGCCACTACCCGTTAAGGTTGCGCCTGGTCATACTCTCGGATATACCCTTGTCGTCGTAAAAATTCTTTCAGTCTGATGTAGTTGCGAAGGATCATGATCCTGAATTCGTCTTGAAGGCAAAATTTCTCCAAAGCTCAGCACTAACTGAAACCTAAATAGTTGTACCTTGGTTGATTGTGTGCCGGACTTGGGCTGGGAGTCAGACATATTATAAGATCCTAATATATGAGGATGCGGCACAGCAATTTTTTAGGCTGAGCTAAAGAAAGCCTCGAACACATGAGATAATATGACGATATCGTCAGCTCTGGTCTAGTATCTAGGCATATCTTGGTAGATGAGGTCTCGAAGCTTTCCTACCGCCAAATGCAGCTTGGAAACGTGTTTGAAAGGCTATGCATGGTAGCATTTCGTGAGTCGCCTATTTTGAAGAGAGTCAAAGTCCGTAAGGAGATGCTCACTGTTGTGGACCTGCAAGGTTTCGCACGTGTAAGGGTCAAGGGCTCCAAAAACCGTCAGCACAAATGGGAATGATGCCAATATCAGTGCTGACAAGCTGTAGCGGCAGTGATGAAGTGATAGATAATGCAGACCTTATCTTACAGGGCATAAGAGAAAGGAAGGATTTTGATGAGTCTATGAGAGAAAGGGCCCCGCAATCGAGAAAACTATGGCGGCAAGGCGGGTGGGTAGTACGTACATTAAATACACCTTCAATTCGGAGTCTTATATTCTTTTATCGCCGAAATTATTAATGAGTGAGAATGAAAATGTGAGGTTGAAAAGCAATGTCGAATGACTCATATAATTTTGGAGCCAGAAGGCTTGGTATGTTGGATATATGTTGGATCGTTTGGATCGTTGGATTGACGGTTGGATTGAACATATTTTGTTAGAAGAAATCCATATGTTCTAACGAGATTTACTTTTGACCAATCAAATTCATTTATAGTATATCTCCACCTCCAAACCTCCAAACCCCAAACCCCTCCAATCAACTTATCAGTTCGCTTGTTTTACTCAGCAAGTTAATGGCAGCGTCATTACCGGTACCGGTACTTTTATCATAGATTGATTATTTTCATGTCTAGCAAGAACAATTGCCTCAATCTTTAAAAGAAGTCAACCCAAGTCGAAGGAGAATTCTCTGTTCCCTTATACATTCTTGACCACCTGCAAAAATTCATGAACCGCGGAGCCAGAACATTAAAGGACCCGAGTCCAAGTACATTTGCGCGAATCATCATCGGTACTCTTGACATAGCTGTAACTGAACAAGCAAAGATAGGAAAACAACCCCGCTTACGATACCTGCTTAGAGTTCCGAAAGACTTAGCGGTTCAGGGTAGGTTTCCCTCCTACAATTCCTTAAAATAGGCAAAGGCTATATTCATCGGCAAGGCTGGAATCGCGCGTGCGTGTAAATACAGATAAGGTCTTGTCCAACCTACCGGCTGGGACCCGCACCGTACCTGTACACCGCATCAATCCATTAACGGAGATCGATACCAGATAACGTCAAGGCATTAACTGAGATTCCGCCCCTCTCGACCGCCGGATGGCTGACGTACGGGATGCGGAAAATGTGTATGGAGATGGAGGGTCGTCTTCATTGACGGATGTCAAAATCAACCCGGATCATGAGAGTAATGTGATGATTGATAGGGATAGTCCAGTACCTAGGAAAAAGTCGAGGAGCGGTAGAGATGCTGCTGCAAAAACCAGAAGGTGCGTTTCTACCGCGTGCGTGGCGTGTAGAAAACGCAAATCTAAATGCGATGGGAATATACCAAGTTGCGCAGCTTGCTCAAGTGTATATGGGACTGGTATGTTCATATCATATCTTGCGCCGATCAAATGTCAATTGGACAGTCAAACCCTAGTTAAGTTTCGAACTAACATTATGGATTCACAGAATGTGTATACGATCCCTTGTCGGACCATAGAAGGAAAGGTGTATACAAAGAAAAGATCGATAGTCTCAAGACACGAAGTTCCACTTTACAAACATTGATACAAGCGATATTGAATGCCGCCGAAGATGATGTACCAAACCTTGTACGACAGATCCGGACGTGTGAAAGCTTGGATGATGTAGCGGATAATATTTTGAATCAAGCGCAAGGACTCGAAGATGATGATATGGAGGATAACATGGCATATACCAAAACTAATTTACCGACTTTTGAGACTCAGTTATCGGGGAAGATGGGTGAATTGAGGTTGGAAAACGGTTCGGTGAGATTTTTGGGTGGCACCTCCAATCTTATATATCTCCCCCCGACGGATGTAGATGATGGGGATGCGTTAGAAACGACTCAACAACAGGACGAGCCTCTTTTGAGCTGGACGACAGTTACTCAAGACACAGAGGTTATCGTTCATTTGATAAACATGTATTTCACATGGCATTATCCATATTTCACGACCCTATCGAAGACGCTTTTTTATCAAGACTTTTTACTTGGAAAACCTCCAGGTAATCCGAAAAGGACCATGTACTGCTCATCGTTATTGGTTAGTACGATTTATGCTCCTATTCCTATCATGTTCTCACTATTTCAGGTCAATGCTATGCTGGCTTTGGGGTGTCATTTTACGAATTCTCCTAAAGCTTGTGCTGATCCAACTGATCCCACCACTAAAGGTGATGCGTTCTTTGCGGAAGCCAAACGATTGATTGTTGAAAATGACGAGTACGAAAAGCCGAAGTTGACTACGATACAAGCACTTTGGTGAGTTCTCAATACCGCACTTAAATGTGTAATTCTAACATGATTTGAAGCCTGATGTCAGTTCGTGAAGCTGGCGCAGGACGTGAAGGAAAAGGTTGGGTTTATTCTGGTATGGCATTTCGAATGGCTCAAGATATGGGTCTTAATCTGGACTCCGGGATCAACAAAAACAACTCGGACAATCCAAAGGACTGTCTCATAGATGAAAAGGAGATCGATGTTCGTTTAGTCACGTTCTGGGGCTGGTTCGTAATCAGTTCACAAATTTATTTTGTTTTATACCCAACTCTGTTCCCCAATCTCAAGCCCTACTTTTCCTCTTCCTCCAACTTCTCCTTTTTATACAAAGCTTTAATTCCTCATGCTCCTACAAAGTCTTTCCTGATAGGCGATTACTGACTCAATTTGAAACAGTTTTCTATTCGATAAGTGTTGGTCGAATTATCTAGGTCGATTGCCACAACTGCCAGTATCTAACATCACGGTACCCAAGTATGATGTATTTCTGGACGAAGACTCCAGTATTTGGTCACCCTATACAGATAATGGAATAGGTCAATTACATTCTCAGCCATCAAGGACAAGAGCTGTAGCTTTACAGATTTCGAGTCTTTGTGAGATTAGTAGTGATCTTCTTACCTTTTTCTACCATCCACAACACGTGGAAAGGGGTGTTGGAAGATCTCAGGAGCTAAAAAAGCTTAGCGAGTTACAAACAAGACTCGAGGCTTGGAGGAGAGATTTACCCAAGGAATTTGAACCAAAGGAAGGACAATTACCTAATGTCCTCCTCATGCAGTATGTATCAAGATATCCAAGCTTTCAATTTATACTGATATGATATAGCATGTTCTTTCATCTTTTATATATCCACCTATTCCGGCCATTCCTCAAATACAATCCAAGCACATCGCCCTTACCGACACACGTATCCCCTCGAAAACTTTGCACACAAGCTGCTGGTTCAATATCCAAGCTAATGCGTCTGTACAAACGTATATATGGACTTCGACAAATTTGCAATATCGCAGTTTATATTGTTCACTCTGCTTGTACAATTCACCTACTGAGTCTTCCCGAAAAGACCTCGAAGAGAGATATAATTCACGGAGTCAAGCATCTCGAAGAAATAGCCGAGGATTGGCTCTGCGCTCGTCGAACTTTAAGTATACTCAGCGTACTGGCTCGGAAGTGGAATATCGATCTTCCCCCCGAAGCCTCCGCTGTATTCTCTCGGACGGATAGCAGATTCGGTACTTTCAGCACCGCAGATCTGCCATCGCCAAAAGCAGAACTAATAGTGACTACACCATCATCAACATCGTCACCCATCAATTTTCAGGCAGTTCCTCATTCTCAACCACTCATAAGAGGCCAAAGCCAGTTACAACAGAGTCTATATAGCTATCCTATCGACACGAAATCTCCACTTACAAATAGCTTGATGCACGATATGTCACCGCAGTCTTCACTAAATGGGCCACAACCCGATCATTCAGATCCTATTACATACCCTATTAACGCCAGCGGAATAACAACATCGAATCCCCTTCACATGTCACCCGTCTCTGCATATCCAATGTATGCCAACCCAGCTCAATCCTTCAGTCCCAGTATCACAAACGCTCCTAACACGAGCAGCAATAGCCCCCTGGTTAGTGTAAACAGACAAGTTAGTCCGAGCACGTTGTTTGGGGGCGTGGAGCAGTTGGTACAGAGCCAGGATTGGTGGTTGAGGGATCAAGCGAATTTGGTGATGGGCTTTGGAAATTGGATCGGTGGCGGTTACAATGTTGGTGGTCATGGGCATGGACATAGTCATAGCCATAGTCTGAGTGGTGATTTGGGTGCTGGGTCGGGAGATCCGTTTTATCACAATTCAAATTCAAACCCAAATGCTGGGAATGGCAACGATAATGGTAATGAGGGTGCAGGGGGTACTAATAGTGGATTTGGGGACGATGGGTGGTTTTCGTGATTTCCTTTTTAGTGTTTGGATGTACGATGACCTGATGACGTTATTCATACCTTTGCGGTTGGCAGGCACAATTATGGAGTTGAGCGGGTATGTTCTGATGGGATTTCGCGGTTTGGTTTGGCAATAGATGAACATGGCCAGAGCGGGAACAGGAGCCTGACATGGATTGGAATGGAATGGAACGCAATCGGAATTGGAATGGGAACGGAATCTTGAATTTAAGCGTAGGAGTTCTAGTGGCTGTGTCTCTATTTATTGGGTTCATCTTGAATGGATGATCGGAATGAGAGTTGGGATGGGTGTATCAATGAATGTATATAGATGTGAGGTTTGGATTGGATGGGATGGGTATGATATGGGTATGATATGATGAAATATGGTCTCATGTAGTATATATCTGGAATAGAAAAAGTATTGCCGCTTTTGATATTCGAAGCTACTGTATTTAGTCTGAAGAGGGATGGATGGATTGAATAAAGCAAAAGCCTTCTATCAATTAACCGATTCAGCAATCATTCCTCACCCTCATCTTATCCCACAACCCACCCCTACACTTCCCCTCCTACCCCTCCCTCCAAATACCCATCCAAAACCCACGCATCCCTCCACTTTTCCCCTTCCATCCCCCCCTCCATCGCCCCCTCCAACTCCCTACTAAAAGCCGGCACGCCCCCCATATAACCCCCCATCTCAATCTTCTTCCCGGGAATATTCGAGCCCATATACCAACTCTTTGTGCGCGCAAAGAGCGAGGGTGCTGCTAAATCTATAATTTTGCGGTGCCAGGATTCTTCCGAGAGATGGGTCGGTTCGATGGTGCAGATGGGGGGATCGCATGTGTTGAGGTGGTGGATGGTGCGCGTTATGAAGGTTCCTTGGATTTCAGACATTACAGGGCCGTTGGCGAAGGTTGAGGGGGCTGTGGGGGGAGGGGGGTGTGAGATGAGATGAGATGAGGGGGTGTGGTGGAAAGGAGAGGGAGGGGGATGGGGAGGGGGATAAGGAGAAAGGGATCTAAGTACCTTGAACCCCGTATGTCATGAATAGATTGGGGAAATTGACCATCGTCATTCCTAGGTATGTTTTAATGCCATCTTTCCACTATTTATACGTATACCCAAATATTAGCACCATACTCCCTATTCCAAATTCCAAATGCCAAATTCCCAATTCCTCATCTCAGATTCGTAATCACAATCACAACAGAAAAACAAAACAACAAAAATGGACAGACCTTCTCAGCAATACTCCTCCCATCCGTCCCCACAATATCAATCCCCGTAAAACCTCCCGTTAAAGCATCATATCCCGTCGCCAACACAATAGTATCAAAATGATACTCCTCACCATTTTCCATGCATATCCCTGTTTCTGTAAACGTGTCGATTGGGTTCGCGAGGATATCGATGATATCCACATTCTCCTGATTACAAACTTCGTAGAAGTTCTGCTCGAGTGATGGACGCTGTTTTTGTGTCAGAATTTGGCCATGTAACTTACTATCACTAGAAATCTTCCAGATAATATGTATACGCACCTTGGTCCCAAAAGTATGTATCTGATTTTCTAATAACGGAGCCAAAAGATCCTTTTTCTTCGGATCTGTAATCCTCTCTCTACATCTTTCAGCCCAAAAACTATAGGCCGCATCATTAGATTCCTGGTTAAAGAGGATATCTTTATAAGTACCAAGCCAAGGACGGAATCCGCCGTCAGAATAGAGTTGCTCGAATGTTTCGCGACGCTTGTCAGGTGAATCTTCAATGCAATTGCGCTGGATGAAATCGTAATCCAAGCCGGCGTGGTATTTGGGTCTGGTTTTGTAGATTTCATCATAGGTGCCGTTGGCTTTGGAGGTGTTTTGTTCGATTTCGATTAGTGGGCGCTGTTGCATTGGGAGACAGATGTTGGGTGTTCGTTGGAAGACGGTGAGATGGGAGACTATGGGGCCGATTTCCTGGATGGTCTGAAGAGGCTATTATTTTGGGGCAACGATATATGTATGAAGGAACCTGCCTGTATTCCTGAAGCCCCAGTTCCAATGACTGCAACTCTCTTACCAGCAGTATTGACACCCTCTTGAGGCCAGCGTCCTGATTGTATTTAGAATATACCTTTCACTTCAAGTACCAATGAAGACAGACCAGTATGATGAATAGTTCCTTTGTATGAGTCCATACCCTCAAAGTCCGGGACGAAAAGTTTGGTAAGAGCTCCAGTGCATAGTATGAGGAACTTGCAATCACAAACTTCTCCAGTCGTCAAGGTGACATTCCAGCGACTGGCCTTAATATCAAATTTGGCATGTGTGACTCCAGTATTGAGTACAATATCTTTACTCAAATCCAGTTTCTTGTCAACATAATCAAAGTATCTTAGAAGTTCCGATCGTTCTGGAAAACGTTCCGTCCATGTAAAATCCTTATAAAGACCACCGAAACCATATTCGTAGAGTGGAACATGTATATCGACTCGAGCACCAGGGTAATTGTTCCAATACCAAACACCTCCCACTCCACCTCCAAGCTCGACAACCTTGCAGTTGTAACCAAGTTTTCTGAGGGAATGTAATTGATACAATCCACTATGCAAATATTGTCAGGAATGCATTCCATCTCAGCGAGCGTAAAATACTCACGCAAATCCAGCTCCGACGACAAGAGCGTCTAAATTCTCTAAGGCAGACATTGCGATTATATTTGATGGATTGATGGCTTGATTGAGCCGTCTCCTGATAACTTTGTGGTTTTTTTGATTTATCCGGTTGATGAGCTGTGAAAGCTTGAGGGAAAATCTAACTTTACCGATGTCTTGTCAAGCAGAAAGTGGGAAATAAGGAAAGATATATTTTGTGAATAGATCGAGTTACATAGTGTATTGCCAGATGAGAAGGCCCAACAAACATTAGACGATGTTCCTGGGTATGAATACAAAGCTGGTGACAACTATCCTGAAATCTGCAATAGATGATAGCTCAGATGCTATTGAAATTGAGCAGATGTGCCGCAAGTATGATACTAAGATCATCAGCACAAGCTTATTGAAGCTTATCGTAACACTAGTAAAGAAAACGACCTATTAAAGATTCCCAAGTCTGTACCCTACGACATGTCAACCAAATGTTGTGAAAGGTAGCAAAATGAAGCCAAGGGCGAATCGGAATATGATGCGGGGTATCGCTTCGACCTTGTATTCGAGCAAAAGTACTTCATCAGGAACTGTGCAGCATACCACTCGAGTACTCGTATCTTCTCGTTGCAACAAGATGTATGAAGGAACTATCCTCAGATAATTGAAGATATGTAGTATTTCTGCAGATGTAGCATCTTCCGATACCCTCCGAAGGATAACTATCAATATCGTAACATACCACCTCGGAGAAAGAATACTAAAGTTTGTGGTTCAAACCTGGGTCAAGGATTGCACAGAGCAGGGTAGAAAATACCTAATTCGGTACTCACAACATATGAACGAGTCCATAATTCATGATTCATGCTATGTCGAATTGACTACAACCCAGATTTGTACTGATTATCTGATCAGAAGGTACTATGCCAGTGTGAGACCCCCACGTTAGACTTGTGTTCCTGGGGTATTGCAACGCATTCACATAATACAAAGAGTGAACACTTGTTCAACGGGAGTAGACTTCACTACTGGTACTTGAAATATTGAGGATGAGAGGTTTTGGTCACAGCAATTGAGACCATCCAAACCAAGATGGAGGTGGTGCCAGCCAATCCAATTGCTTGATTTGGTGGAACTCCCCTGATTCCCAACTGCACTCTGAGAATTGGGCGAAGCCTAGCTACAACCTCCATCTAGAGCATCCACATAGATATATTTACCTAAGCATTTTCACTGTATGATTGAAGTGAAGTAAGGTTGAAGTATAAACTTTGTGTGAAGTGAAGTGAAGTGAAGTGAAATGAAGTGAGAAATGAAGTGAAGTGAGCCAGGAACAATAACATGGTGGGGTCGGTGGGTCCCGCAAAATAGTGCCGCCTTATGTAGTTTCGCAAATTTTGATTGATGACTCAAATCCAAACAAAACAACCCCCTCCATCCATTCATCTTACAACCCCTCCACACTATCAACCATCAAACTGTTTTCCCCACGCCTCATTACCCGCGCCATCTCCAGGGCAAATACCTCTATCCTTAGAAGAAACATGGCCTCTTTCACCAACATCAAATACACCCCCGCCGAGGAAACCGAGCTCAAACAATGGACACTCACCTCCGAGCGTCTCAAGAGCTCCAGCTCCGAAACTCCATCCCTCCTTGATTCCCTCAACACCCATTTAGCATCCCGAACAACCTTACTTGGCTCCAAGCCCTCTTCTGCCGATGTCGCCATTTATGAGAGTTTAGCGCCTCAGGTTGCGAAGTGGAGTAGCGAGGAACGAACTGGAGAAAAGGGTCATCCTAACATTGTGCGCCATGTCGATTTCGTGCAGAATTCGTCTATCTTCGGGTTGAACGTTGGAGAAGAGCAGAAGGTTAAGGTTGATGCGGAGGAAATTCTCTACGTTAAACCGCCCGTTGATGCTAAAGCCGAGAAGGAGCGATTGAAGAAGGAGAAAGCTGCTGCGGCGGCCGCAGCAGTTGGGGGTGAACCAAAAGAATTGGCAGATCGAACCAAGGGAAACGGCGACAAGGGACTTTTGGCTCAAGTCACTGAGAAGGTTGCAGAGGCAAAAGATACAGTAGTTGCAGCTGTAACTGGCGAACAACCACAACAGCCCAAGCAAAAGAAAGAGAAGAAGGAAAAAGCGCCCAAACCTCAAAAGGCTCCAGCTCCAACTGCCCCTCTTTCTCCATGTTTGATTGATCTCCGCGTAGGTCATATCTTAAAGGCCATCAAGCATCCCGAGGCCGACTCTCTCTTTGTCTCTACCATTGCTATGGGTGATAAAGCCGGAACCGACGATACCACCGAATACGAAGGACAAGTCGTGCGAACCGTCTGCTCGGGTCTCAACGGACTCGTCCCCTTGGCAGAAATGCAAGGACGCAAAGTAGTCGTAGTCTGCAACCTCAAACCTGTCAAGATGCGCGGCATCAAATCATGCGCCATGGTTCTAGCCGCATCTCCCAGACTAAAGGAAGGAGAAGAAGATCACCACGCCGGGCCCGTAGAACTCGTGACTCCACCCGCCGAATCTGTGGCTGGCGAACGCGTCTTCTTCGAGGGATGGAAGGGAGAACCCGAGGGGGTTCTAAACCCCAAGAAGAAGGTGTGGGAGATGATCCAGCCGGGTTTCACCACAACCGCGGATTTGGAAGCGGCGTTTGATGCGGGGGTAGTGAAGGAGTTGAGTAAGGAAGGAGAGGATGCTAAGACTGGGGTTGGAAAATTAGTCACGGAGAGTGGTAGTGTTTGCAAGGTTAAAACTTTAGCTGGGGGTATCATTAGATAGAGGAGGATACAAGCGATGGGATGCAAACTGGACAATTGATGGCATGGGTATGGATAGGAGTTTTCTTGATGACCTTCGAAATACCCACAATAGAAACCCCAAATTCACCCGTGCCAGTGTTTAGTGACAACACGGATGTCTTATAAGTAGAGATAGCCAAGTCACTGAATTGCTATATATATCCTACAGATAGCTGGCATAATATGCACGATAGCTATACTATAGATGATTAAGCATTTCCCCATCGTTTCTGTTCCTCTTTCTTTTTCTGAGAGCTAAAATTCCCGAGAGATTGTATGTCCTTATATGTGACATGATCAACGTCATTAAAATAAAACAATTCAACATATCCACTCCTTCCTCTGCCTTTGGAATTCCAAGTACTCAGTACTTTTCCGCCCGAATCCAAATCAATGACTACCTAGTATCTGTAGTCAATTTCTCCACCCGGCAATCCCAACCTGTCCATCCAGTCCATTTAAAACACCCATACCCCAATGATCTATATACAATAAATGCTCAACAAAACAAACCATGAATGTACTCGAGTATGCTATGCCCCTAAATAATGAATGCCAATATTTGCAAGTAAATCTCCATGCCATTGCTATATTTCTCACGCCATCCATACATACATCCCATCCCATACGGGGAAACAATTCCTCACACTTGCCCAAATTTACTCCAATCCAAGATTTAAACTCCAAAGGGATACTACTGCAACTCCAGTATTTCTAGACGAGGTGAGGTGAAGTCTTGGTAAGCGAGACGAGCGAGACGAGCAGACAAGCCCATTGAAGAAGCATTTAGTACGCTACATCACCCGATCGCTTGAAGAACAATTTTCTCGGATCGAAATGATTATTATGGTCACCGTTATCATCATCGTCGACTTCCATTTTGTTATCAACCTCCAACGTTAGCGATCCATCTGGGACCCAACTTGGTACCGGGATAGATTTCTTCTCATTCACATGTGAATAAGATATTGGCGAAGTAATTCCATTTTCTCCCATCTCCCTAATTTCCCTCTCCTCCTCCCTCTTCATTTCCTCAATCTTCCTCGCAGCAATTTCCCTCACCTCCCCAAGCCTCCTCTTGATATTCTCAATTTCCGTGTTGCATTCCCCATCGCGTAGAAATTGATGGGCGGCATGTTCGCATTGTCCTTGGCACCATTCTAATCCTTTATCCAACTCATCAAATATATCCGGAGAACTTCCTGCTCCGGAACTGCTCCCGGATCGACGGTAGCCTTTGAGCATGTTCATCGTATTTCCGATATTCATGCGATCGCGAGTGGGACCCATGTTTCTCGTTGATACGAATTGTAATTTCGCTCCTGCACTAGTATTCGTATCTTCTCCATTTATTATCACCCCATTTGAATATGGTTCTGAAGAGGCTTTCAGTTGTGCCGAAGGTTTTGGTAGCGCACTACCCAGCGCCATCGAAGCTTCAGATTCCGATTCGTCATCGCTTTCTTCCTCTGCTTCCATTTCAGCCGCTCGTCTCATTTCCGCCATTTTAGCGGCCATTTTCCCCTTTCGCATGGCATTGCGATTTCCGCTTATGAATTTGACGAGGTCTTCAAAGGCGGTTTGGACGGCGCTGTCGTAGTATACGATTATCATGGATCGGGTTCTGTATTTGGGGGCTTGCGAGTTTCCGGATGCGAGGGATTCGGTTTTGCGTTTGCGGATTATGGCGGGGGTACGTGGGAGGGTTCCGGTGTGGGGTGTGGGGTGCGAGGATTGTCGGCTTAGTGCGTTGGGGGAGGCTCGGGGGGTGAGTGATTTGGGAGATTGTGATTGAGATTGGGATTGGGATTGATTGTATTCGAGGGCAGCGGCGGCGGCTGCTCGAGCTACAGATGGGTAATTGGGTCGTGCTTCCGAGTTGTATTCATTTTGTGCTGATTTTAGGGAGTCGACGAGGGGCGAGGGTATTTGTGTGGTATTTTCGGGTTCGTTGCCCTCGCCATCTTTTGGTCGTAGTGATTCGGTGGAACCTTTATTCTTCAAGGAGCGCACAGGATTGAAATCTATCAGGCGTCCTAGTTCAATTTGTCGTAATGCTATTTGACTGTTTAGGTCGTCTAGTCGTTTGTTCCAGTCCGGTATGGATTGGATGAGATTCGTCAACGCCTCCAATGTCGAAAATGTCGTCATGATGGATATTGACAAAAGTAGATTGAAAATATTCTGATTCGAGTATTCAAAGTTGGTAGATTGTATTCTTCAAAATGTATTGGACGTGATGAAGGAAGATGTCTTCGAGTCGAGGATTGAAAGCTTCGAGGTAGGTGGTCAAGAGATCCATTGATCATATTAGTACCATCATCACTGCGTCATAATGGAGAAACAGTAGGGAAATGAACGTTGGACAATGCGTACGACTCTTGTGTGGAGCATAAGAGGTTTGAAGTAAATCAATTTAGATCTCTTTCGTTCAATTACAAGACCTGGAGGGTTTATTAACCAGAAGCGTGATCTGCAAATAAAGAATATATGGAGTATCTAATATATATCTCGGACTCGATGACTGACTGTTCACTACCTGCAGGTTTGAACAGGCGACTATAAGAGAATGCGGGTACCGACCTATATCTATAAGAGTCTTATTGCATGAAGCTATAGTGAATTTACTTGTAACCTTACATCGAGCGTAAAGAAAAATGCGCGGGATTCAGACATTGAGTGTGGTATGATGTGGTGTCACTGGTATGGTATAGGTGAGGAAGCTTGAGCTTACCTTCAATATACAATCAATACAATGGCATACAACCCTAGCACATCGTACGCTAGTAGTCACTAAATGATTTTCAGGGATCTTCGGATCGGTGGACCCCCTTCATTGTTATCAAGATCAAGCGAATCATCAACTTCATTTCCATTTCACGCTTAATTAATAGACAATATTGAAACAAATCGGAAGACTCCTTGCAAAGGCAAAAGAAACGGTATGATGATATATAATTGGAGGGAACATACGGTTATATTGGAAGATATATTATCTTCCCTGAAGCATCATCTTGATTCATGATTCTTAAACCATGATCTCAAAATGCACATGAAAGTCATTGGGGATACGAAAATGAAAATAGATAATACAACACACAGAATGAAAGATGATCACAGAGCGGTGATTGTTTTCACAAATGTAGCACTCTTTTCATTTCAACCAAACTGTCGGTACTTTTACAACAATTTGATAAGATCTAGAATATGAAGTAGTTCTGTATTTCGGGCAGTTGCAGAACTGATACTTGTTGTTACTGCGGCTGCGGTATCAGTAGGGAGTTTCCTTGTAAAGGGTTTCCTTTTTAGTATTCTTTCCAGAATTCAATAGGTTCTAACAGTTCTTTCATCAGACGAATCAATATTCAAATATTGCTGTTGCTATTGCTGTTGCTGCAGTGCTAGTAGTGTGAAGGAGAAGATTTCCTTACCCAAGATATGAGTACACAATTAATTTCCAACCGACTTCCCAACCTCCTCTTTGTCTGGAAGGACACAAAAAAAAGATGTTCTTGTAGATGCTTTATAAATTAATAATCTTTATAATTAAAAGTATTCAAAATCCTCACCGCATATGCCAAAACATCGAAATTGGAATCAGAAACCGAAACCTTCTTTCTCACTCTTATCTCCGTATACCGGTACATTAGAAACTTTTCCTTCACTACTCGAGTAGGCCCTAAAAGCTAAAGCACATTGCGTTAAACACCTCTATAGGGCTCCTCATCTCCCATCTCATCTCCACCCCATCCTTCCGGGAAACTCAAACCACACGATCCGGATCATCATCCAGACGGTGAAGTTCGAGAATTTTCACTAGAAGCATTATCTCGTGGCATTTAGAATTCTTTAGTTTATTGACCAGGACAGGGTCAGGGGAAGGAAAATATTTAAATGAGACATTTAGCCACGCTTTTAGCTCTTCCGTCCCTGGTTACACGTGCGTTATGCAGAAAACGGCCGCCATCGGTTTTGATATGCATGGATTAGAAGTTAGATGTGGATTGTTTGATGCATCGGGAGAAAATGCTGGAAATGGTGGAAATGTATGCTAAATGAGCTGGATGAGGTTAGGCGATCCGAGAATTTTGGATAATATCGGCGATTATTGATTCATGATTGATTCATGAATAGCAAAGGAAAAGAAAATAAAAGGTATTTTTATTACAATGACATGTGCCGCATTATTTCGAGATTACTGCCGCCGAACCTATGGCCAAAGCTCTTCCTTCTTCCATTCGCCAATATTCTCTCCTCCCTCTTCCCCATTTCCATTGGGACCAACGTAGGTAAATCTCCATCTTCTGGCTTTGTCAGGTACACTCAAATCAAGTTGTTCGACTTCAGTGGGTTTAATAATAACAACTCTGAAATTCTTTCGGGCAACTTCATCGTTCAAATCCGATACTTTTTGACCCAAAGCCCAATTCGGATCACTTGGAGGAAGCGAAACAGGAGTTCCAGGAATAGGGTTTTTGAAGCTACCTACATATCAAAGTTAGTCGAAAACCTCATCTCGCCAATGTTTGTACTTTACCTCTCATCCCCGGACTACAATTGCCAAAATGGGCCGTAAGTTCTTTTTCCCAGCTCCAGTCATCTTTCCCATCCTCCTTCACAACTCTCATTCTCTCTCCGACTTTTGTCTTCACGGTTCGAGTTCCACTTGATTCTTGACCACTCCCTTCAATATCTTCACCGACAATATATGCTTCACCCTTAAACCTCCATTGTGTCAAAACCTCCTTGACCCAAAATACCGCTTCAACAGGCCCACCACCTCCACTTCCCTGACTCTGGTCAACCTCTCCATGACCTTGAGAACTAGCAAAGATCTCAGGTACCTTCTCCATGCGTACATCTGTAGTGAAAGTGGGTAGATCACTCTCGTAAACTCGATCGTTCATGGGAGCTTCATTATGTTTGTTTTCAGGGAGTTCGGCCCACATTCCTCGAAAGATACAGAAACGAGCTCGAGGCAGATAAGGAGTTGGGGACTTCTTATCACTGCTTCGATGTAATGATGAGAGAACAAATTCGGGCGAATCCATCTTCGAGAGATGGGAAATGAAGAGGGGACGCCATGGGGCGGGACCAATGGATGCTGGGGTGGTGGTTGATGTAGACATTGTGTGAGCGAGACGCAAAAGACGTGATGAGGCTTTGGAAGCTATTTTGAATGTTGTTGTTGTTTTTGTTCCGGTTTTGGATTTACTGATAGTTGAGTTGAGTTGAGTTGAGTTGAGTTGAGTATTCAATGTGATTTCTTGAATGAAAGTGGCGGGACTGAGGGGTGAGCTTGCCGATGACGCATTGATACTGTAGAAGCTCCTAATGGTGGGGTCATTGCAATCATTATCGTTTGATCTTTCTACCTCCGTATATAAGAACTTAATAAGTTATTAGGTAATACTAGTACCAGTACCATTAATCTACCAACAATCAATGTCTAATCCTCAAACATACAACCTATCTCTCATATCTGGGAATAGCTTCAATATCTCGTATCCCAAAAACCACAATCAAATCTGTTTGCATTACTTCACTTGAAGTCAAGAAAACCCCACATACATTCGGTACATCATCCTCCGAAAACCTAGGAATTTTATTTTATCCCAGACAATGATCACCATGAGAACCCCTCTTCCAAGCTGGAAATCATGGGGAAAGCTTTTATGTGTGGCCATCTGGTTGACCGTTGAAGGTTCCTAAATGGAATTTTACCTCCAATTGAGGAGCTTTCTCAAGTTGTTTTTCCTTACGAGGGGAATGGGTCTGGTGGATGAATGCAAAATACCGGCATTGGTGATGAGGAAAGTGTTTGTATATCTTTTCAATATGTCTTCATTTGTGAACTTTTTTCCAATTTGCTGTTGCTAGAATTACATGGGTTTGAAGGTGTTTCTTCAATTTCGACTGTATATATTGGGACATCGAAGCTCTCACGTTGCGAAACTCATACGTCACTCTACACTTTCTCCTTTTCAAAATGCGTCTCATAATCAGCGCTACGATAGCGCTTTTCTCCTCCCTCGTAGCAGCTCATGGAGATGCTGGCCGTGATGTCATTCCAGTTCCTCCGCACAAAAAGCACAAGACTTGCACTGTTCTGCCTCTCGGAAACCACACAGATGACACCCCTCAAATCCTCCAAGCATTTTCAGACTGCAATCATGGCGGCACCGTTGTGTTTCCCAAACATCAAGTATATTGGATCGCGACGAGGTTGAATCCTGTTATCTACGATGTGACGATTGATTGGCAGGGAATATGGACGGTATGTTTGAATCTCTTCTCCAATTATATGTCGGGGTGTTGACGAATTGACAGCTATCGGATAATCTCACATACTGGCGCAATCACTCTTATCCCGTTGCATTTCAAAATCATGCTGCCGGGTTTGTTATCTCAGGAGATCGAATCCATATCAGTGGAAAGGGTAGTGGTGGAATTGATGGTAATGGAAATGCATGGTATAACGCCGAGAAAGCAGTCACACAACCTGGACGCCCTATGCCTTTTGTTTTCTGGAACACTAGTGAAGTATTCGTCGAACATTGTATGTTCTCCCATTCTCATACTCCTCTCCCATATATGAAGGGGTACCCAGCTAACCAAAACTCTTTCGGAAATAAAGTCTTCATAAAAGATTCTCCTCTCTGGGCACTAAATATCATGAATGGTACCAACATGTGGTTTGACGATATTCTCGCCAACTCAACTGCTGTCAATGTACCATATGGAACGAATTGGGTGCAGAATACTGATGGCTTTGACACGATGGACGCCAACAATATCAAACTAACGAATTTCTGGTATCAAGGCGGTGATGATTGTATTGCCATTAAACCGAGATCTTATAATATCTGGGCACAGAATGTATTTCCTCTATTCCCACCTCTGATTCTCACCCCTCCCCCACGACTCAAACCCATACAACTAACTTGATGAAAATAGATAACATGTCACGGCGGCAACGGCATAGCAATAGGTTCTCTAGGTCAATACCTTGAAGACGCATCCGTAATAAACGTCACCGTAATAGATGCCAATATCTCCACCTACAATTTAGACATGCATAATACTGCATACATCAAAACATGGATAGGAGAACTAGCTCCCCAATCAGGATATGAAAATGCAGGATTACCTCGAGGCGGCGGCTGGTATATTTCCCCTTTACCTCTCTCTCTCTCTCTTCATCACTCGATCCTCCTCTATCTCCCTATCCTTCCTTTCCTTCCTTTCCCCTTCCATTCCCTTCCCTCCCTCCCTCTCCCACTTTCTCTCTGCACCTTGAACCCGAAAACTAACCCCACCCCAGGGGCACCATAAACAACCTCCTCTTCGAAAACTTCCACACAACCGGCGCCGCCATCGCAGCAGGTATCTCCCAAGACTCAGGCAACAACGGTTCCTACACCGGCACATCCAAGTTTGCAATCTCAGACATCACGTTTCGCAATTTTACGGGGTATGAGGCCGGGGCAAAGGGATCGAGGACGGCGAGTGTTAGTTGTAGTCGGGTTTTTCCTTGTAGGGGGATTGTGTTTGAGGGGTGGAGTGTTGCGTTTGCGGTGGATGTGTAGGTTGTTTTTTGTTTGTTCTTTTTGGGGGAGGGGAGGGGGTGGGGTGCTTGTTGATGGGCTTGGGATTTTGTGTTTGAGGGTTGGAAAAAGGGGGGGGTGGTAGATGGTGGATGGATATATGGCAAGCGAATGCTAATGTGAATATATACAATAGGACTGCGGCAAACGCAACGGGTACTTGTAGTATGATTGCTAAGGGGGGTGTGGTAGGAATGTTGGGGAGTGGATGTTCGTGAGGGGTTTGAGAGAGTGAGCGAGTGAGTGAGAGAGTGAGATTTTATATATGTGGTAGATCTAAAATAGAATAGGAAGGAAGGAAGAAAGAATAGGAGATGATTTGTGATGTGCGATATGATATGATGGATGCGATATGATATGTGAAGATGATGAATGAGATGAATGGAATAAATTAATGATTATGAATACTCGATCCAGTGGGTTTTAGAAACCTGTGCTATGTATGGTGCTGTGTGTGGTTGGAAGATAGTTGGTTTGATTTGTACTTGCTACTTGATTTGTACTGATTGATTAATGATCAATGATCAATGATGAATCATGAATGATACGATAAGGCGATGGATGATCAATAGTCAACAGTAAATTGAAGATATCACTAAACGAACTTCTGCATCCATCCATTCAAACATGAATTTTTTAAATACCACTTATAAACCACCCTTCCCATCCTCTTTTCCACCCCCCTTCCCCTTTCCACACCCCTTTCCACACCCCTTTCCACACCCTCCCTACACAAGCAACCTCCCATACAAGCCCCCCTCCTCCCTCCTCGCCCCCTCCATCTCCCCCTTAACCCCCAACAACTTAACATTGCTCCCCTGCTCTCTACTCCACTCCCTTAAAAATCTCTTGATCCCCTCCATCGTTTCCTCATCATCTCTCACCAACAGCACAATCGCATCATAGCCGCCCGCACCCGGTACCACGCCCCCGACCACCCCCTCGACATTCTCCGTTACCGCATCCAGCAGTTTAGTTTGTTCTTCCGGTTCAATGGGGACTCCTGATAACTTACCCATTTCTCTGATTTTTTCCCGGATGGCTGAGAATGCATTACCCGCAGCAGCTATATCCCCCGAGGACAGAATGGTGGCTAATTTTTCATTTCGCGTCTGCAGTTCATCCCAGAGTTTTTTCGAAACCACGGGCTCGCGTGCCCTCCATTCGAGAACTGACTTCACCATCCCAACGGTTTGAGAGCCGCAATCCACGTCGCACATCACGAGTGCCATGCCCTGCGGAATGCTAATTTTCCCACTCTCGATCTGCGCGTCCCATTTGGGAGAAGCGGTGTCCTGAACCGAGCACTTGACGCGGGTGGAGAATCCCGGAGAACCGGGTTCGCCGAGGGAGGAGAGGAGGGAGGGGGAGAAGCGTCGGTAGAGTGAGGTGCCGTAGACGGCGGTGGCGATATCGAAGCCGGAGCCGACTTTTCCTTGGGCGGCGCAATGGGCTGCTTGGGCTAGGTTGTGCAGTTGAGATTTGCCGTTTGGAGTGTCGAGGGAGAATTTGGAAGGGGGAAGATAGTGGGTGAGGATTGCGCCTGTGAAGGCGGTTACGAGGGCGGCGGAGGAGCCGAGACCGGTCTTATGCGCGTCTTGGAGGCGCACGCCGAAATCGAGAAATTGGTGGTGTGCATCGTTGGCGATAGAGGTGCTGGAGGGGTTGGAGTAGTAGTCTTTATCGGCGAGGATGGTGATGGTGGTGGGTTTTATGGTGGTGCTGATGGGGAGGAGCGAGGATATGTAGGTTAGAGCGTAGAGTAAGGCGGTTTCTACGAATGGATTTCGAGATGGGGTTGCGGTGGGAGAGCTAGAGATATGAGATGAGTAAATTTGTTAAGGGAAAGATACATTTGATCATGATAGATAGTAGATAGTAATTCATATAAAGTCACACGTGACAGTAGTAGAAATCGAGACGATAGAGATAGTACCTGTACCGAGTCGAAGACCATACCATACCCCTTTCTTATCGAATCAAAAGTCCTCGAGTACATAAAAAAAAACATATCTCACCCATGTAACTGTGTAACTTCAATACCCCCATCATCCTTCGTCAAATGATAACCATAATTCCAAGCCGCCTCACGAAATTGAGGACTCTTCACAATAATCTCAGATAGCTGAACACCAGTACTCGTATCGATATCTTGAACCAACACGTGAATGCGCGCACTAAGACCAAAGACTAAAGCGGTATATTCACGATCGAGCACTAGATAACCTCCTGCTAAGAAGACTTTGCCGGGTGCTGATACGGCGGTGATTTGTGGTGGTGTAGGTGTAGTCATCATCCTGCCTGTAATGTTTCTAGGGGGTGGTTCTGCTTGAGATTGGTCGGACAAGTCGGACTGGGTGGTTTGGTTAGCGGATTTTACCGGTATTTGAGTGAAGGACCGAAACTTCGGTCGAGTACCCGAAAATAATGGACTTTTGAATTTTAAGGTTTTCAGACTCCATATTAAAAAGAGGATCACTGAAGAAGATTCCCGACTCGTGGAGTGTATCAATGGCTTCTATTTGGTTCTATGGATGGCTTGAAGTTTGAAGTTTGAAGTTTGGAGGCTTATCAAATTAGTATCAATTGATCGATTCTTGTACTAATAATGTACAGTACCCATCATCCACGTTATGATACGCACACATGCTGATATGGGGTGGATTTATCGTGATTACAATGAAAGACTAGGAGATGGCTTGCAGGAATTAGTAAGAACACATATATATCTCAGATACGGTCTAGAGTTGATAATTGTATGCAACAGTAGGGTAGCAGCAGTAATAATGTTGATATACAATATTGTTTGATTAACAGGTTGAGCTTTTTTTCCTTTTTTCCTTATTCCACCCTTACTTGTCGTTCCTGAATATATACAGACTATTCTATCCTCCGATTCCGTAATGTTATACGAATTAGAACACGAATTAGAAGTCCAGAACCGGTATACAAAAAACGGGGATAAATACGGGAATAACGATAATAACAATAATAACGTCTCAACCAATTAAACCAATTAGAATCCTCACATTTTTCGCGCTTTTATGGAGTAGCGCTAGAATTAGACCCGCGTTCTTGGATTTTATATTACAAGGATAATACCGGGATACAGGCGTTTTGCGGGAATGGGAGTGAATGGAGTCACATTTTCATATTTTATATAACATTTTTTATTATTGATGCCGGAAGATTATCGCCCTTGGTAGAATTTTTAAAAATCTGACGCGCGCAAATTCATTTTTTTCAGCCCTTGTTCCGAGATTTGAATACAATAACCCAGAGAATAGAATATATGTGAATCTGAGGAATCTGAGATTTCAAATAATTCCAATTCGAATCCATCCTTCCCTTCTCTTTATTCATCCGAGTCCCGTCATTTATTCGTTTTGATTTATTAAGAAACTAATCTTGTCACACCAGTCAACTGAACTCATCATCCTTTTTTTTTACTTCTTCTTCTCCTGCATATGAAGTCGATCCTCCAAAGGCATCCAACTTAATATTAAATCGATTCGTCATCTATCTGACCCAAGGACCCTTGGAGGCTTTTATTACCTTGGTAGACAAAAGAGCAAAGAGTACTAGAGCATTACAGATTAATTATCATACATCTTCATACATACAACAAACAATTAAACAATCTTGGATTTTTATCAATCAGATACGCCACTTCATTCAAATCCATTCAAAAGAACGTTGTAATTTTTAACTTCCTCTGAATCTCGAATATCAAACCTCAAAGTCACTTCTTTCTCTACCTTCCCACAACTCTCCCCTCCAAAACTCAAACAGCGCGTTTGTTTGACAGTATAGCTGTCAAATGAACCTGCAATCATTGACTTATTGAGATCTTATGTAAGTTTATCATTTTTTCCATTGATATAAAAACTCTGAGTCATATATAAACTTTTGGCGCATTTGTGCAAGAAAAGTTCTACAGTCAAATGAAGTAGGAAGCTGATATCAATCACTTTAATAGTCTCCTCTCAACCAATTCTGAGAGGTCAAACCATTCCTAAATGCCCATCTACAATAACCTCTATTCGAATCTTGCACGTCAAGGTTTCGCAAAATCGGTTACTCACGGTTACGCTCAATCGGTCGTTGCCGCAACTCATCCTCAAGCGCTAGCAAACCAAAACCGACCTGGTCTCGGATTACAACGCCGAACTAGCAAACTCGGTCATCTTCCTACTTACACTTTCCAAAATGCTTTTCACACAAGCTCCAATTCGACGGTCGTTCAGGATAGGCCAGAAGGATTAGAAATATTATCGGATGCCTGGAAGGCAAATGAACTCGCCAAGGAAGAGAAGAAAGCTCAATTCCCAAAATGTATCGAATGGAAGCCAGCTTCTATTCAGGTAGATGGAGAGGGAAAGAGTAACATTGTGGCTAGTGATGCGGTGAAGGATACCCCTAAGCAAGCTTCGAGGGCGTATAGCACTAGCGCGGTAGATGACATCAAGCAAGTTCATTTTGAAGCCGAGGAGGAAGCTGCCCTGGCAAAGATTGATGCGGCCATCGAGAAGGAGATTCAGTCGAGAGAGAATCAAGCTGCATTCGAGGTGGAATTGAGCGTCGTTGCGGCACGTGTACCAACTCCTCCTATTGCGCCAGTTCAGTCACCTGCTCTCACAGTCGATACTATCTTAGAGAAATCGGAACGATCACGATCGCCTGTTAGCTCTGCCACATCAATCGCCTCACCATCGGATCTTCAATCATTGAGCTATGCCGAACATCTTACCAAACTTGCGGAAGGCGGCAGACATGCTGAAATTCCTGCTGTGTTTGAGGCAATGCTTGTCGGAGGTATCAAACCAACGGCAACTGCATATAATGCCCTTCTTGATGCCGCAATTCACCTTCCTGCTGATCAGATCCAAGTTGTTCCAAAGGCTCTCGATGTTTATTCTGATATGATTAGACGAAAGGTATTACCAGATACTGCGACATACAGCACGCTCATCAAGTTAGTTGCTTCTCGATCGATTACTGTGACTTCGTTGAAACAGACATTGGAAGAGAAACGTGTTAGATTTGGTGGAATGGAGGAAGCTGGCAAATTTATGTTTGCTTCCAACGAACTAGAGTTTGCTATCCTTGCCGAAGATGACAGGTTAGATCTTGCTGTCAGGTTGTTTGATGCATCAATCTCGTACCACACGGATCGATCATTCCCAGCAGAGACTTATCATCAGCTCATATCTGCCTGTGCTGATGCTGGTCGCGTTCCAGATATGGTACGATTGTATGAACACATGGAGACTAGCAAGGTTGTACCATTGGCCGCTACTTTCCCACCTATGATTAAGGGTTTTACTCAATCGGGTGATTTGAGCAGTGCTGTCGAATGTTACAATGAGTACAAGGAGCTGGCTGTTGCAGATGACACTGGCAAACTTCAACTACCTGATCGTCAAGACGCACAAATCTATGCTTCCGTTGTCAAAGCTTATGTCACTTCCGATAAAATGGAGGGTGCCATGAAGTTTTACAACAGAATCATTGAAGGATATGGAGAAAATGTTGAGGCTTTCCGGGACGTACTTGTCGATGAAGGTTTCGTTCAGGGTCTCCTTGAGCGTAACATGTTGACTGAAGCTCTTAGCTGGGCTGAAGGTCTGCAAACTGCCACCAAGTCCATGGTTATGAGCACGATAACTATGCGTGCTGCCGACAAGGGAGAGAGATCTGTTGCTGTCGCAGCTTTCTCGAACGTCAACCCTGACCCAAGCATTGCCAAGCCAACTATGGCAATGTTGGCTTTGAGTGTTCGCAGTGGAGATGTCGCTGCAGCTCAAAGATACTGGGGTATACTAACTGCCGCTGAAATGCCTGTATCGTCTGCTTTCATTGAACCAACTGCCATGTTCGCCGTTGCAATGATCGGCTCTGGACAGGTCCTCGAGGGTCTCACGCAATCTGAACAGATGTTCTCTAGAATTAAAGAATCTGCCACAGATGCCAATTCTCACCTGGCTGATGAGGTTGAAGAGGGTACTGAGTTCATTTCCCGATTCATGAAGTCACACGGTATTATTGATCCCCGTGATGCAACAGTACCGGAAGCTATGTATCAACAAAACTTCCAACCTGCAGTATATGTTGCGCCACCGACATTCGAGGACACTTTTGATCCATATGCCGCCTCTACCGATTTCAAGGGTTCCACTCTCATTGCTGATGAGCTTGAGAGAGGAGCTGGTCGTGGTAAAGGATCTAAGCTTAATGATGCCTTGGGTAGATTCAAAAATATGCGTCGCGCTGGTCGTCACCCAAGGTACATCACCTACGCCAAGCTTATCTCTGCTGCTGCTCGCGAAGAGCGAATGAACTTGGTCAATGATATCCTTGGCATGGCACGATCTGATGTACCTTTACTTGTACAGTATCCTATTGTTCGATATGGGTGGGTTTCAATACTTGATGCTATGGTTGGTGCTTGCCTGACTCTTGGTAACCGCCATCTTGCTGCTCAATACCACCAAGAACTACTCGATATGGGTGCTGCACCAACAGCGAATACTTTCGGTCTTTATATTACAACTTTAAAGGAGTCAACAAAGACTTTTGATGAAGCCTCAGAAGCTGTCAAGATCTTCCATCGTGCTAAGTCCGAGGGCGTTGAGCCTTCATCCTTCTTATACAATGCTCTTATCGGTAAGCTCGGAAAGGCTCGTCGTATCGATGATTGTCTCTTCTACTTTGCTGAGATGCGTGCTCTTGGTATTCGACCAACTAGTGTTACTTATGGTACTATCGTCAATGCTCTCTGCCGTGTCAGCGACGAGAAATACGCGGAAGAGTTATTTGAAGAGATGGAATCCATGCCAAATTACAAGGCCAGACCTGCTCCATATAACAGCTTAATGCAATTCTTCCTCACTACCAAGCGTGAAAAGAGCAAGGTTCTCGCATACTACGAACGAATGAAGTCCAAGGGTATTCAACCAACCAACCACACATACAAGCTCCTCATCGACACTCACGCTACCCTCGAACCTGTTAACATGTCAGCCGCTGAAGCCATTCTCAATATCATTCGTAGCAATGGTGAGAAGCCAGAAGCTGTTCACTTCTCTTCATTGATTCACGCCAAGGGTTGTGTTATGCATGATATGGAAGGTGCTCGCAAGGTTTTCGATTCCGTCATGGCTGATTCTTCCATTCGTCCTCAAGCATGTCTCTACCAAGCATTATTTGAATCCATGGTCGCCAATCATAAAGTCATCGATACCGAATCCGTTCTCTCAGCCATGTCTGCAAGAGGTGTTTCAATGACTCCATATATCGCCAATACTCTCATTCATGGTTGGGCCAACGAACGCAATATCGAAAAGAGTAAAAAGATCTTTGCAACAGTCGGTCGCGAAAAGAGAGAACCAAGTACATACGAAGCGATGACTCGAGCTTACCTCACCGTGGAGGATCGAGATAGCGCGAAGAATGTGGTGCAGGAAATGCTGAGTAGAGGTTATCCAGGAGCGGTCTCGAATAAGATTCTGGAATTACTTGGGGGTGGTCACGCTGAAACTTCTTAGATTTCTAGCGCCACTTTCATCTGGTCTGGTCTTAAAACTCTTCGGTTCGATTTCTTCAGCTGTCGTCTACAATTCACAATTCATCGAGTTCATCCTCCTTGATCAATGGGATTTTTCCAGACAGACCTTTGAATTTTGCATTTTGCATTTTGCATCATGTCATTCAAGATACCTTTTTTTTTTTTTTTTGACTTGTCCAAGTATGTCTGTATGTTATGATACCCGTGCGATGGCACATCACATCAATTTATGGTGGCGGTTTATGGGTATCAAATTAAAGGTCGAGTCGAGTCTAGTCTAGCAGCTGGACTGAACTGACTATCTGTTCTGGTTCAGCTGGCTGACTGGTCGGTCGGTCGGACTTTTAAAGTTTTATGAGAGTTTTCAATTTCATTTTTTTTTACATTAGATAATTTAAAATTTTGTCTGGTTTCGATGTCGTATACGATATCGAGAACTGGATGATGGCGTTGGGGGTTGGTTTGGGGTTGGTATTGGTATTTGCTTCCAGCATGGTGTTTTACGGGGCGAGTGGGATAAGATGGGATGGATGGATGGATGGATGGAATGGGGTGGAACATATGAGTGGATTATATGAGTGAGTGCTTGCATGCATATATGCATACATCAAAAGATAAAGATAAAGATAAATCTCAACTCTTCTATACAAATACAAATGCAAATACAAATACAAAGAAGGCGAAAGGAAGGAAAGAAGCAGAGCAGCTAGCTATGATATAATAGTGCATGGAAATGGCACCTGGGATCCTAGCTAGCTGGCTTGGATTGATTTGGCTTGATTTGATGATGATGATGATGATGATGATGATGATGATGATGATGATGGATTGGTTATATTTACAGATACATATACATATTCACATGTGTAATGATATATCAAAAAGATTATCATCTTCCTTCATCTTCCTTCATTTTCATGAATTTTCATGAGTTTGAGTTGAAGTTTGGGTTTGAGTTTGACTTTGTATGGTAGGAGCTGTGGAGGTGTGATGTGATGGGATATGTGTATGTATGGTACAAGTAAGTAAGTAAGTGAGTGAGTATATATAGTATACACGTATACACTCGAGTATACTCGAGTACGAGTAGTATATTACTATCAATAATATCTTCATTTCTCTCTCTTTCTTTCCTCTTTCCTCTTTCCTCTTTCCTCTTTCCTCTTTCCTCTTTCCTCTTTCCTCTTTCCTCTCTCCTCTCTCCTCTTTCCTTCTACATACTCCATCCATCCAGTACAGTAGTAAGTACCTAGTCTAGTCTGTGAGAAAATATAAATATAAAAGCTCATCTCTTTCTTTCTCCCTCTCTCTCTTGTCTTGTCTTGTTTTCTCTTATCTAACCTACATATTATTTCATATTTTTTATTTCGTATTTCGTATTTTGTGATGGTGATGGTGATGGTGATGGTGATGGATGATGTATATCTTACTTTGACTCTTACTCTTACTCTTATTCTTTCTTATATCCATTATATTCATTCCTCCTAGCTGGCAATACTCCTGTCCTCTCCTCTCCTCTCCTCTCCTCCTCTCATCTCCTCTCCTCTCTTCTCCTCCTTACAAGCAAGCTAGCAAGCAAGCTAGCAAAATCAATAGATCCAAAGGAAGGAAGGAAAAAAAAAACAAGATCCAGAGAAAAAGAATCCCGAGGTAGACAAATCATCTATTTCTCTATCGATATCTCGAAATCTCGAGATCGATTTCCATTACATGATGATTTTATTGATAGTTTTCATATTGCTTTTCGTGTTACTTTACAACTTGGCTTTCATGATAATTTCCATGTCGGGTTCCACGTTGGTCTATATCTTGGAATTTCTCTGTTCCGCGGCGCTTGTTTCAGTACTTTTCTGTTTCTTTTCCAATTTCTGTTGCTCTTCCTATTTAGTGGCCTTGGGGTATTTTCTGTGTTTCGTGGCGGTGTTTTTCGTGGTGCGGTTCTTGGAACGCACGAACAGGCGCGATAATCAAATCGGACTCCAAAGACAAAGACAAAATCAACTCCGAATCAATGCCAGAATCAGAATCAGAAACAACTCAAGGAGAGAGATGGATGGAGCGCTCAGGAAGCATAAGAGATAGTGATTAAGACGGGGGTTGCGAGGAGACTTGTGAGGAAAATTGTGAGGAGAAAAAAGATGAAACGTCGAGTTCTTGGTAGGGACCGATGGGGTGTGAGGGGTAGAGGATGATGTGTTTATGATTATTTGGATGTTTGTTCGGCTGTGTATTGGGTTGTGTACTGGGCGGCTCTAGCGTTGTGGGAGGGGGAGGGGGAGTAGGGGCGGAGATAGAGATATTGGTGTGGGTTTTGGTATTGGTATTGGGGGATGTGTTGGGAGATATGTGGGTGTTGGTGGATGTGTTGGGGAATGTGGATGTGGATGTGGAGAGGTTGTGTATGCTGGATGCTGGTCGTAGCGAATGGTCCAGGGGATGAGCGCTCGTTTCGAGAGAGTTGTAGAGGGGTGATGTTAAAGGGTAAGCGTTTGATTCTAGCGACATTTCTTTATCTCGTTCTTCATCCAGCTTTTCGTGCATAGATACATTAAAAGCGTATTTTTCTTTCGAATCCATAGATCGATATTGCTGTTGTGTCCGAGGTGAAACCCGAGAAATCCAACTCGTTTCGAGATTCGAATCTGAGGGGAAGGGAGAGGGAGAGTGAATGGTTGGGTTAGAATTTGCGGGTATTTTATTGTGAAGACTTTTTGATATGGACGAGATGGAAAATTTCACGTCCAGAGATTCAGTCTCGGAGTCGGGATCGAGAGGTTCGTCCATGGCGATGGTGAATGGATCGTTTTCGAGTTCGGGTTCGTTGGTATTTATGGGATGTTTGGGGGGATGATGAGGGGGAGTTAAAGTGGGTTTGGGATTAGAGGTGGGATGAGAATGGGAATGAGAGGGTGGAATTAAAGGAGGATGTTTTGAATTTGTTGGGATGGAGAATGTAGCATCGAGAGTTTCGCTTTCAGATTCATAGTCTAGCGGTTCGTCCATGGCGATATTGAATGTATGTGTATATTCTTCCTTCGTATACATGAAGGGAGGTGGAGGCGGAGGATGAGGATGAAGTACAATCTTGGTGATAGTGTCGGTTTTGTTGGGAAGAAGTACAGTACGGACGTCCTTTGTATATGGTGGTGCTCTGATATTGTGACCTGATTTTGTAGGAGAGTCGAGTGATTCTAGTGCTATTTCGGCGCTGGCATCATGTCCTTGCGGTGTTTCCTGTTCATCTAGAATAATGGATGGCGAAGAAGAACGTGACTTCTCAGGAGGCTTAGATGTCGTCTCGATAAGTTCATCAAAAAGGTTGTCGTCTATCTCTTCATATAAAGAAGTATCAAATGACATCTCCTCTTTCGTAGCGAATCTATTCTGAGGTGTCGGTGGAGGTGAAACCGATATTCTGGATTTCTTGGCTCGTGTTCGATCTTCGAGTGTAGTCCGCTGGAGTGAAGGGGAACGTCTTCTGCCTTTGGAAATATGTTGTTCGGGTTCAAGTACCAGGGGAGCTGCTGGTTCCATCGCATGCTTGATGATACATGTTAATAAATACATACCCTCAACTATCGGTTCCTCGCCCCATGGTAATTCGTAACGTCTCCATTTCCTCTCTGAGCGTTTCTTGTTGAGATCCTCAATGCATTTATTCACCCACTCCTTGCCCAATGATGTAACGGCGTATAACGAGTACCACGCAGTACATTTGAATCCAGATTCGATGTAGGTAAGATGATACGCGTCCATATTTTTCGGGTTCTCATTCTGCTTGACGGAGGCTAAAGCTTTTGTGAGGATTATTGGGACGATAAGTTCGATATATTTATCGATTCCCCAATTGAACTTCTCACTTAGAAAAGTCTGCAACTCCCTCTCATTGATATCCCCACTCCAAATAGTCTCCTCCAGCTTCTCCAGGCTCTCCACTGAAGAAACACTCGGCGAGCTATAAAGACTCACAATCTCCTTGCTGGGAAAATTTGCCGGAACACTGACTGCTCCACCCGAACCCATAAAATATTTCCGTAAATTATTCCTCCACGACGAAAGATCTCCCGAACTCTTCATAGCTTCACATAATTCCTTTCCAAGCCCCATCCCCAAAGCCTTGCTTGCCCTCGCAATCCCACAATTCAGCAATCCTTTTCCATAATCCCCTCCATTCAACACCACAAAAAGTACCAAGCCCTCCCGATCAAACCCCGGATGTTTAGCCTGGATAACACTCGCCCTATACACCACCACCCTCTCCAAGTCCTTCAACACACTTTTCTTCGCCCCCACCCCACACCTCCCCTCTCCTTCTTTTTATTGTCTTCCTTCCCCTCCTTTCCCCCCTCAACATAAAAAAACTTCATCAAAAGCCCACTCCCAAACATCAACGCATCCCCATCCTCCGTCCAAACACAATCCACCACCCCTCTCCTCTGCAACACAGCACATTCCGCCTCCGCCTCCCCGGGAGCATCATGCCACTTCACCCCCAAAAGCCTCAAACAAGTCTTCAGCACATCATTTTGAAATGTCCAAACTTTTGCCCCTTTACCTCCATATTTTTCCTGTGGCTTATTAGGGCCATCTGCTACAAACACGAACTGTATATTCAGTTTTGAGAGACGCAAAACAACGGACATGAAATTCCGCTCATTTAAATTGAGATCGAAATATTCTACATCAGTCAATAACCTTCTCCACACATATAAAAGGAAAACTCTAACATCAAACAAAACTCACTCTTACAAACCCTCCCATTATTACTAATATATAATTGATGTCTCCAAGACGCCTCATCGACCGCTATTCTTAGCGGTCTTCCATGTTGCTCGAAATGCTGGGTAGCGAATTCGGCAATGGAGACAATCTCTTTGCAATCAGAGATGAGATCCCAAAGTCTTGTGGATTTTATCAAGTGTTAGTTGGAATGGTGACTGAGAATAGATAGGTTGGTAGGAACTTACCCTCGAATTCCCATTTTAAATGTCGGAGAAGAAGGGTGCACGGAGATTGTGGGGGTGGATGAGCTAAGTGGGGTGTATGATCCAGTAGGCGCAGAAAGTAAAGATTCGTCTTGTGTAAACAAAACTCAAGAGCTCAATCAATACATACTAATATCAATATCAAAACCCTGAGCTACTTTTCGTGAATACATAAGATCAAGATTTGTATCTTTATATCAGAGAATAGAATGTGCATCCGATTCATTTTTCATTATTTGATATAAACGAACAAACACTTTCATCCCAAAAAAATAATATTAAGCCATTTTCAATAGTTATGAGACAAACACATGAGCAAACAACTCCTTGTTGTCTAACTCCTTTCGTTGGTTATTTTAATTGCTTCTTCTCCTCTCTTCAGGACAAGGATTGAATCAAGGATCTGAAAATCGAGAGAGCTTTGATTATTTGTTTTCATCTGTACAAAAAACAATTCTTTTAATAATATTTTCAGCTTCTCATCTAGTCGGTATCTACATCTAAAGCCTAAGCTCAAAACAGCAAATTCCAAAAGGGGTATTAAAAGCACAGTACAAGCTATATATATAACACGAAAATCAAGTCCAAAATATGCAAGCAAAACGCCTGCTGGTCCTTTCCGCTCTAAGCGATCCACGCTAGAAGATGACAGAATATGAATTACTCGAGTATAAAGATGGTTAACTAATCAAATAGACGAATCAGAAAAGAATCCATCGAAATCATCATCTTTAAAGCCCATGGGGGAGAGGCTTCTTAGCGAGGGGTGTGAGTTGAGAGTCCTTGTATGGGATTTCCGACGCGCTGTGGCTAGGTTTCTGGACGGTTGATGTGGATGCGCGCTCAAGCATGCTAGAACCGAAATGTCGAAGTCGAGCTTCATGAATGGTATTCGTTTGATGAATCTGTGATGAATCGAGTGTGGGGATGCGGGTACGCGCAGGAGTGATGGGAGTCATTTTTTGTCCTCGTCTGAGGAGTCATCGAGTGTCAAATCGATGGTTATGGCCGAAGATTTCTTCGCATTGCCCAGTCTAGGAGAGTTCGGGAGTTGCGTCTCGCGATGCTGCTCTAGTCTGGTTCGATTCCCATCAAGCTCTGATAGATTTCGTGAGAGTGTCCCCTTGGTGGTAGATGAAGGAATATTTGGAGCCTGTTGTGAGATTCCTATATGCGGAGATGCAGATTTAATCAAGGATTCGCCAAGTAGTCTTGGTACCGATGACTGCTCCCAAGTATTTTTTACTCTCTTTGCCGACGGCTGATGTTCCAGGGGAAGAGACGGGATCTTGCTTGGATTTAGTGGCGAGCTAGCACGTCTTTTGCCTTTGGACATTATATCAGGAGCTACCGTACTCTCACCGTATTTCGATGGTGGTGTAGCTGATGGGATGACGTCCTTAGTTCCGTGCTCAATGATACATGACAACAAATCCTCGCATTTTACCATTTCGGTGACTGGCGCTATTTTCCCACCACGGCTGAACGTGAAATCTCTTCTCCACGTCGGTATATCCATAGTTGTTACCGCAGAAAGTAGCACCTCTACACTCTTTTGAAGCATAGGTACCTTCTTCTTACTGATTATCCGAAGTTTGTAACAGTTGTTACTCGCTTCTTGTCCCGGTTGTGTAGATGCAAGAGAACGAACGAGAAGGATTGGTATTACATATTTGATGTATTCAGCCACCCAAAAATTGAATCTCGGAGCAATCACTTTCTGTAATTCTAACTCGTCGAAAGAAGGATTCCATAACTTTCCAATATCACTCATGATTCTCTCAGACGATACTAAAGGTCTGTTGTATAGACTAACAATACGAGGATCCGGAAAGTTGTCTGGTACGTCGACTCGGCTGTTGGTTTTCGTGAGGTACTCACGAAGTCGGGCCCTCCAGGCGGGATAATCTGCAACATGTGCGTTGCAAAGGTCTTTGCTAAAATCTTCCTTCGCAGTTGCTATGTCCAATGATAGAACAGCGCCACAATTTGTGAGACTTTTCCCATTTTTGCTGTAATCACCACCTTTCAAGACGGCGAATAATTCGAGACCTTCTTGGGTCAAGCCAGGGAATTTTCTTTGAATTTTGTGAGCTCGATAGACAATGATATTGTCGATATCGACTTCGCGTCTTGTCTCGTCAGGTCCATTGACCCAATCCTTGTTCTGCCCGGCCTTATTCACTCGGGTTTTTTTTTGACATGGCAGAAACGAATTAGCGATGTAGCCCCGAACATGAAGGCATCCGAATCTTCTGTCCAAACGGCATCAACCACTCCACGGCTTTGCATAGCGGCACACTCAGCCTCAGCTTCACCGGGCGCTTCATGCCAAATTACACCCAAGGAACTCACCGTCTGTTTTAAAAGTGTGTCATCCTGCGAACGATATTTATACCAGGGTGATTGTCCTCCAAATTTTTCTGCCGGTCGGTTTTTCCCATCGGCGACGAAAATAAGTTGGACATTCAATTTCAAAAGTTTTAGAATCTTATAAAGAAGGTTCTTTTCGTTCGGATTTGCAGCTGGAACGTCTAAAGATAACCGACAAATGTTAGCGCAGAACATCAATATGTAATTTGATATAAGCAAAAGAATATATATACTTCTACGAATAGCTGCCACTTGTTGTGGCTCCTGGTAACACTTAAATTTCCAGATAGAGACATCTATAGCAATTCGAAGCGGTCTTCTTTCTCGTTCGAAATGGGCAGCAGCGAATGCAGAAGTGGGGATATTCTCCCCGATTTCTGCTTTATCGAAAAGCTGCCAGAGTCTAAAGAAAACATTTCATTAGTTAGGGGTTGAGAGACAGGTGAATCAGCTAACCTTACTCGGGAATGCCCATTTTGTACGAGCTTATTGTTATGGTTGTGATATCATAGGCCAAGTGTTAGTTATGCGAGGAAAAGAACGAGGATGAAACAATTGGGGGCGCGTGGAATATCAATCACGCAGTCACGTGTCATAGCATTGATCTCAGCTATGGACCTGAGCGCATCAATTTAATAAAAGAGCTCCCTTCCACACTGTTTCAGTGAACATATCCCCCAAGAGGATTATCGACCAGTGAGCTTATCATTAGCTAGCTTCGAATTCGGAAACCATGGTATCAATCATCTTAATTTCAATTTCGGACATTGACTCGATGCTTCTAACAACAGCCCGAAGCCCGCCTATATACATGTCCGGTATGACTGACGACGTGCCGCTGTCTATGAAGAATCTGGAGTTCCATGCAAAAGTCCTTACTTGAATTGAAATGGCAAGTCAATGGAAGCATTTCAAAAAGAAAACTTCATGCTAATTCAAAGTTTCCGAAATAAATGACTGATGCAAATGCTCAATAGCACCAACATATAATAAATATAATACCCAACATGATGCCTCCTGACGCTAAGCTATTCCCTGAAAGATCAACTCCGCTCACAAAATCTACAAGTAATAACAAAGCCAATGGAAAAAGACGTGACACCCAACAACCCTAAGCTCTCAGCACCCAATCAAAAACCACATCCTGTGGCCTATTAACCTGCAACGTCAATTTCGGCGAACTATCCTCCAAAATCCCCACCAACCTCCTCCTCGCATCCTCTTGCGTCTCCCCATTCCGTCTCACAATCTGCACCTTCCACTTCCGAAAGATTTCATACAGCACTCCTACAAACTCCACCTGTGACATTTTCATACCGGGGCAATAGCGGGGTCCGTGGGACCAGGCGAGAAAGGTGCCTTTGGGAGGATCGCGAAGAGTTTCCGTTTCTGTTTCCGTTCCCGAAGAAGAGGTCATTTCGAGCCAGCGCGAGGGTCGAAAATCGAGAGAATCGGGTCCCCAGATTGAGGGCAAAGTGTGGATTGCAGAGGTATTGAGGTGGACGGATGTTTCGGGAGCGAAGTTAATGTTTTTGATGGTTTGGGCTTGGGGTGTTTTGCGGACTATGGTAGGGACTAGTGTGTAGAGACGGAGCGTTTCGTACTAATTTTCAGATGATGCCTAGGTCAATTCTCGGCACCTAGAGTATTTTGATTTGAAAGATTGATGATGGAATTGGAGGGATTATTCATGCATACCATTATTGCTAGAGAACGCGTCAGAAGAGGAAAGGTGGTTGAATATTCAGCGTCGGGGTGTAACTCTTGGACTTTATCGATCTCGCTGAAGATCCAGTCTTGCCATTCTGGATGAAGTGTTAGGCACATAATGGAGTATGCAAGCGTATTTGCGGTAGTATCAAATCCTCCAATGGTCATGGCGAATAAGTTCCCAGTAATTTCTTCTTCAGTCAAGTATGTGGAGGTCTTTGAGGATCGAGATTTCGTATCCTGATCGGCAATCTTTACCAAGGAGGTTATAAGAGAACTGCGAGATCTTGGTAAACGTCTTTCTTCAGCTATACTTTGGTTCAAGTGACGCGGAAATTCATTTTTCGCAATACCTATCTTCTTGACAGCATTTGGCATAAATGGTAAAGTTAGACATTTTGCAGGTATGAAGACGGTAGCAAATAAATTGTCTACGATAGTCAAGACAGAGCTCATAAAAGTTGTTTGAAACCCTGCATGTGTTTCCGCACTCGCGGCTTCACCCCATGATCGATGAGTGCCGAAGCAAATGAATCCAATGACATTAATTGTAATGGTCCTCAAGCCTTCAAATGTGGCATTGGTCGAGCGTGACCCATGAATCGTAGAGGGATTTGACAATGCAGAAAGCATATCTTGCGTCTGTGTCAACGATTCATTCCAAACTGCATTCATGACTCGTTCATTCAGGGCAGGTGCGACAATTCTTCGATGCCGTTGCCAGTTTTCATTTTCGGACTTTTGACATAAGCGATGATACCAGTTGTAATGGAAATCAAGGAAATACGAACAGCACTAATATTTGGTCCGAAAACCTCCATTATCTCTGTACCCAAGTTAGTCTTTGCATCTATTCGAGAAAGCCGGAGTCATGACACCCACGGAGAGCAATTTCAATTTTTCCAAAGTCTTTCCTTCTGGTTAAGACCTCCTCAGCTACTTCGGGGTCTCCGATAAAGATAGTGTTTCCCGCAGGCGAAACAAGAATGAACGAAGTACCCCATTTCTCATGCACAAAATACTTGCAATAATGTTCCCAGGCGGGAATTGTGATCTTAACTCGATCAAATATAATTCGAGGTAAAATCTTGGAAAGGGTAGAATAACCCAGGAGAGTACAAATAAGGAGCCATAAGGGATTTGCTGAACCCCACAGACCGAATCTGATAGGAAGTCCGGATTTTCGTGCTGCAAGATAATTGCGTGGGAGAGGAGATAAATACCATGTTGAAAAAGAAAGAAATGCCACCAGCGAGATCAAGAAGGTATTCATCTTGTAATAGGTTTCTTCGATATTGTAACACTTGTTAAAATTCTGGATATGTAATTTATATTGTATGTCGCATAGCCAAAATCGATTCCAACATGACTTTACAGCATTATAGCGCTTGCCTGTATACGACTTGCATCCGAGCCTAATAGAATTCAAAAGAGTGAATAAACGAGCAGCTCTCGGTTGCTAACCGATGCTGTATATCTTTGAAATCGGACACAAATGATCTGGTTCGATCTCGTGCAACCTCAATCAAACTCAATCAAATCTCTTGACTATTCCCATTGAGTGCTATCGCAGGATAATTTACTGAGACGGCTCACAAGGACGGAAATATATACTATACACTATAATATTACAACAAACCTTGATGAGGTGAGAAGATGCGACTATAGTATATAAAGAAACGAAAAATTGACAGTGGTTGAATTCGAATGTTTAAAACTGGAAAAAGCCTCGGATACCTAGATGATTTTTCAACAGGGTCGGCTGGGTAAAATGCATAAATGAAGAATCTGATAAACCCCCTGCTATCTTGTTCCCCTCGCCAATAATCTCTCGTCCCGAAACCTTGCTATCAATATCCTTGTTTACCGCATATATCTACACAACGCGAAAATCCCACTACAAACCAATATAAAACTATACAAAAACGAAGACAAAATTTCTAAAAAACGCTGTACTTCTGTACTCAGCACACGTCGAAAATATCTCTTGGAAGCCTGTGATTTTTCTTAGATACAAGAACATATATCCGATGAGTCGATTCAAGTGATATGCGGTTTCTTTGCGAGCTGATAGAATGCCACCAAAATATACCCGTAATCGAAAAGGTCATTACAGTTGTCACGGTTGGGAAATTAGTACTATGTCCACATGATTTATGTTATATAAGTGGACGACACGATCATCATAAACGATTGATACTGAAATACCGTCCTGCCAATAGCATCTAAAAGTATTATGATACAGAACTCGAGTAGATATATATAATATAGCTGAAAAACAGTCAAGATCCATTTATATATGAGAATACTTATAATATCACATCCCGGAATTTCCTGTTATTTTTACAAATGTTATTGCTCTACTACTGTACAGGTAGTAAGTGAAGTCTCATACTCGTAGACATATATATCTATAGAAAATACTTCTATGTGAGATCGCTTCTCCCTCCTAACAAGCCTTCCTTCCAAAATCAAATTAAATCAAATCATATCATATCACATCGTATCAACTTAACTCCCAGTCTATTTCCCAAAAACAACACATGAAAATACAAGTAAAGTAGCTGGTCTACCAAACCATGAAATCTAGCAGAAAAGAAAGGCACAACTTGAAGATCCCCGCAGTCTGAAGTCGCCAGAGTCAAAGTGGTAAATACTGTATAAACCTCGATGCAAATCCTCCGAATCCCAAGTTCGATGCCATTTTAGTCATTGTGGTTGTGATCCATTGTTTGGTATTTGTAAGAACTCGACAATCTTGAATACTTCCTCAAGAAATACAAAAGAGTTCGCGAAGATAGAGTTGGAGTTGCGCAACCATGGGATTACAGAAGGGAGAAGGAAGAAGGAAACTTGGAGTCTACAGTCAGTAGTATTCTTAACGTATATATTGGTAAGCTACAAACAATATTCACGTACCATTTATTGTACAGTACATGCGTGATGTGGATTTCTCGATGTTATGGGCGATGGCGATGGTGATGGTGATGGCGATGACTCTCCGGATCTGGGGATATATCGATAGATAGCATTTGGGTAGGTGAAAGGGTGCGAATAGCTTTCATAAATCCGACCCTCAGTGTCCCTCCTGTCAAACCAGTTGCATCTGTGCATTTTGTATTGGCGTGCGGTTAGAGCATCCCTGCACCCATATATATCTATATATTCTTCAGAAGACATTGCTTCTCTTGAGGAATGCGTGGAAAATATTTGTTTTATAATCGGATAATGCGATATCTGGAGCATCGTCAAACTCGCTGAAGTGTTTTATTGATGAAATAAATACATATCTGATATCAGGAGTAATAAGTACTTTCGCATGGTTGACCATCAGACTGTACTGTGGTAATATCATCAACAATTCAAATCAAGGAAAATTCATTGAGTGGAAGTACTATGTTGAAATTAAGCATAGTAGGCAATCCAGATATCACAAAATACTATGCCGAAATAAATTTCATTGATGGAGCCATGGAGCGTACGCGTAAATATGATGCGAAAAGTATTGAACAGAACGTGCAGTCTTTAAATTACTCTTATCATTGAACCAACAATAGAACATCTTCAAATACAAAGCAGGCCATCTGTTAGCAATAGCAATATCTCGCAACGCAAATGAAAAAGATTGTAGTTGCATAGCATAGCACCATATCATATCAGCTTTGGCGCAAATAGTATAGTACAAACAGTTTAAGGAAATGTAAGCTATATATCAAAATAAGTAGACAGGCCGCAACAAATACAACAGGCATTCAACTTAGGTCAGTTGGACAGGACAAATTGTATTTAAGAGTTGGATGAAAAGTGGCCGACAACAAAATACGAACAACGACTCGAATAATAAAATCCCTTTGGGGATTTTTCCTAGCCCGTCGGGGGCTAGGTTTTTGTCTTTTGCTCTGGTGGACTGGATACTGATTATCTTTTTGGATGGACTTGGAGTAGGAGTTGGAGTTGAAGTTGACGTAAGCGAGTGGAGTGGGTCGGTGATCTGGTGAAGTGGAGTGTGGTGAAGTGAAGTGAACTGTAGTGAAGTGAGTTCTGATTGAGGTGAAATCCTTTCTGAGATATATGAGGGCTGTTCTCCACTAGCGAACTTGTTGATCGTGAGGATTGGGTAAGCTGATGAATGCTATACATTGTCCTGATATCAAGGCACAAGGCTCTTGCTGGTATGATGGGGGTGATGGGTTTTCACTTATCCCATTATCATCTCATGTGGCTGAGGTAAGAGCACTGTTCGCCTACGAAGGAAAGTAAGATTATATGTATGACAACCTACTTTTGGTTGCAACAGCGTAGAACTATGGTGTGTGCAAAGTTCACCATATCATACAGTAACTCTGTGACCATGAGCATCTCAGCCTCTGGTCGAGACTTGCCGGCTCGTTTACTTCAAATATAATTTGTATCAATATCGAGTGTTCAAAGGGAGATAGATGTAAAGCATCCAAGCTAATTCTCACCAGTCATTACAAATATTGTCTGAGATGTATCAGACGAGAAGCCGAGAACATTTCAGTCGTATAAGATTAACAAAAATTTCACCGAGAGTCATGATATCAAAAAATAGAGGTCATCCCGAGGTCGTTGTCTCGGTGTTCCGTGGTGGTGGTGCGTAAATCATCATCTGCAGCTTATGTAACTCAATTGATTACATAATATTTTCCCGACGATTCCGTTGCGGAGTAAATCGGGTCCGTATTTTATACTTCAAAAGAAGGTTTTCTCTTATAATTATTACATCCGATTTACGGCTGAGAGAAGAATCCGAATCCGTCAACGTTCACTCGTTCCATAAGAGGATACTGTATAGTCTGTATCACACGATTATTCACAAGCTTTTTCACGTGCATAATCAAATATTTGCCAGGACACATGGCGATCTCGTGGCATTGCATCACATTGCGGTTTGACAACTCTTTCCCCAGTGTCTGAGCCACCCCCAAAACAAAACGTCCAAAGAATCAGAAGTCAGCGTTTCGAGTTGCTACTTTTCGAGACGAACCAACCATACCACACACCCTTGGTTTACTTTACCTACCCAGAACGAGCTACTGTACTTATTTGATTGATTAATCGTGCAAAGAACTCAATTATTCTCTCTAGCATTCTCGACACCCACCAATGAACATGTTATCCCTCTCGGGAAATGGAGACGGAAAACGGACATATAGGAAAAAAGTCTTCTATACTTCTACGAGTAGTGACTCTACGGAGTAATGAGAATCGAATTGGCTCATTTAAGAATCGTCGGATTTACGGACTCAGCCTTGTACCGATCCGCTATCACACTCACGTAAAACGTCTTTTTATTCTCTTCTTCTCACCCTGCAATCCACCGGTAAGAAATTTACGTCAGCCTAGAATACCGGGGCATGTGCTTTGGTGTTTTTCTCTCGTGGTAAGTCTTTTTTTTTCCTTTGGTATTGTTTGGACTGCGTTGCGCCAGGTGGAAATCTACGGAAGGAATGGATTCCTTGTTCCGTTTTTATGGACTGTGTGCGAGTCAAATAGATTTCCTTAGTATATACCGGTACCCGAGTAGTACCGGTTCGAGTATGTGTATATGTATCAGGGAATTCCCGCTGAGAAGTTTCAGTCGGAATAAATAAGCTTAATTGAGAGTTTAAACCTCGTTGTATTGAAATACCCATAATATAATTTCTTAATAAACTACTACACTACTACACTACTACACTACAAACACCCATTCATCAAGAAAAGAATCATACCACATCATTTGCAATGGGAAATTCACATTCGCATCCACATTCACATCATCAAGACTCGACAAAAGGGGATTCCAAAACTCGAAATCGAAACAAGCGAACTTCAAGGATGAATTCCGAACGCTCAAACAATACCACCTCCACATACAACTCTACATCCACCTCCTCATCAACCTCAGCCTCAGTACCCCAACCACGCTCACAATCAACTCAAACATATCCATCTCCACCACCACACAAAAACCCCAACCCCAATCGACATTCGCGCTCCCTGAACACTTCCACTCGCACTCGCACTTCGATGCAAATGCCAGAACCGGAAGAAGCGCGAGCACCGAGAGCGCCGATTAGGATAGGATATCCTTATTATGAGGAAGTGACGATGTTTGCAGAGAAGGAGAATGGTGGGAAGGGTGGGAAGAAGCGTAAGAGGAATAGTTTGAGACGGTCGATGAGGGGGTCGTGGTTTGAGGGGTTGGTGTGAGTGAGATAGGTAGATGAGTTGATTGATTGGGGGGTTGTTGAAGAGAAGGGGGAGAGGATGTTGGAGAAATAGAAGATGGTGACGATTATGATGAAGGTGTAATTTTTTGGGGCAGTTTGAAACGGAACGGGGGCATGGGGAATAAATGGGATAGACAGGATAGAAAGGATAGAAAGGTAGAGGACTCGGAACACTGGACGGACGATATATTGATACCCAACTCATTTTGCATTTATTCGGCGTTCAATATATCGATGGGAAGTAAGGCATAGGACATAGGATATCAAACTTCTATTTATGCAGACTCTTTATCATAAAATACCCATCCGATCAAATGTGATATGATGATCCACCAAAAACGAAATCTGCCCCTCCAATTATAAACATCTGAGATAATAATACCACTGCACAAAGCCCCGCATATCACATCGATTAAACGCTTAGCGAATAAGTTCAAGTAGTCTCTTTCCACATCGAAACATTTCCTAAGAACCAACAGAGTCTTGCAGTATAGCCAACAGTGCATCGGCAACCGTAGATCCCAACGCCGCAACGGCCTCGGGACTATAAGCATCACTCAGGACATTATTTGTCGTGCACCCAGATGTCGCAGGAACACCATTAAACCTGTCGATCAAAAATAGAAACGCATCACCGGCGCCAGTAATTGCCTCTGAAATGTGTCCCCCATGCCCATCTCGATCATATTCAATGTTAGCCCCCTGAGAACATAATTTGGCGACAAGAGCATCCGTATCTCCGACTAGCGAAACCTCATCGTCAACGGCTTTGTAGATGAACACTGGCATCCTGGGGATTCCATGTGTACCCATTTGCCCAGTGGCTGTCAAAATTTTCTGTGCGACACTAGTGGTAAAGGCGGCTTCCCCGTTGTCAAAATAGGAGAACATGTCTTGACCCAGATAGGTTAGTATATTATCGGCTAAGCATTGAGTCGATGCTTCGTAGAAATCAGAAGCCATTGATGGGATGAGATGTTCATCGAGATATACTTTTAACTCTGGGTAAGCATTCGCGAGACCAATGACCCCTGCGGGGATCAGACCAGTGAAAAAACTTTTATCAGTGGATAGTAGCACAGATGTGACGTTCGGCACAAGACCACCCAAAGCAGTTCCCTTGAAGTTGAGCTCTGGTGCGTAAGAAGGTTGAAGCTCTGCTGCCCACTCAGAGGCCAAAGACCCCCCAGAGTAACCCCACATTTGATATTCGGCTTGAGATGAAATGCTAGTCAAATTTCCAGACGACAGAGCTGCACGAACGGAATCGAGGGTCGCCTGACCAGATTGTATGCCGGACGTAAAGGCTGCTTGAAGGCCCTGGTAGTCAGGGAGGTTAACGATCCAGCCTTGATCGAGAGCAGCGATGACGAGCAAAGTCTCGACATCATCAGAATCCTCATTATTTGGATCGGACGCCAACTGTATTGTGTAAGAGGGTGCGCAATCGGCCCATGCAGCATCGGTCGCAGATTGGTACGAAAGCACTCTTGATGTGTTTGCATTATTTGGCACAATGATGGTTGTGACCGCTGCCGAGGCGTCACCCAGGCTGTCCGTCGTTTTATAAAGAAGTTGATATGCGGCCTTTGCTTGGAAGGGTACAGCACCTCCAAATGAAAGATGATCAATTGATCTGCTGCGTAAAATCGTCCCCGGCTGAGAGTCGTTGAGTCCTTTTGGGGGCACATAGAAGGGGTCATTGGTGGGAGCGAGTGGAAGTGTGTGCTGCAAGAATTGATCATTGATCGGGACTGCAAGTGTTGTAGTGGTCCAAAAGAAGATACATCCAACAGCTACCGGGAAGTACTTCATATTGACAGTTTATAGACAACGAAAGCGCTCCAAACGAATAATATTTGGACACAATTGTGGCAGCAAATCGACGAAAGGGAAAGAGTGACAATTGAGGGAAGAATGGTAGTTTGTATGATTGTCACAAGGAATATGCTGACGGGCTTTATATGAAAACTTCATACTCAGGCTAGGCAGTCCTTGGTATAGAACTAGACATCTTGTCTAAGGATATTATTTACTGGGCAAAATTGACATTTACTTGCCCCAAAACTACGAACTGAATAGCACGTCGCACCTTGACTAGACAGAAGACACGTAACTTTTCGAGTTTTTCGGTCTAGAAAATAGTAACTGTAAAGCTTGGTGAGGTAAGGTTAAGTAAGGTGCAAAAAAATCTGCAAATAGTGTAGTACTAATATAGTATGGTATGGCATCGACGTATCCGAGTAGACTAAAAACTTAGGAAAGGTTTTGACTCGAACGGGCGATTGCATTGAGTACCGAGTAAAGTCACGTGTAGCTAGCCTTTGTAATTCGCGCTATGCCACTTCCAATATAGCTAACTATTTCTACTAGGTGCACACCAAGAAATTATTACAACTGACTCACCGCCAATTGAGTGTGTACTGAAGCAAGGTAAAATGACAACACCACGTCAATGTCCAAATCCATAATATACCATGGACGAGTGCTTACCATTCCATTGTTAGTATCCAGGTTGGATCTGGACATCAAACTATCGTCGCCTGGGTCTCGGGGTTGCCCATCACTGTATCCCTTTGACCACGGGGAGGTCGTTTTCTCCCACCACTGAAGTCATCCTTATGGATCTATTCCATTTCAAGTAATTTTAGCCTTAAACTGAGCTTAAAGAGAGTTCAAAAAGGTAATTAATAAAACTATTGTGTTATTCTGACATTATTTAACCCACAAATTATGGGAAGCTATGCGATAGTCAAATCTAGAGCTGACTAAACCTTGTCTTAGTCTCTCATTAGACTAATTTCTTTCAAGTCTGGAAGAAAACTCCCCTCTCTACGGTGACAAGGGATAATCTGGATACGACGGTTGGCATTAAAGTGATTGCTGCCAAATGTCTTATAGATGGTACGATGTTACCATACACGGTTCATCTCAGCAGGTTTCTGGATGTTGATCTTTACTATCCTTATTTCTCAAATTTAGTTCAGGAAATTTCACGTGAAGTATTTCATAAAATATGAGGAACTCCGGATTTTCTTTTTTTCCCTTTTCCTTGGCAGGGTGGAGGCAAACTCATCGGTGGCTTTTTGAGCATGCGCTGGTTGCCGACACAAATCTACATATAGATTTGATGTCTCCCTCACAATGGTAGGTAAACAACACTGTGGTCAATATTCCTTATGACCTCTACAATCATGCTGTCATTTACCTTCATTTATCTGCTTTTAACAACAGCTTCGGCAGCGGTTCTCTCGAACAGGCAGACATTATCAGGGAGCAATGTCTGTCGACAAATCAGCGCCAATATCACTGGCGAAGTCTACTTTAGCACAAGTTTGAGCTTGAGCTTCAATTTCGAACATGACATCAAACATTATATGACTTCTTCTTCACAAGTGCCAATGTGTGTTGTTGAAGTTGCTAGCGATGCGGATGTTTCTCATGTCATGAAGATCATTGCAGCAACGAGAACACCATTTGCCATAAAATCTGGGGGGCACGCTTCAAACCCTGGATTTTCCAGTACTACTGGTGTTTTCATCTCGCTGGCGAAATTGACTCAGGTCACACTTTCTCAAGACAAAAGTCAAGTTGAAATTGGAACTGGAAATGTACGTTGTTCTTTAAAATATTCGCTTGCTCACAAAAGATTGACATATCATTAGCTCTGGTCTGATGTGTACTCGGCCCTCGACGGAACGAATGTTAACGTAGTGGGAGGACGTGTTACTGGTCCTGGTGTGGGTGGTTTTAGTCTTGGAGGAGGTTACTCCTGGTTTACAAATCAGTACGGTCTGACCTGCGATACAATCAACTCGTTCAATCTTGTTCTTCCAAATGGCACCATAACCAGAGTTGACTCCACGAATCCTGACCTCTTCTTTGCGCTCAAAGGTGGTTTGAATCGATTTGGAGTTGTGACGAGTATTCTTTTCAAAACGATTCCACAAGAGAATATGGTCTATGGTGGTATTGAGATTTATGGACTTGACGCTATTCCTGATCTCATCACCGCTACTAATAAATTCCAACAAGAAAACACAGACCCCAAAGCTCAAGTGATTCTCACCATCAACGGCGGTATTACTACTAGTGCCATCCTTCTTACGTTCTACGATGGTCCAAGTCGACCTTCAGCTTTCGATCCATACAGCAACATCAGCGCCTATCCGCTCATAACTAGCGTCAAAAGCCAGTCTTTCGCGTCCTTTTCTACTGTCACCCCATCCACTCTTCAGGCCGGACACCGGGGCGCTTTCCACACTATGATGACTACTAGTCTGACGGTCAACTTCATGAATGCGATCTATAATGAATCTAGCTTTTATGGAGCACTTGCTATTCTCCATGGTGGAACCTTCCTCTCTTATGACGTTGAGCCTTTTCTCGAATACGGCAAATACTCCACAGACTCTGCGTTTCCACACGCAAATTCTCCTTTACCATTAAACCTTTACTACTCTTGGACCTTGGCATTGGAAGATACGTTCTGGAGAGGTGTTATGCAACAGAGTATCGACCATCTGACTGAGATAGCTAAGGCTGAGGGAATTTATGCTGAGGATGCGTACGCATATCCAAATTACGCCTTGAGCACCTATAGCGGGGCTCAGATCTATGGACCAAAAAATGCAGCGAGGTTAAGAGAAATCCAAGCAAAGTATGATCCAAATCAAATTATGCTTCTTGCTGGAGGGTTCAATATCTAGGGGTTTTCGATAATTGGCAACGATGAATGAGTGGAAACAAAAGCAAGTTCTTTCAGATTATTGTAATAATGTTGATTTGACAAAACACATTTTGAAAGTAATAACAAACATGAAGAAAATCGAGTCCCTTGATTTCTCCCTTTCTTGAACGTCATACAACATTCATTTTGTCGAGATCTAGAAATAGCATATGTAGGAAGTAGTTATAGTATTGTACGATTATTAAAAGCTTCTTTATTTTTGTGGCATTCTTGGTTGTCTAGTCTCGCACGAAAATCAAGCTCTAACCCACCAACCAATCAAAACACAGCCCATCGTAATCCTTACCGAACCACCTCAATTTTCAATTTCCACTCCGGATCCACCCTAACACTCAATTGCATCTCCATACCACCACCACCACTCTACCTCTCCTCTCCGTCCTAACGCACCACCCTACATCACACGCCCACGATGGCATCCTTATTCACATCCCGCGCACTCCTGCGCAGTGCCCCTCGCACAATCTCTGCCGCAACCCCGGCCATGCGCGCCCTCTCTACCACCCCAGCTCGTCCCGATGCCTCCGCTTCCACCACGGATAAATTCAGCAAGATCCCCGATTTCAGCAAATATAGAAGTAAGAAGAGCGGCGGCAGTAATTTGGTCTATCAATACTTTATGGTGGGGGCTATGGGTGCTTTGACGGCTGCGGGGGCAAAGGCGACGGTTCAAGGTTTGTCTTTTTTTCCCTTTACTTGGTGATGGGATAGGATTTCAGATCTGCGGAGTGGAGGGTGTTGGCTGTTGTCATGGAAATTGTGGCCGACTAGAGGGTTGGAGGTATGATTGGAATCGCAATTGAGGGCAATTAATGACTGTTTATCTACTGGACCGATGGACTGACGATGGACTTTAACAGATTTCCTCGTCAACATGTCCGCATCCGCAGACGTTTTGGCCATGGCCAAGGTCGAGGTCGACTTGGCTGCTATCCCTGAGGGCAAGAATGTACGTGTGCTACCACTACACCCATTCGCTACGATATTGTCCCAAAATTATATACTGATGTAAATACACAAAAATAGGTCATTATTAAATGGCGTGGCAAGCCTGTATTCATCCGACACCGAACCGCCGACGAGATCAAGGAGGCCGAGAACATCAAAGTTGAGACTCTGAGAGATCCACAAACCGATGCCGACCGTGTGAAGAAGCCAGAATGGTTGGTTATGGTTGGTAAGTAACACTTTTCACTACGTTCTATTACAATCCAATCGACACAAAATACTAGGACACAAGATGTTAACGATGATCAAAACAGGTGTCTGCACACATCTCGGATGTGTCCCAATCGGCGAAGCTGGTGATTTCGGAGGATGGTTCTGCCCATGTCACGGTTCCCACTACGATATTTCGGGCCGTATAAGAAAAGGACCCGCCCCTTTGAACTTGGAAGTTCCGGAATACGAATTCACCGAAGAAACTGGCTTGGTCATTGGTTAAATTTGTGGCTCGAGTCGAGAGGAGAGCAGATTTGTAGTTGTATAAAGGCGGGTTGCGTGGATGGATGGAAGAGTGGAAGACTGGAATAGATGAGACAACGGGTTTTATTTTGAACAAGAGAAAGATAGACCTTGATCTGGAAGCTTTATGGCTTTGTAGAAGAAGTGGTGGAATGGCCTTTGTACAAAAAGATCGGAAAAATGATATCGCTTCGAAAAGTTTCAAATTCTTGAATTCTGGAAACAATCAGTTTGTACTCTAGTAGTCACGTTATAATTGGTATGAGAACGGTAAGGCCTAAAGTGATGTGCCTAGGGAGTTGTGGTTTATCAACAATCTGTTTTCAGACCAAAAAAGTCGGCTTTCACAAATGAGAAGACGGATAAGTTACAGGTAAATGCTTTCTTTTGATTCACATTGTCATATCCCGTAATATTACATCCCCTTCATATCGTAGGTCATTTCTTCATCTAAGAGCCATCAATCATCAATGTCCATGTCCATCATCCTCTCTCTGTTCCGGATCCAACTTAATCAAAGTATCGATCCTCATAATAGATATACAAGCCTCAACCGCCGACTTCAATTGTCGGATCTTGCTCATACTTGGTTCTAAAACACCGGCCTTAATCTCATCCACAACCTTACCCTTCAGCAAATCCAATCCGTAGTTCTTGTAGTTCTTCTTCTTGGCAATGGTCTTTTCGTCCTCGTTGGCATCACCCTCCTTGATACGTTGTGAGAGTGCGTGGCGAGAACGGAGTTGTGCTACAAGTTCGGAGGAGTCCTTGGCGGCGTTGACAGCGAGGGTTTTTGGAATAACGAGAAGAGCTTGGGCAAATTCACCAATAGCAAGTTGTTCTCTTGAACCAACGGTACCGGCAAATTCTTCCAAATAGATGTGGAGTGCAGTCTCACATGCACCACCTCCAGGAACGATGCTTCCACTCTCTAGAGTTCGCTTAACAGCGCACAGAGAATCGTGGACGGATCTCTCCATCTCGTCAAGTTGATAGTCGTTAGGTCCTCGGAGGATAATGGAGGCGGAAGTGTGAACTTTAGTACCCTTAACCAAGATACACTCGTCATCAGATATTCTCTCCTGAACCACTTCTTCGGCATGACCTAATGATGATGCCTCGAATTTCTCATCACCGTTCAAGTCAGACAATGAGCTGATCAAGGTAGCGCCGGTTGCCCTTGCGATTCTTCTCAGGTCCTCCTTTTTACATCTTCGAATGGCCATGGCGCCCTTCTCAATAAAGAGTTTCAGGCACATATCATCGATACCCTTTGTGGTCATAACAACATTTGCTCCAGCCTTAAGGATCATATCGATTCGGTCCATAACAATTCCGGCTTCTCTTTGTCGGATTTGTTCTAATTGTTGCGGGTCGTCGATTGTAATGTTGACGCCGAGCTTCATTCTTTCCTTTTGTAAGTTGATGTCTAAAATGGCAATTTTGGCATCCGTAACTCTGGTCTTCATTGCTTGTGATGCAACCGTGCAGTTCAAAGCATATCCCTTGACCAAAATAGACTCCAAAGCTCCTTTGCCGTGTGCTTTTAAGATGTTGACAGCCTTAACGGGGTATTTGACTTCCTGTCGGGTATTTGTTGATTTGACTGCCTGCATAGCATCTACAACCATATTTGCGAAGAAATCGGAATCTGATCCAATAATCTTACTCGACATGGAAGTTTTGGCAATGCTGATTAAAGAGTCCCGGCCTAAATGGTCCACCTTGACACTGATGTTCTCGTGCATATACTTGATGGCTTCGCGGAGTGCCAAACGATAACCAGTGATGATTGTGGTAGGATGTATACGGTTCTTCATGAGTTCGTTGGCTCTTCGAAGAAGTTCTGCTGCAATGATAACCACAGATGTTGTTCCATCGCCCACTTCTTTATCTTGTTGCTGTGCTAAGTCGACTAAGATCTTGCCCGCTGGATGTTCGACATCTAATAAACTCAGGATAGTTGCACCATCATTTGTGACTGTGACGTCCTGCCCAAAATCAGTATTTGGTGGGGTTCTTTTGAAGTGGACAAGCATACTCCTATATCATCCACCATCATTTTGTCCAAACCGCTTGGACCAAATGAACTTTTAACAACATTGGCAATAGCCTGAGTTGCGAGAACTGTCCAGCAAGGTCAGTTCATACCTTATCCATAATCCTTATGTTACATACCATTTTGATCCCGAATATCTTGCCCACTGATCTTCTGGCCGCCGAGGACTGCTTGATATTAGCATCTGTACCTGCAAAATGTCCAAGTGGAAACATACACAAAGTTCCGGCATTTCTTGGTTGTTCAAAAAGGGACCCCATATTGTTGATATTATGAGCAAGGCAGTAACTATTCTGATAATATTTCTTGGTCGTCGCGAGAGAAAAGGGACGCGAGAGCTTTCCACGCTAATATTTTCAAGCATTGGCCTTGAGAATTAAGGCAGAAGTTCAGCCTCGTCAAAATTTGGGATTTTGCAAGGCTGTATAAATTCTTGTCGGTTAAATTTTAAGGCGGGGGAACATTGAAGGGAGGGGGAGTCAGTCAGTCGCTCTTTTATAATATATAACCTACATTCTCCTGTACCACATTTATCACCAACGATAAACGCAATCATGGCGGACTCAACTACTCCAGAAGTTCCGCAAGAAGGGCCATCCAAAAGTGCTTTGAAAAAAGCTGCCAAAGAAGCAAAAATGGCCGCAGATAAAGCCGCGAAAGCTGCCAAACAAGCTGCGCTTCCTGTAGTGGGGGGTAAGAAAACAGATGATATTATTGGTATCACAGTCAAGAAATCTGAAGATTTCTCACAATGGTATCAAGAGGTTGTATTGAAGGCGGAGATGATTGAATATTATAATGAAATCTCTGGGTTCTTCATTTTACGTCCCCAATCTATGTTTATCTGGAACCAGATTCGAAATTGGTTTCAAGCGCAAATCGAGACACTTGATGTAGAGGAGGCTAGTTTCCCAATGTTCTTATCTGCAAAGTCACTGGAGAAAGAAAAGTCTCATGTTGAAGGTTTTGCTCCTGAGCTTGCGTGGGTTACAAAGGCGTGAGTTTTGTTATCTTGTTTCCCTACTACCCCGCTATGCTAACTGCGATAAAGCGGTGACAAAGATCTTGAAGTACCTGTCGCAGTCCGTCCTACTTCTGAAGCTGTCATGTACCCATACTACTCGAAATGGATCCGAAGTCATCGAGACCTTCCTTTGCGGTTAAACCAGTGGAACAGTGTCGTTCGTTGGGAGGCCAAGCAAACAACTCCATTCTTGAGAGCTAGAGAATTCTTATGGCAGGAAGGACATACCGCCCATCTTACAGAAGAATTAGCTGGAGAGGAGGTTCTTCAAATCCTCGAGTTTTATGCTGGTGTCTACGAACAATTATTGGCAGTCCCAGTTGTCCGTGGTCGCAAAACTGAGAAGGAGAAGTTTGCAGGAGGATACTACACTACAACGGTCGAAGGATACATTCCCTCCAATGGACGTGGTATCCAAGGTGCCACTTCTCACTGCCTCGGTCAAAACTTCAGCAAGATGTTCGATATCACTGTCGAGGACCCAACTCCAAAGAGCGGCGAAAAGGCCGGTCATCTTCACGTCTGGCAAAATTCTTGGGGTCTTTCCACTCGGGTTATCGGTGTTATGGTCATGATTCACGGCGATGACAAAGGGCTTGTTCTCCCACCTCGCATCGCAAAAATTCAAGCAATTATCGTCCCTGTAGGCATTACAAAATCTACTACTCCAGAAGACAAAGCCAAGATGTACGATCAATTTCAAAATATCAAGGACACTCTCAAGAAAGCTGGTGTTCGAGCCGACTACGATATTCGCGACGGATATACCCCGGCCTGGAAATTCAACGATTGGGAACTGAAGGGAGTTCCTCTCCGTCTCGAATATGGACCAAAGGACGCCGCTAAAGAAGTCGTCTCCTACGCCCGTCGCGATACCGGTGAGAAGGGCACAATTGCCATCGCAAACATCTCAACCGAAATCCCTATCCTCCTCGAAACTATCCAAAGCTCTCTCTACACAAAGGCCGATGCAGCATTCAAAGCTCACCGACTTGTCATCAACGATTGGAGCGAAGTCGTCCCTGCACTTGACGCCAAGAACGTCGTGCTTATTCCATCTTGCTTGGCCGAGAAGTGCGAAGATAGGATTAAGGATTTGACCAAGGGAGGTGCCAGTGAAGAGGTAGGACCCGATGGAAAGAAGGTCCCAACTATGGGAATGAAGAGTTTGTGTATTCCATTTGAGCAACCAGAAGGTCTCGTCAAGGGTGAAACCAAATGTTTGAATCCAGAGTGTGAAGTGTTGGCAGAGAAATATTGTATGTATGGAAGAAGTTATTAGATTTTTCGTATGGATGGGAAAAGGGAGTTTGGAGATATGAAAGGGCGAAGGACGAATGGACGGAACATGATGAATGACGACGAAGATGGATATCTCAACCGGAGCTCAATGATTAGACGGCGAAAAAGCGGTTATAAGTTTATTTTCGTCCAAGGTTCTAGAGCATTAAATTGCTTCTCAATATGAAGCAAGAAAGAAGAGAGAAATGAATGAATACCATTGCAAATATCTTGTACCTGGCCTTTAATTTCCCTTCCATTATGATTCAAAATCCATTTCACATGTAAGTGAGTGATACCATATACATATATCAAATACAAACGAGCGAAGCAACAAGACATCCAGGAAAGAAAATGAGCAGAAGTTCGGTCGTTAGCTCGATAAAGATGCTACTGGACTCATTTACCTATCCCATATATCATAACGGTATTGTGATAAAGATGAAGGAAAAGAAGAAATCAAGTAAAAGACAAAATCAAATCAAACCAAGAGCTGGCTCGAGAGTGAGTGTACATGAGAGATGTGTTCAATTACATTCCTATTTCCATAAATACAGCATGGTTAGTTGAAAGGGAGAGAGATTTGAGAGAGTTTGAGCCAAAGCCTATTCATAGCGAGCGTCGGTACAATTACAAACAAGTTTGGCTAGAGACGTAGATGTTACTAGGGGATTGTATCTCCTCTTTACCACTCTTACCTCTCTTACCCTCCTTATCCCCTCACCCAAAGATTTCTCCGCTCTCCTCACCCCTCTCAATCCTAAACCCCATCCCTCTTATCCCCAAATCCCTCCCAAATCCCCCAACTCCATCCCTGACCTCAACCCCCTTAATCTCCATTTCCATCTCCATCTCCATCTCCAACCAGCTCCATCCATACTATTACCATACCTAATATATTCTATTCCATCACATTACCAAACAATTAATCACCATACCATACCATACCATACCATACCATACCATATCCACCATTTCCAGCCAGACTCTGACCACCTACTCACTCACTCACTACTCTTCACCAATTTGTATCAAAAATACGAGAAGATTATATATTCGAGAGTTCAACTCAAGTCAAGTCAAGTACTGACCTTTTCTTTTCCTTTTCTTTTTGATTTTGACTTCATATCAAATCACAATTATAACCATAACCATAATCATATCAAATCGCATGTATCACATTATTTCAAAGTTCAGACCACTGTATAGTAGAGAAAATGAGGACTCTGAAGTGAATCCATGATTATTTTATTTTGTTTGGTGTATCTTAACTTTTCATTCCCACCATCCATCCTCATCCTCAATCTCACTCCTGCACGCCCTGCTGTCTCAATCAATCAATCATCATATATCATGCCATCCATTCATTATCAATGGTTCATTATCTATCCTCCCTCTCACTTTCGTACCATTAATTCAACCATCATATTTATCCATCCATCCAATCACTCATTCCTCATCCCTCTTTTCTCACCCCTCACCCCTCCTACTCCGCTCCACTTCTCCCCTCTCATACCGCCAATACGTGCTTAGTCTGTCTGCAATAGTTTTCCTGGATCGAAGTCCTGTATCTGATCTGATTTAGTTTAATTAGAACCCAGCCCATTCCTAGATAAGCGAGTCCCATAAATGTGTGTCTGTTTGGCGAAGTAGAAATCGATTGCCAAGGAGTAGAAAAAGGCACCAGGTCAGTGGTAATTATCCAGGATGATCGCCCTTAGAGAATCATTGTACGTGATCCGCTCAGACAAAATCGGCCGAATATGAGAAACCACGGAACTCTTCTTGCATAGCTTGAGATAAGACTGTAAGTGTTGTTAGTTGGGGAACTGTAACTTAAAAATAAAGGCAACCTACCAGACTGCACTGGTGTCAGAACAGGTGTGACACTGGTGAACTCAGAATCGAAATTGCTAGTGTCGGTAGCGTTGGTAATAGTAGGTTGGAAAGGTGGTGCGATTCTCTTGTGATAAACATCGTCCCAGTTGATACTTCTGAAAAATGGTTGACTCATGATTTCTTGTGCATCCGTCGGTCCACTTCCTAGTCTACTTTCGGGCTCACGTGTCAATAGCTTTTGTAATATCGACACTGAATCACGAGGCATATGAATTGGGTATAATGGTTCATCCGCAAGAATGGCATCGTAAATCTCGTCTTCATCCTCTCCTCTGAACGGCGATTGTTGGAGAAGCATTTGGTAGATAAGAACACCGAACGCCCACCAATCAACTGCTCGACCGTATTTTTTATCCAGTAGAATCTAATTCATGTATTAGCTTGGCAGGAAAGTAATCATGAAAAAACTTACCTCTGGAGCCATGAATTCCGGAGTACCACAGAAAGTACTTGTTGTCGAACCATACCACATTTCTTCCTTACATAGACCATAATCGGCAACTTTAATGTGACCATCGAGTGTCAACAGAATGTTGTCCAATTTCAAATCACGATAAACGACACCATTCTCATGGAAGTATTTTAACGCCAAGCACACCTCAGCAGCATAAAACCTGTAATTGTCAATGAAAGCTGCCAATAAAAAAGATAAAGAATGACTTACTGTGCACGCTTGGTTCCGAATTGTCCTCGCTGGATATGCAACATAAGATCACCACCACTAATATACTCCATAACAAAGTATACTCTTGTTTCTGTTTGGAAACAAGCATGAAGATTCAATAGGAAAGGATGATTTTCCTTATTGGCGACCAAGAATACTCTCTTTTCAGATCGAGTACTTTCAACCTCATCGTTCTCGATGATGAACTCTTTCTTCAACACCTTGATAGCATAAAGTTGTTTGGTTTGCTTAGTTTCAGCAAGCATGACCTTACCGAAATTACCCTTACCAAGAACCGCAAGAAAGTTAAAATGATCGAGGCCAATACGACGTCCAGTGCCTGGTTCGTTTGCTGCAGGAGCTTGTTTGCGTTGTTGCTGCTGGGGTACAACCTGCTGTGAACCAGGTTGCGCAGGTAATGGGATATTTGGAAGAGGCGCTTGTGAAGGGGGTGCAAACATTGTGGCGGATGGTGGAGGAGGTGGGAGTGTCGAAGGTTGAAGTTGCGGCATCGGTTGAGAATAACCACTGTCAACATTTGCATATGCTGCAGGATTGTAACTTGGTTGTGTGGGCATTTGTGCTTTTTGGGGAGCACCATAGGGGCTATCTTCGCTATGTGTATCAAGGCTTTGTGCATAACCAGCTGAGCCTCGACGAGCTTCAGCTGTAGCTTGAGTATAATCGGAAGAAGTTCGCGAATATTGGTCCTTCGTGGGTATTGGTTGTCTACTACCCATCGCGGCAGCAGCGGCAGCTGTAGCACTTGATGAGGTGGATGTTCGATCTGGTCCTGCTGGTCGTTGTTGTGGTGAAGTATTACTCTGTGCATACATTGCCTTGGCAGCTTCGGTAGCATCACTAGAGCTAGGCGCTCCATAGGATTGTGCTCTAGGAGGTCGAGAAGACTCAGGTGATCCATAGGAGTTACGTTGATCAATTGGCATTACTCCTTGCTCCGGTTTTTTCTCTCTCAAGGTTTTTCCGCTCATAGCAACAGGTGTCGTTTGTCGACGCTTTTGATGTCTAATACCATCTAGAATGACGTTCGCGACCGCCATAGACATACCACAGAAATCCGGGACAAGATGTACACAATGTGCATGGCATGTGAGATTACATTCTAAAGTTATTAGCGAGACAGTATTTCATACTGACGAGAAAGTACCTACCTGTGCATTTGCGACAATTTTTCTTTCCAAATGGTAGAACATATCCACAATGACAACACCAATTCGCACTCATATTGTTGAACTTTTCGAAACGATGCGGAATACGGTGATTGATCTTTTCCTCGTCCGGATCGGTCTCCGCATTAGATTTGCTGATACACTTAGTCACAACTTGTGAGAAACACTTTGTATGACAAGTATATTTGCAGTCCTCGCACTGCATACCAGCAGTATATGTGAGAAAGTCTCCGCAAAGTGCACATCGCATAATGTTGTAGAATTGTTGTGAGATGAATTTGTGCCCATACATCTCGTGAACCTCTTCCTTTTTTTGACGAATGGCACCCTTTCGACCCAGGGCAAGGTCAAATGGTTTTCGATCTTTAGTCTGCTTCGTGAAAGAGATGTTCAGATTCACGGCACCGCTAGGCTCAAGGGCAAACCACGCATCAATTGGTTGTGGTGCCGCCACTACATTTCCACCTCCGCCGAAATCGTTTCCTCCAGCTGGTTGTATTCCAGCTCCCGCGCTTCCTGGGGGTGGCCCAAATTGACTTGTGCCACCAGAGCTCATTGGAAATTGTGCTGGTGGGGCGCCACCACTAGCCATACGGTCGGCAGAAACCCACCCCGAGTTGTTGATCTCGGCCTCGATTCTTTTCCGTCTCATTTCTTCGACAATGTCGGATATCCTGATCCATAACAGACCAATAGGTAATGCTTGATCGCCAGCCTTATCGTAAACCGTGAGTTCGATTTCGTTCGCTTTGTCCACATAAATGTTATGAATTTCATTCTCCCACTTATCAGTTCGAGTTGTTTTCGTTCGTGCGACAACATTATCTTCCACCTTTACAGCGATAGATGTTTCCGGACCTCTGGTGAATCTACTAGTTGTTGCGTGATCGACGTCCTTAACTGCTTGAATACGGAGAACAAGTTGGCCTGTCAGGGGTTTTCGCATGTTAGGAGTATTAATACTATCATCTGTAGGAAAGCTTGTTAGCTTGTAAAGTCAGCCTGGAGATAAATATGGGATCCTACCATCTGGAGCATCTGCTGAGCTCTCCATGTCTATATGTAAATCTTCATAACCCTTCAAAGCCTGTTTGAGGATCTGAATTTTTTGGTTACTCTCAACCCGACGAGCAGCAGCATCTGCTTTACTTTTTCTATCACCCTCCAAATGATATAATTGCACCATCTTCTCAATGCCCTTCAAATATTGTTTCTCGACGTTGAGCTTAAATTCCAATTGTGAAAGCATAAGCTGAATGCGGGGTCCGAGATAAGGGGTATCATATTTGATGAGATCTAAGGAACACGGTTAGCGTTTGTAGTATCAATGATAGAAGACTTGGGAGTAAAATACCAAGTTTGGTATAATTAGGACGTGATCTAGGCATTCCCGAACCAGGTGCAGGAGGCGCGAAAGGATTTCTCGGTGGCATCATATCACCATGTCCACCAATCTGACTGTATTCTTGAGTACCATACCCGGCCTGATCCCCCGTCTCGATAGGAATTCCTCTGGCATCCTTGGGCGGCGGAGTTGGCGGCGGACCACCTCGATCGTCACGTAGACCGCTACTGGCTGGGCGGCCAGGGCCGCCACTACTCCCCGCACTACTTGTTCGACCTTCCGTCCGCACTTGTAATTCTTTCATGCGCTCCTCCAAGTATGAAATGTTTCGACGACCATCGCGCATTTGAATATCTAGCCTAGCCCTGACTTGCTCATTTTGAGTCTGCTGCCTCATTTGATTTGCTGCATTGAGGAGAGCACGTTCGCGCTGTATCTTTTTGTAGACGGAGCTGAGAGCCTCCTCATCGTTGTTGTTCATGACTGCGGCTTGGTCCCTCTACCGTTACTCAATACCTTTTTGCGTAGGTAGTTTCTGGGGTGACGAGTCGACTTTTGGTCCTTATTTTATAGAATATGGTAAGGTTTGTGATGTTCGAGGTGGAGATGGAGTAGTAGGTGGGGTTTTACTATCCTGGCTGGGATTTGTTTGTTGACGCCCGAAATGTAGCTGTCGGAAAAAGAAATCTTGGCAAGGCGAAGAGTGGAAAGAAAAAGAAGTGGGAAAATAAATATTGCCGATTAATTTGATAGGTAGGTAGGTAGTTAGGTATGTACTTCGTATGTACCGAGGAGAGGAGCAGTGAATGCAAGCTCAGGAGTCAAAACATGAAAGCATTTTGTTAGGTTTGTTGTAGCTTATCTTATGTATGGAAAGCCTTTGTCCGTGTTGATATATCTTTCTTGTGTTTGAATCTCTAGGAGATCACTGTATTGCTGTACTGTATTGCGTTTCAGAAGATGTATATTACCTTTACTGAAGGTATTAATAAAAAGGTATACTGTGAAAGGTACCTAGGTAGACCGGTAAAGGGTCTGATGAATCTGTAGGTGGAGATTTTTGTTGATATCTGTACTTCCCTGCGAGTCTCTGTTTTGATTACCGAATATAACTTTGTTTGTTTTGCTCAGCCACCCATATGCGATCGGAAAGATATAGAAAAAGTACTTTATACCAATGATATTGATATCTCTCAGATTGCTTTTCTTTTCTTGCGAATTTTCGGAGGTTGTTTGTTTCCTAAGATTGTTTGGATCTAATAAGAATTATTTATTATATCAGTAATATAATTCTAATTCATTGAGCTCCAGCTCCAGCAGCTCCAAACTTCCGCGCCTTCAAAGTTTCAAAGGAATGCGGCGTAGAATGGTTACACCAAAGCTAGACAGGTGAACATATATCCAGTCATATCAATGATTTCAAACCCCCAGGTTACATCTACCAGGTATATCCGAGTTGATATCTATGACTAGGTACTCTGAACATCCATCAGCATTCGGCATCATACGATTATGACCAAACAAGGATACTGTCTGTACCACCACTCCTATCCTATCCTATCCTATCAGACTACCCTACGGATTAGAAACCAGATCTCAAATCATCATTTTAGTTCAGGGGTTGAGTTGAGTCTTAGGGAACAGAATAAAAAAGGCGTATATACAAATGTTACCGTCTAGACTACTCAGAGTACTACCTGATATGGTATCGAACTAGATGTCAATTCCTATAGATAGACTACCTAGTATTTGCGCTACAGAAGTATTAGACTGGAAGCAAGACATGATGATTCTAAAATATGTTTCATTCGATATACTTTAGGCTTTGACAGTGATATTAGGCATAGCTTTCACATAGAATCAAACATCATTCGTTTATCACTCTATGCCACGTCTTACTTGGGCACATCTCAACAACAATTCTAAATTGGTATCAATTCTCCCTCTTTCCATCTTTCCCACTATCTCTAAGATTTGTACTGTTGCTTCAACAACTTTGCTATCGTTGTCAATTGGATATTGCTCGTTCCCTCATAAATCGATCCTATCATCGAATCTCGCCACATCTTTTCTGCGATACCTTCACGAACAAACCCCATACCTATTGTGAAAGTTAGTATTCAGCGTGAACCTTAAACATGACGTGATCCACTTACCACCCATCCATTGAACCGCCAACCCACTTACTCTCTGAGCGACTTGCGAGGCAAAGAGCTTAGCCATAGCCGCATCCTGAACGAAGTTCTCCCCCGCCTCCTTCTTGCGTGCAGCGTTATAGACTAGAGCTCGAGCTGCGGCAATTTCTGTGTAGGACTGTGCAATTTGATGTTGCATGCCCTGGAAATCTCCTACTAGCTGTCCAAATTGCTTTCGGTCATTCCATACGTATCTATTAGGATTTGTCAGCCGTTGGACGGAAGATATGCGTAAAAGCATCATGCTTACTTGGTGGCATTCTCGAATGCTCCCAGAGCCAGCCCAGTCATTTGAGCTGCAATTCCGATGCGGCCCTCGTTTAAAAGGGCAATGGCATATTTATAACCTTGACCCTCTTCCCCTAAGAGATTCCCCCTGGGGATTTCCACATCGTCAAAGTTGAGAACACACGTGCTGCTAGCCTTGATACCGAGCTTCTTCTCCTTCTTAGCAATGGAGAATCCTTTCAAACCCTTTTCGACGACGAAAGCTGAAATCCCCTTATAACCTTTACTTAGGTCAAGGTTTGCAAATACGATAAAAAACTCTGCTTCCATCGAATTGGTAATCCACATCTTGCTTCCAGAAATCGTGTATCCCGAGTCTGTCTTCGTGGCTTTAGTGGCGAGGGCGAAAGCATCGGATCCAGATATTGGTTCAGATAGACAGAATGATCCAACAGTATTCGTAGCCAATTTTGGCAACCACTTATTCTTCAACTCTTTGCTCGCATACTTGATAACCGCAGTATTGACCAACGTGTTATGTACATCCACCAGCACACTCACACTCGGATCGACCCTTGCCAGTTCCTCGATCCCCACGATTGCCGCCGTAAAGTTCATGCCCGCACCCCCATATTCCTCGGGTATTTCGATCCCCATAAGTCCCTGCTCAAACAGTTGTTCCACAACCGTCGGATCCATACTCTCAGCCTCATCCATATCCCGCACTTTGGGCGCGATGATATCGTTGGCGAATTTAGATACAGATTCGGACATGGCGGTTTCGATTTCGGAGAGATGCGTTATGGGAGTTGGAGGGATCTCGGTTATATCGATTGGAAAGTCTGAACGAAGGCAAGTGGTGGCGGAGAGGGGGCGGGCACTGCGCTGGTTTTAGTATTGATGGGTATGATGAGAGATATAACAATAAGATACATACTGTTGATATAGTCTACTCTGCCTACTGAGTCTAATTGCAGGTCTTGTTGCAGATGCAGATGCGCCAACTCTCCTCACCACCGGTCTTAAGGCGTTAATGATTGAGGCCATCCTTCTTCCTTCCTTTATTGATAGAACTGGTCGTTGAAATTTGAGAGGGTAATTGTATGAAGAGTGTCGAGAGTGCAACGAGAGGTCTTTTAAATCGAATAGCAATCGCTAGGCGTTCTGCAAGGGAGGCGAACGCGATTCATGAAACTAATCGTTGTGTTTGTGGAGGGGAGGAAGGAAGCATCTCGGCTTAAGATATCCGGCCTCGGCTGTTTGGTCTTGGCAACATATACATTCCCCAGATTACCACTACCGGTACCGGTACACGGGCTTCAAGGCGAATATTGAGTCTTTGGTGACGGGACGACATTTCAAAAGTCCTTACTCGTACATACAATTATCGCATTCTCTAAAACTTTAGCACTCGAGCCTATGCGCCGGTACTTACTAGGTACTTTCTTTCACTACTCGAGTAAAGGTAGGTGGTTTTCATAGTTTTCGTCTCTTGAAAGTTGACACTATGCTATAAGCTATGACCCCTTATCAAATCACATGTAAAATCCGGGGTTTATTCGCCCCGCCTTAAATTATCGGAGTTATATATAAAATCTACTACATCCGATCCGACAATTAGGAATATCATCCGATCTATATCCGTTCCTACAAGGCTCAAAGATGTCTTGGAAATTAAAGAAATGAAATTAGCTATAGTACTCTCATCCAATTAAAGTCCATGTAAGTTTGTGAAGAAGTTTTGTAGATAATCATAATTAGAGCTTATTTGTTTCTCTAAACTACCTAGTTACGTATATGAAATAGTAGAACATTAACTTTTGCTATGACTTTTGCAATAAGATAGTGCAATATAAAAAGGAAAGACTTCCATCGAAAATTGCAAAAAGCCCATGTCCTAACGTCAAGTCTTTCGATCGGTGACGCCATGGTACCCCCGCAAACGCCTGTCAGCCATGTCCCAACGTCTAGGTATCATTGTAAACGCCATGGCACATCCGCTGTACCAAAATTCCATGTCCATATATATCCAAATTCCAAACCATATAACCAATGATCTTTCCAAGTTATGTCGTGAAATCGATCGTTATACTGCTGCGCAGTATATCTACTCGTTTTTCTCCTCCAGCTTTGGTAATAAGAACCAGCAAATCATCATGACCACAAAAAGGCCCAGAGCAATAGGATGCAAGACAAAATTGCCCACAGCTTGAGCCAATACTCCAGTGGTGAAAGGAGCAATGGCACCGCCAGAACTACCAAGAGCACTGATGACGCTCATTCCACTAGTCTGATACTGGCGAGGAATAATGCGAGTAAAGAGGTAGGCGGCACATGGATAGACAGGACCGAGAAGAAGACCAACGATAGAAACCGCAACGGCGTCTCCGATGATATTGGGAATACCCCAAACAAGCCCTTCAAAAACAGCCGAGAGAATCACAACGATAACGACAAATTTTCTTTCACCAATCTTGTGACCGATTGGAGATAGGAGGAAGCGACCGACCGTAATGCCACCCCAGAAGCCAGCAGTAACATAACCAGCATCAGTGTTCGCACCTCTCACTTGTTGAAGGAAGTAGACAACCCATCCAGAGATCGAAACTTCAGCACCTTGATACGAGAAAATGAAAATAGCTCCAATCAAGACGGCTCTTAATTTAGCAGCTTTCAACATTTCTTTAATTTCCTTCCCCGCACTAAATTTCGTCTTATTTCCTGACGGGGTTCTGTTCAGCAGTGGGACTTCATTTGGATCTTGGTAGTCCCAGAACGACCATCCAGCAAAGACCAAGTTTGCAAGAGTCATTCCCAGTGGAATGAAATAGTAGCGACTCCACGAAACGCCAGCTGAAACGAGCGCAGTAGCTGCCAATGGAGCAATAATACCCCCAAGCCCATAAGAACCATGCATGAAGCCCAGCATTCTGGTACCCCTATCGAGGTTGGCAGCGAAAACGTTCGATAATGTCAAGTTGGTTGCCATACCAAAACCAATGAATAGGAATGCTGCGACGACAACTGGAAATGGAGGGTTGGTAACAATCATCACATAGCCAATACTCATGAGAGCTTCGGCAAACATGATAGATTTAGCTCTTCCGAATCGAGCTCTGATTGCATCGATAAAAAAGGCAGCTGAGATATAACCTATTGCTTGGGTTATGAATATAAGGGAGACAAGTCGTTCTTGGATCCCATATGCTCTGATATTTGATTAGCAACTGTGAAATTTTTCAAGAGTGAGTCAACATACATGATCATCTTTGGAATTAGTGGACCAGCCGCAGCATCACTCAAACCGTTACCAAAGTTCAACAAACAGGTCGAAATCATTCTGAACCTATTCTTGGGAGGATTGGAGAAACTTTGTTTAATATATTCAGGCTCGTTATTTGGAGTTGGTGGTCGGCTCATCTCAATGTCGCCTGGAGTTCTCGGCGTGTGCCAGCCTGGAGTTGAGAATCCGGATACAGGTTCTGCTCCAGGTGTCGTAGTCCCAGAAGCAGATGGTCTATTAATATTATGTTCCCATTGTAGATTATCGAGTTCGATTGAGTTGGGATATTGGACTGAATGGTAGGTTCGGGTAACTAATTTCTGAGGGGCAGTAATGGGTTCATCGTCCGATGATACGACATTGATGGTTGAAGCAAAATGGGCAGCCATTTTGATTTATTGATAGAATTTATATGCCAAATAGGTCAAATAACTTGTGTAGCGTCAATTCTGTCGTATATAATTGTATAATGATGGCTGAGATGATTGAGAGAAAAGGAATACAGAGAAGGAGAAGAAGAAGAGAGAACCTGCAGTAATATATAGACGACTTGTATACGAACTGAGCAGATTCAGGTTAAGTACCTGGATATATATCTATGACGAAAAGATCCGATTAATAGTGATTCTCACAATACTAAGAATAAAAATTTGCGGTGTTAAAAATTAGAACAGATCAATTCAAGGCCGGCAAGAAACTAAAGGGTTCAGAAGTAAGAGCTTGAGAAGACGGAGAGAACACTAGCTCACTAGTGGGTATGATGATCTGCATTAAATAATGGAGAAGAAGATATAAACTTTTTCGAACATATGAAAAACTGGATCGATGATAAGAAAAGGATCATCATTGGATATCGACAAATATTGAAATGCATTTGAGCAAATGGGAATACTTCGGACAAATGGGAGATATGTAAGCATTTTGAAATTCTTGGAAATATACCTGGTAGTAGGTAGTAGGGTCTTCGAAAGTTGATCTAAGTTGCCCGATACGACTTTGAGTCAGTAAATTTACCGGTATTCGTTCTAGATTTTCCTTGGTCCGGTTATAATTAATGGCTCGAAAATGAAAATGGTGGGGAATTTGGGGATTTTCGGCTAAGTTTCCTCGGGAATGCTGAGTACCGGTACCGTGCTGGAGGAACTATATTCCGTTCCGACCCTTCCAAAAAAAATCCATCTTGGAAATTAATGGATGAGTCCTGTCACTTTGCTGGATGATATCGTATCATCCTTGGACTTTCCCTACTTTCAGTCCCATTAAAATCACTCTTCTAGCATCTCAGTCCTACCTAAGGTCAACTCGATTTTCCCATATCAAATTGACAATGGGCAAACCAAAGCGTAATGTCTTCGCAGCTGCTGAAGAAACTTCTACCCCGCCAGACGTATTGACAGAAACACAATCGATTGCTCGTGTTATCAAAGCTGAAGGAAACAGCTTATATTCTTGTGCTCTCACAGATCAAACAACTATCCTCGTCGAACTGCCTTCACGATTTCGCAACACAATTTGGATCAAACGCGGTGGTTATGTATTGATCGACACCAAGGACGGCAATGTAAGAGAGAATAAAATTGGTGGTGCAATTATCAATGTCGTCCGCGAGGAACATGTTTGGAGAAAAGAAGCTTATTGGTAAGTCTTCGTATCACACAAATGATTGACTCGGCCCTCTGACGCTGTTCCAACAGGCCTAAAGAATTCCCCAAAAGTTCCGCATATGTCGAGGATTCGGGTGAAGAGGAATCGACCGTTGGTAAAATGCCACCATCAGATTCGGACGAAGAATGATATGCCGAGCATTCAATAACATACAAGATGCCGGGTATTTTTGGGCGAGAAGAATTGTTACTCATGCCAGATCAAGACTTTTTCTTGTCGACTCCGCCTTGGCCTTTGAGAGCAACAAAATCTAGTCTCGTTCCCCACCATACACCCGCCACGGTAATAAACATAATACCAACTACCACCAATGAACTTACATCAGTACTTGGGTATACATTCCAAGCCCATTCCTGCGCCCCCCACAGAGCATATTGAAGGATCGGGTGCATGCCACTACGCCAAAGTAAAAATGGTGTAGCCCATGCAAGATAGGCATAAAATTGGTAGTGCAAAGATCGTGCGAAGAGCATACCAATTGTGATAGCAGTCAGGATGGTTGTCATGATGTAGTTCGGTGATATCGCAATCGAGCAGGCGTGTTGCCTTTGACCCAAAGGTTCCTCCAATCTCAACGCAGTTCGAATTAAACCCACAATAGGCTTTTCGGCTGGTCTGAGCCATCTTGTGGTCGCGAATAGAACCAAAGCACTGATATGTCCTACCAATAAAGTTATGGAAAATTCTTTGCTCAAGAACCTTTCCTCCCCCAAGAACCTCCAGTTGACTGTCCATTTAAATAGAAACACTCTTGAAAACTCAAAAGCTCTACTCAGGTACCCAATTGCGTTCGTTGGGAAGAACGGAAGTGCGATCACAACCTGCAATTGTGCCATGAGCCATGCCTGCTTCAGTGCGCCTTGTGCTCCTTTTGCCAAGAATAACATTATTCCAATAGAGGGTAATGCCAATAACAATGACATCTTGATTCCCAAACCCCAACTATATGCCATACTCCCAATTGTCCATATTCTGCGTTGGAAGAAGTAAATTGCAACCCATAGGAAGAACACTGCGAAACCGTCGTTAAAAAGTCGAAGAATAAATATGCTATGTAGTCGTTTCGAAAGGACAAGCATAGGAAATATGTAATGCGGTGCCTAAGATCCCAAAGCCGCAAATTAGCCAATACTCTCCAGCCCTGCTCTGCTTCCAAGTAAAATGTCTTAACCAACCTTAGCCCTCCTATAACAAGCCAAAACTATCCCTAGAGTCCCCAAATACAAAACCCCAAAGATCCGTTGCGCAACCAATATATCGCGCCCGTGGTCAGTAATCCACCACAATGCATAATATATCCACACGTGCGCGGCTGGATATACCAATGGACCCGTACCGCCTTTGATTTGGGTGTAATCGCGCTCGCCGGATGCGTATTGGGAAATTTGTTCCATGTAGGCTTTCCAGTCGATTTCTGTGTCTGAGGGACGGATTAATTAGCGGATGCGGGAGAGGATACGAGGATATGAGGAGGGGATGGGGGAATGCGAGGGGGCATACAGGGAATAAAGTGGATTATGGCACTGCAGAGGAAAGCTTCGAAAAGGAGTATCAGCGCGGGAACGTAGCGCGATAACCCGTGTTCGCCCATGGCTAATTGTTTGAGCTGGAGATAGAGGTTCGTGGTTAGGGGAATGGTGGTCTTGTCCTCCTGCTGCAGGGCTGAAGGAACGGGAGCCATGGTTGCGGATGTAAAGGTAGATTGGCTTTGAAGATGTGGGATACCTGTCTGTGACCAGAGATGGAACAGAAAATTGTACAAATTAGAAGGTTGAATTGGAATTGTGAACCGGAGGGAAGGAGGGGTGAGGGGGTGAGCAGCTAGATGATATGGTGTTTCGGAGCTCTGGAAATTTAACCTTGAGCTTTCGGTAGATAATTACAGGGGTAGCTTGACGTATTTAGCGTGAGTTTAACTGTAACGATTTCACCTCCTTCATCCAGCACCACCCTCCCAGTCCTAGGTAGCCTCAAGGAACAGCAACTCGTATACTCATCGATACTGACAGATTCGTTTCCAAATGTTATCCTAACACCAAGAATGATAATGGAGTAGTCTCTGAATATCAGAAGCAGCCTTTGCGACTCTTCCGAAAGTTTCAATATCCTTGATTCATCAGGATTGAGGTCTCCCACTCGGAAGTCTTCCGAGCGGTCATATCTATGTATCCTTTTCTTGATTTTGTTTCTCTGCGCTCGTTTTGTCTTCTTCTTCAATGTTATTTTTCCCATGTCCCAGAATCCAGCTTCCGCTTCGGAAATCAATTAATCCACACTTTTGTCTCAGTCGATATATCAATCCATTCTGCAGGTCATGGTAGTAAAGGCGCGTGGCTATGAAAGGTCTTGTAAGACTGATTGATGTTAATTGCTGAAGGGATATAAGAGTTCTTCACGTCCTCTCCAAAGCTCAGCTTCACTAGCATGATTTTAGTGATTATTACATGTAGCGACCTCGGCCTGATATATGAGTTGGCTCTCAAGTATTGGCATGGCAAACCAAGCTGTAAGTGGCAGGATATTCTCGAAATCTACCATCAGGTAGCGTCAAAGATGAAACGGGAAAGAGGGTTGAAATACCTATGTTGCAGAGCTAGGGTGTAATTTTCAACTTTAGAGCGAGAGAAATCGAGCCAAGGCGTGACCTCTGAAGCATAGCCGTCATATTGATGTTTGCCTGAACACTCGCCCAACCCATTTGCCATCAAATACATCTATGATATGGTAATTGTGTCAATCTCTAGCCTACATCCTAGTCGGGTTCAGATTCGGACGAGAAAGTTGATACTCATCTTATTTACTACTGGCAGATGCATTGCTCCTTTATCGTCTTAACCTTCATGCCACTTCCTTATTTGGCTCAGACAAGATCAAGAAGGCTCATCCTACTAGTGACAGATAGGCTGCACAAAATCACCTGTAGTCTACAAATACCTATAGGTAATCTATTCTGTAGATTATTTATTAAAATTATTATTTTATAATTAAAAAGTTTATAAATTATTAAGTAATCTGTGAATAGTTTCAAAATTAAGCGAGTAATTCATAAATTCTCTAAATAGTTTTAAAGGCCTAGCGATAGATATCTCTCTCTATGTATTAGTTCAGTTTTCAATCTACAATATAGCCATTACAGTCCGACGTGAAGGGAAGCGAATACTCTCAATACCAAATCTCGATCATATATTTATAGTTTATCGTCTTGTCGTTTGACATTCAAACTCTCTTATTGCTGCTATATCTTAATCATATATTCAAACTTACTCGTCTCCAGTTTCCGATTTATATCCTCCAATTGTTCAATCACAATCACAAATTCGATAACTTTATTGTCTTCTGGTTGTTTCTTGACTTCACATAACTTCAAAACGAAGTTGTACATTTGAAAATCTCTGATCTTATGCTACCTATTACGTCCCTCAACATCTCAAACCAAGCTATGCAAACCAACGGTTCCATCTCATAATTTTCGTCTACTACTCTCATACATCCCAAAACTAAGTCATATATTCAACGTCTATCGTCTGATGAAACTGCAACGACTTTCTTTATAACAAGTCTTAGTTGATTTCAGGCAAGGGAAAACATCTACGAGTAATGAAATTTCATTCAATATTCCTACATTCACTGCGTACCCCTCCATGTGGGTCAAGCAAATTGAGCTAATTTGCTGGCTTCGAAGGTTGTTGTTGCCCTGCTTGGCTTCCTTCTGATCTTGAAAACTTCTACACTTCCTACCTTCTTACAGCAACAATAACAAACCTTCTACTTACTTTAGTCAACCTAATCAATTACAGTATACCAGCTTACTTACTAGTACAACAATCAATCTTTTCAGCCTTATCCCTTCAGCAAATACTTTTTTCCTACTTCCGTATCTTTCCAACTATCCGACATTCCATATCTCGAAAGCGTTGAGTCCTCAGCTTGAGACTCTTTCATAGAACGATATCTTTACAGGTATCCATATCACACAGTGAGTATACTTCACTTTCCTGCCTCCTCTTGGCTTCAGTTTCACATCTCGCATCGGAATCTTCAGAGCCTAGATACAGTTTTTCTCGAGCATATTCTCGTGCATCTGACCCGATTTCTTGAAAATCTGCGAGTATCGTGATTCGGTCTTTGGCACTATAACTCACCTTAATGCTGTGCAAGATTTCATTTGTTCCCTTGACGTCAAAATCCATACGCTGATATTCATCTCGATAGTACAAATCATTATTCGATCGGAGCTACAACTCAACTTTTTCAACGCATATCTGCTCGCTGAAGCTCTACGACACCCACTACTCAACTTTTTTCATCCAGAATAGCCTGGCGTCTCATTGTCTCTGCAGACCAACTCTGTTGTGCGAAGTTGCTGGGATACCACACTCAGTCACACAGCGCCAAGTTTTGCTTTCGTCGCCATCTGTTTTTTTTGCTGGCTATTCCATCCTCACTTTCATTCTCATCTTTGATTCTATCCTTCCAGATTCACTCATCTGAGGTTAAATTATTTTTCTTCTGCGTCCTTGAAGCGCTAGCAGTTCTCTTCATACTCGACAGGCTTGCATTCTTTTCTAGCAAACACAACAACTCAAGCAGCTATTTCGCAAACAAAGAAATTGATACTATGTCTTCCGACGAGGAAGAAACCTGTGAAGGCTACATGGGCACGGGAAGTATTGATGAATTCCTTGACAACGGTGAGCGTCAAAATTCCGATACACAGGACCCTTATACACCCAATCAAGTTCGACGGCCAGTAAACTACAACACTCCCGCCCAACCTCAACGCCAAATGCCTGCGCACTTGACTACAATCCCCACACGTGCTTCAGACGCTCGTCAGGAGCCTCCACAAGTGCCCCCATCTCGCACGCCACCAACTTCTGTTGTCCGCCAAGAGCCGTCAAGTTCTGAGGTTATCGACAGCCCAGATCAGGAAAATGTGCCCCCAGCTCACCAGGAGGAAAAAAGTTCTTCCATTTCAAACAATAGCCAGAAAGATAGCCCAAGCCCAAGAGTTAAATCAGAGATCGACGATGGCTCATCCACTAATAGTCAACACCCAGATGAAACAGGCGCTGCCGTAATGCCAAGTATCGAGTCACCAGAGGTCAAAGATGAGGAAGAGACCCAACCTGCACTTGATCATGACAGAAATCAAGTGATCTCAGATGATATGCACGATGCAAGCTCTCAAATATCTAATCTTGCTCCTCCACAACAAGCCGGTAGGCAGCTTCTCTCTATATTTGGTTCTCCACGTAACTCCAATGTTCGCTCCGCCGGGACTTCCAGCAATATTCAGACCCCACGAGCATCACGTCGAGAGGTACAACCAGAAATAATTGCAGTTGAATCTGACTCTGACTCTGACTGCGTGATTCTGGATGTCAGACCGGCACGCCCCGGAGAGAAAAGGATACTCACCATGAAAGACCAGCATTCTGTCATTAAGCAGGAGTTAAGTCCAGGTTCGCCGAACAACCTCAACACCTTAGGAGTTGACAATACCAGTTCAGACAGAGGCATGGCTTCTGATTACGATCGGGAATCAAGCCCTACTGAAGAAGAAATGCTTGCTGCTCAAGCAACGATTATTCCACCAGCTACACGCCAAACTCACTTTCAGAAGCCAGACTCTCCTAGACCAGTGAAAGATAATAAGAAGAGACGCCGAGAAAGTGTGACTCACTCTGAAGAGCACGCGAAGATCTATACTGCTATGCAGGTCGACGAAGATGATGATATTTGGATGCATGCACGAGGAGATAACGAGGACGATTCCCAAGAGGAGTATGAGAATCTTCTACTTTTACGAGATGCCTTGAACAAAGACGCGCAGAGGAAAGGATCTCTCAGTCTCGAGGAAAGAGGTGAACTGAGCAAGGTCAATAGCACAATTGCAAGGATGGATCGCCTTAAGACTGCCAAAGCTAGAGGTGACGCGGATGATACCGATGAAGATAACGAAGACTCGCTGTTTGTCCCCGAGACGCATCGACAAAGCCCAAGTTTTGTTGATAATGGCGAAGGTCCATCGTCAAGACAAGGTAATGTCTATGAGAATGTGGATGACGATGCTGGCCTTGCCAGTATGCTACAAGAGGAGTTTGACCGCGATGTCAACGATGGTCCCTCAGATAAACGCAAGTCGAAGAAAACACGTCGAGCACCAGCTAAAAACGCTCGAGAATTCCACACAAGAGAAGCGGAAAAAAGAATCGAGAAAGAGAGAGCGAAGGCGCAGAAAAAGAAAGCTACTGGTGGTAGTAAGGACGGAAAGGCTGACAAAGTCAAAGCTGGACGCAGTAAAAAAGGCAAGGGCAAGGAAAAGGAGAAGAAATCAAAAAAAGGTTCTGTAAAGGTCGATAAAGGCATAAACGAAGCTCGATTTATGCGTCCACGTGGAGGAGAACAGGATGACATTGGACAACTTATTCTCGACGATCTCTTGAATTGCAACCCCGTTGGCGATCGTCTACAGGATCCAATCTTCAACGTCGGACCTGAGCCAGAAATCGACGGCACAACTCGGACCAAAACCTCTCAACTTCAACAACTGTTCGCCAACATTCCCGAAGGTAGTAGTAAGAGTAAGGGGAAGTCTGATAAGCAAAGACTCTTGCAAGCCTCTCGCAGTTTTGGTTACGCACAAGTTAAGGCTGTGGGTGGAAAATGGCTCGTCAAGGGAATGAAATCAACATTGTACCATCATCAGTTACTCGGCGCACAGTGGATGGTGTCAAGAGAGTTGAGTTCTGAGCCACCTCATGGTGGTTTACTTGCCGATTCGATGGGTCTTGGTAAGACAGTTCAGACTTTGGCTTGCATGGTTGGAAATCCACCTACGAAGGAAGATAAGCAGCGGAATGTGAAAGCAACGTTAATCGTTGTTCCATCCTCAGTCATTAGCCAATGGTTAGAAGAAATCGAGATCCATGTGAACTGCAAAAAGGTATTTCCAAAGGTCATGCAGTACAAGGCCTCAATGCATATTCCCATGGCGGTCTTGGAGGATTTGGACATTGTCATTGCTTCTTACACGGAAGTTATGAAACAATTCCCCTTCCCAGACCGCAAAGGTCGGGAGGACATTGCTAGGCGTGGTTACAAGAGTTGGTGGAAAACCGCACACGATCAGCTCGGTGATCTTCACAAGATCAACTGGCGCAGAGTCGTTCTTGACGAAGCCCATGCGATCAAAAACAACTCCGCCAGAACAAGTTTGGCTTGCCAGAACCTGAAGAGTGTTTATCGCTGGTGTTTGACGGGCACCCCTCTTCTCAATAGGCTCGAAGAGTAAGTAAATTCTCCCTATAATTTTGACATTTGGATATCCAAATCGAATTTGAACAATGGGAAGGCGGATTTGGTCAATGGTCGCCAGAGCCCATCTCATTGTTCAACTCAACTTGGAATATTCAAAAGCTGACAATTGACCTAGACTCTTCCCATACCTTCGATTTCTCAAAGCTAATTATTCAATGGATTGGAATACTTTTCAGCAATATTTCTGTGACCCCGACGCCGATGATTGTAATAATCGTATCGCTACCCTTCTCAGTTACGCTATGATGCGCCGTACTATGAAGACCACCATTCTCGGTCGTCCAATAATTATACTCCCTAAGCCGCACCCTGTCATGCAACAGATTAATTTCTCTCGGGAAGAGCGGATCATCTATCGAATTGTAAGTGTTCTTTGTGAATTTGAACATCCAGAAGCTAATATTGCTATCACAGACCGAGAACCGCTTTCGTGCCAACCTCAATGTATTCCTGGCTAACGGTACTGCCCAGCGTGCCTATGGAGTCTTCTTCGTTCAGCTTCTGCGCCTTAGACAATGTACCTCTCATCCATTTATGCTTGAACGTACAATGAAGGAGTCCTGGACCACGGAAGACGTTGAGCTTCTTCGTAAGGAGCTTAGAAACCATCGTATACCCAACGTACCCTTTTACGAGCAATGCAAACTGTGGGTCAGCCAAAGTGAAGAAGAGAGAGAAGCAGCTATGGCTCGAGGCGAAAAAGGTGCTGAGGCCATTCCTTTCGGACTTTCTAATTTCGGTGAAAGTTTCCATTTTGACAAGGCTTTGGATTCGCTCAATGATGAGGAGCTTTATACCCGAATCACCTGCCACCTTTGCTCGGATGTACCGAATCAACCCATCATTACTACTGTGAGTTTCAAATGTGCAAATGAGCTTAAATCGAAACTAACTTCTTCCTAGTGCAAACATATCTTCTGCCGGAGCTGTTTGACAAACCACCTTCACTCGCAAATACATATTACCGAGGGAGATGACACGGTAAGCCTCATTCTAGCCGAACCGTTAAAAATGCTAAAATCAAGTACCAGTATAATGTCTGCCCCAAGTGTGACATCATTTTTAGCTCTGCCGAACCCTATAGCGATCTCGAGATCCCTGATGATGACAATATGGACTCTGCCCCTAGCCAGGCTCAAGGATCGGAAAGCTCATCTCGTGGTAGTAGTAAGCGTCACAAATCCTCCAACGAATCCTCTGGTCGTCCACGCGGACTCAGGAGCAAAGGTATAGATGCACTTGGTTTTGAACCCTTTACTAAGGATAGCAATTGGGTTACAAAATCGGACTATGATCCGAATTTTCCACTTATTCCAAGTGCCAAGACTACGGCATTGAAGGCTTTGCTTTTGAAGGGATTTGAGGAAGCTCCGGATGACAAAGTACGTTGACCTCGTTTACCCTCTTGTCCCACTTCTGATTGTTCAAATAAAAACTAAACAATTGATTCACCTATCAGGTAGTCATTTACGTCCAATTTCGCACGTTGGCTCGTATCATCGGCCGCATGTGCGCAGCCGAAGGCTGGGGATTCTTGTATCTTACCGGCGACGCATCGCTCGAGCATCGAGGCAAGGCAATCCGTGAATTTCGCACTAATGACGATATTCAAATTCTCATTGCCGGCCTAAAATGTGGTGGTCTCGGTCTCAATTTCCCTTTCGCTAACCGATGTATTTCGCTGGACCTCTGGTGGAACCACGCCGTGGAACAGCAAGCTTTCGGTCGTATCTTCCGCATTGGCCAGAATAAGGAGACGTGGATGACGCGACTTGTGGTGCGCAATTCGGTCGATATGCGATTATTAGGGATGCAAGACTGGAAGCTGCGAGCGTGTGAGAAGGCGATTGATGACAATGGACAGAGTGGTGCTAGTGGGAGTGGAGGGGGAACGTTGAATTTGTCGCAGTTGGCTAGGTTATTCGGGTTTTTGAAGACGGATGAGGATAATAATTTGGTGAGAATTGAGCCAGATTATGAGGATGAGGGAGAGGAAGAGGAGAACAATGGTTCGGGAACCTCGTAAGAGAAACCGGGCTGGAATCCAGAAGTGACGAGGTGATAAGTGAGTTTATCGAAAGTGCTTGAATTGGCGACGACTCGACACTGAAACTAATCCAAACCTTGGGAATTCTGGAAGTTTAGAGGGCTGAGATTGATAATCGGGTTATATTTTAGCTCGGGAAGGGGTTGAGCGCTTGCGGGAGGAGTTATTATTAAGTGATTGCGAGCGGGCGTTACGTTCTTACGAAACCAGCATTTTCATTATTTGTGGAAAGCAGGGACATTACTTCAGGTTCCATTCTTCAACACATTTTCAGACATTCAACATACGACATTCGAAGAAACCTCAGATCATACTTCCAAATCATCGATTTTATTTCGAACATTCGACATTCGATATTCAGCTTTATTTCAGACATTCAATATTCAATATTTAGTTTTCGTTCAGACATTCAATAGTTAACATTTGAAAGTCGTCAGATCAATCTTCGGGTTCTTCGAAGGACATTCGCATATTCGATATTCATTCATTTCAATATTGGATGGGTTATAGATGGGATGGGATGGATCATCATTCAGGAAGGAAAGTGATATTCAACATATTACTTCACTTTTTCCTTTGCTTTTCAAGTTTTCATTCGCTAAAAATATGGTGGGATGGATGGATGGATGGATATCTTTCGCTGCTAGGTTTACTTACTATTTACTATTTACTTTTTACAAATTCTCAATCTTAATATGAAAGATTTGAAAGACACTAGTTAAAATTTACACATGGTGTGCAATATGATATTGGACGTACTATCTCAGGTAGATTATGCAAAAATAACCCGCAATCTACAGATAATCGTTCGTATTGATATATGAAATATTATTAGTATAACTTTATGATTAATATAAAGTATAAAGATTAGTATTATTTTATAACAAAGAAATAATCTATCCTTAGATCATCTTATAGACTACAAGGTTATCTATAAATATCTTCAAAAATACCCCAAATTTACTCCAAAATCAACAAACATTCAAAATTTCTAGTTGTTAGCAAAGTTATTATCTAGTTGATTCGCAGATGATCTTTTGAAGCGCTAGCTTACTTATTTACGCTGATAGCTGACAATGACTAGTTAGCCACTCTACTATTTCAGTACCCCTCCCCTCACCAACAATGCACCACCCACCCCAAACCCCCCACCAACATCAACACCCCCAACTCCACCCCTCCCATACCCCCCATACCACTCCTCAATCTCCCCGCCGCAGCACTCTCTTTCGGCACATTCCCCGTGCTCTTCCCCCCCAAATACCAACTCCCAATATCGGTCAACTGTCCCTCCTGATCCAACATAGTCGCATTATACCCCACATTACTAACGCTGGAGCGAAAAGATCCAAAATACGAGTAGCGGGCTACGTAATCTAGGCGGTCGAAATATTCGGCAGAGGTGTTGTAGAAGGATTGGGTGGCGGTGAGGGGGGAGTCGTTCAGTGCGTATTCGGTGAGCCAGATGGTGGTGTTGGGGCTAGCTATGGGGTGGGGGGGATTAGTTGGGGGTAGTGAA